CTTACTATAATTTAGTTCAGAAAATTGTTAGAACATATTGAACACAGTTTTATTTTAATAATAAAACAACTATATCGGATGGTAAAGAAATTTTTTAATATTGTCAGGCAATATGAAAAAAACGGTAATAACCTTTGACTAAACAGTTATTATGATATTATGACAAAAGTTTGCATGTACCAGTAACTATATTTATGCCACAAGATTCTTTACTTAATCAATTTATTAAAATTTATTAAAAAAAAAAAAAAAAATACATTTAAGTCATTTTTTTTTTATCACAAAGTATAACTTTCAAGAAACCTTCAATTAAATTTTAAAGCATTTCTGTTTTGTCTAAAAGTTTTCTGCTCAGAGTACCTACCAAATAAAAAATACGTACAAAACTAGCAAAATAAAATGTCTCAAAATAAAATATTTCATTTATATCTGTTAGCAACGATAAACCATTGCTTGACGAAAGACGATTCCGAGCGCAGTTCAGCATTGACACGATACGGTAAGAAATTAAATTAAAAAGGCAACAAAAAAGGTATCTTGTGATTTTTCGATTAAATCATTTTTTCTGGTAGAAAACGTCGTCCATGTTTTTTTATAAAATAATAAAATCGTGAAATTGTACGTTTTCCTCAATTAAGTACTTTTATTTAAAAATTGGCATCGAAAATCAAAAAATTACTTGTTTTATGTAGAATTTCGAGAACTTGAGTTTTCAGGAAAGATGGTGCATGTCAAAATCGGAGTAAATCCCAGAAAAACCAATAAGTCCCTCGCGACGCTCAGAATCTAAAAAAAAAAAAAAATTTTTCCGAAAAAAAACAAAGCGCACGGCAATATCTAGTAAAACATTAAACATTCTTAAACGAAGGTGACAGAAAGTATCGTATGTATGAATAAAATACGTTTTATTCGAAACACACTATTAAATAATAAGTATGTTTAAAATGTTCAGGATAACATTATTCTGAATACTATATCTCTGAATACATATCTACTTAATTTTTGATTTAATATTATTTAACGCGATCCTTTATATTGGTTTTATTTGATTTTTGTTTTCGAATCCAGATCCCCGCCGATAGTAAGTCAAGCCGTAAATACAAATTCACCAGATAGAATGTATTCTGGGTATTTGTTTTTGATGAACCCGTAAACGTCAAATAAAGTCCTCTCCGCCAACGCCCGTGCTCGTATTACATTGCATCCTTTATACCAAAGCTCTTAAATTTCTTATTAAATTAGAAATCTAGATTATAGCACACAATCAAGTGGCATTGCATTGTTATTTAATTTGAAAACCGTGACCGTTATTTTTGATCTTGTAAATGTGTGTTAAATGGAATCGATCTAAGTATATAACCGTATTGCGTCGACGTGACACGAACGTATAGGTTTATATAAAAACAATATCTTATCTATACAATAACAAAATAAACTAAAAGCATTATAATTAATAATACTCTCCTGATAAATTAAGTCTTCGAGCACACGCGTCTTATAATAATGCATTTCAATTGTCATTATACATCAAAGCGAATGGAAAAAGTAAATTCCCATAATTGTACTATAGTTGTCCATTCAAGAACAACGCGTTAATGTCGTTGCGTAGGTTTTATGTAAAAAAAAAAAATAAATGTGTTTCTAATTACAGCTAGTCGACTAATATTGTAATTTAACATTTCCGGGCGCAAAGGTCGGATAATCGTGTTAAATACTTGTTATTAAGAATTGATCATCGAGCAACTCTATTTAATTTCACGTCTACGGGAGTAAATTATGATTATTCGAATTGTTAAAAAGCAAAATATTATATTTGTTTTTTCGTTGCGTGCAGACAGGATGAAACTGATGTGTTTTGTGGTGCAACTGATGCGATTTTAATGAAAAACGTTCGTGTCTGGTCTCTTCTCAGAGAAATATTATTTGCGAACGACAGACGGGCAGAGAAATAGGGAGAAAGATAATTATTAATTTTAAATGACAACTTATAAGTAACATTATAATGAATTTTATTATTATTTTAGATTCTGAGTGTAACGAATACATTCTTGGTTTTACAAAGATGTTTAATTTTTTTATAATTGGGCTGGTACTTTAGGGAAGTCATTTGTTTGATTTTACCGACAGTTGTCCCAATAAAAGAGAAAAAATGGAAAAAACCGTAAGGAAAATGGGAAATTTAAGAAAATAATTAGAAATAGTTGTACCGATTTTATGGACTAGAAATTTGGACAAAAACTTATATATACCTTTTCTATTCCATTTTATTTGCTATTTATAAACATCTTAATTTTGCGAGTTTTATATGCAATTTTTATTCGGTAATTACTGTGTGGTAAAATTGTGACTTAACAGAAATGCGTGAAAAGTTTGTGAACAAAAAAAGAAAATTGAGTTTAGTGTAGCATTTTTTGTTATAAAGGAATTTCAATATCAAATTTTAACGAAAGTAGTTACAAAATTAGAAGGAAAACAAATCTAATTTTTAAATTTTTTGTTTTAAGCATATATATATTGTCGATTTAAGAACGGGAGTGAAGTCAGAATTAAGCGGACTGGCTAAGTTTCTAAATTAAAGCTTTTTTAAATTCTAATATTACGTGGATATTATATGTCATGTTAAATAACTCTTAATTGTCTCTTTTAAAAATTATTTGTCGTTACACATATCATCCTATGGATCTCGAGTTCGAACAAAATTGTTTGAATTTATTTTTCCCTTTTACCTAAACAAAGAAAAAATAAAAGCATTTTGGGTGAACCTAGAGAACCAAGCCAACGTTCGTTCGGACTACTTAAATCGCAAAATATCCTTCGATTTGTTGTACAAAATTTTCTACCAGAAATCTTGCTTCAATGTATCATGTGTAGCTTATTTTCTGAGAGCAAATTTTATCTCCATGGTAGTTAGGAGAGTTCATTTTTCTGATTTTTTAAGCAGTTTTCATAATATTTGTAAAAATTCGGGATAAAATTTCGAAAAAACGGAAAATGTACGAAATGTAGGTATTAGTAAAAAAATATTATGGTCTTTTTTCTACGTACTAATTTTATACTCGGAATTTTGCTCTAATTTACAATAATAGCACTTTTTCTAAAGGGAAATCTAACTGGAAAGGTACTTCAAAGTCATTTTTCGATTTACCCAAGAGTTTTCCCAGAAAATGTGAAAGACCGTAAAAAACCGCAGAAAAAACGGGAAAATCGGTACAATATTAAACAAATATATTATATTAAATAAAATATATAATGTCTATTTAATTATTTAATCATAATATGCCATGCATATTGTTGACAAAGCATCAACTGAACTGCGCTCAGAATCGTTTTTCGTCAGCAATGATTTATCGTTTCTTACAGATTTACATTCAATTACTCATAACAGTGGCTATGCCCTTCTCCATTATTCTAGGACGTCTTTTTTGATAATGATATTTATGATTAGAACCGGATAATTATTATGAAACAGTGGGTAGCACATAATACGCACTATTAATAAATTCTACTGAAAAATGCGTATACAGGGTAGGTAATCAATTCTCGATAAAACACTCATTATCTTGGAGATTATAACTTTTTATGAAGTTTGTTTAGTAAAAAACTTAAGAAACAATTTGCCACACTTAAGATTTTAAAATAGCAACCTATAAATAAAATCCCATAAATCAATGAAAGATTAGTTTAAATAGTCAAAATAAGTTTGGTGTTGGCATTTTTGATTTCCATCAACTCGTTGATGAGATTTGTCATTTATGTGGCTGCATATTTCTATATCGAAATGTGTTTAAACTAATACTCCATCCATGCATAGAATTATTAATAGGTATAGGTTGCCGTTTGAACATCGAAAGCGGGTATTCTATCCACCTCCAAAAATTAGGGTCAGAAAAAATAATGGAAATGTTAGTTTTTAGAGCTAGCTGTTCTTAAATGTTATCAACAATTTCGAAAAAAAATTAATGCTTTCCGTGATATTCAGTGTTTTATCGAAGATCGATCAAAAAGTACATATTTTTGTTCTAAAAATATTTTTGAAAGTTTAATTGATTTACGATATAGCACACTCCGGATAAAGTACAATGCTTAAACACCGTTGATAGTGTACATTTCACGATGGTTATAATTACTTGGCTGTGAAACAAGTTTCACCCATTTGTAAACAATTGCGATAATATGGATATCTATTAAATTAATTAAATGGCAGTTTCGTGTTAGTTTGTCTGTGCAAGACACGTAGCCGCGATTCTATTGCACACAGAGCCCTGTAAATTTACGCAGAATCGGATGCACTTTGAAGCCGGATTTCCGAAACTCAACCACCAAATTGTTTAAATGGCTGACACGAGGTTTTCGGTATTTTCTAGTCGAATATCGAATTGTTTTCGTTAATTAATGATGGATTACCTTGGTTACACGGACGATAAATAATACTAATCTATATAAATAAAACCGGTCTCCGCATGTATGAAAGATCATCACTTGAGAACGGTTCAAACGATTTAGCTGATTTTTTTTGATTTTATTGTTCACACTCTTAAATCAGGACAAGGTCTAAATAAAATAAAATTTTTGGAAAATCCACTGTAAAAGTCGTTAATTTCGATGGTCTTTTTTTGTATAAAAATCTCAATAAAAAAAAAAAAAAAAATTGACGTTTAGTTCTGCTGTCACATGTTTCCATAATAACAAAAAATTGATACATACATATTATACGTCCGTTCCAAAAAAAACACGGTGAACTAAGTAAGTAACTAGTTCATTCATCAACTATGGTATTCGTTGTGTATATCCTCGTGACAACTATTACAGCTATTATACTTATTTATATTTTTGTTTTGACTTTTGTTTATTATTTCATCCATATCACCGTAGTAACCTAGAATACATTTTTAGTATGCCTAAGCCAAATTAGCCATGTTTCGCCTATTTTTTTCGTTCAATAGTGGAATGGGAAAAACCTAAGTGTTACGGGCTAGTAATATTAAAACACTGGAATCATATAAAATATATTTTTTTATTAACATCATAAAAAAATATTAACATTTATGAATAATTGGTTAACATATCAGGTTATCATACAATTGATCTGCACTTTTAACTGGTTTCCAGTCTCTAAAATCTGTACTCTATAATAATATTCTTACCTGCCTAATACAAATGTCACAATAAGGTCTTTACAAATAATTCAATATTAGAACATATATAATTTAAGAACTGTTTTTGACAAGTCAAAATCCAAAAATCCGAGAGTGATCGCCGAGACTTATTAAAATAATTTTATGATTTTGCGGTATTTGACGATAGTAATTTTCGCATGGAGAATATTCAAACGGTATAGATGACGTTTTTTCTTAGCAACGTGGCCACGAATTTAAATCTAAAAATGAAAACATTGTATTGGTATCAGTTGAGGTTAATAGTGATTTTTTCATTAGCATGAAGGTGGATAAAAGTGATTTTTAAAACATGTTTTAATAATATTATTATAATTTACGTCACATTTTTTAAATTCGGAGAGTAATTTGTGTTTAGTTGGTGTTCTGTGAATACAATTGTTAGACTACACAGAAATTGTTAAAATTTTAATAGGAAATTCATTATAATTCATACATAGTGATCAAAACAAGAAAATGAAAAATATAAATATAACGAAGGTAGAATTTTTTTTAAAAAGAGTAAATATTAAATTTTTAAGAAAATCGTAAATATTAAAGCCCTTCAAAACATGTATCTCATCGTTTTTCACAGAAATAAATAAAATAACTTAATGTATCCTACATTCCCAACTTTACTCCTAAAACAGCGGCACACCTGTTCCCAGTAATAGTTCTTAGATTTTTGTTTACATATTTTACACAAATAAATATGCAATACATACAACGCAATAACCGCTACACCCAAAATAAGGTGTTTTAGATATTAAATGAGACCTAGAGTTTTATAAAATTTTACAAATTGTATAGATAACAATATTTTAATATCTATTACTATTACATCATTAGTTATGAACATGAAATTCGTTTTTCGTTTTTTTTTTTTTTTTTCAGATATTCTTATTTTTTTAGAAAATTCAGAAAATCGTATACACGCACGCTTTCTGCGTTTAGCGATTCGTATATTATTATTAATATTAAATGCGAAATGGTCGTGGCAGGGTAGGATTTAATTATCATCCTCGTCCTCCCTCCACCGCTCCTACAGATGCATACGTTATATAAAACACGAACAATTATTTTTGATATTGTATATTATACAAACATTCCGGAAAGCCTACTTACCTGCCATTGGAGCACAATTCAACCATTCGCGAGCCGATTTTCGCGGTGTTTTCCGGGTAGAAGAAATTTATGTGTATCATCGTACCATAACATAGACCGAAAATTATCGATTCCATCAGCGACGGCCTGAGCAATTGTGTGTCGGCGAGATAGTACAGGATCTAAACAATAATAATATACAAACAAAACCGTATAGTTATCAGGAATACGAACATTTGTATACGTGTTTAAATACATGGCTGTAGACAAGAAAAAAAAAAAAAAAACCCCCGAACAAACAAACGAGGGCATGAGATAACACGATATTTATTACTCGATAACGGTAGGTACCAATATTTTACAATGACGTTAACGTGACGTAATATATATTCAAGGATTTTTTTCTCTTTTTTTTATAAATGTATATATATATATATATATATATATATATGTATACTTCATATCCTCGTTCGAAATATAAGGTGTTCGCCAATCTATAACAATAGCGACTAGTGTTTCATTTAAATGATATGTGTACAAATTGCATAACGCTATGTTGTATACGGGCGTAATAAAAAATTTCGTTTACACGGAAACGGGGTTTCAAAACGTTTTTATCAAACGATTCGTAAAACGGACAACGTTATATCGGTCGTTTTATATACGGACCGTGTATTTTGTAGTTAATAATGTTATTGATTTCATAATTTTGCATGCAAGTTCCAGATAAAGAGCACTTAAAGGCCCACCCATAACTACTAACACTTATTTTTGTGAATAATAATTTATATTGGAAATAGTTTTGTTTAATAATTATATTTATTGATTGAATCATTTCCCGTACTATGTTTGCATTGGTTTCATTACCATGTGTACATTTATTTATTTTTTTTTAAATTTACTGTTTCGTTTTTAGGAATGGATGTATACATTTTTTACGTCAAGAGTAATCATTTTGTAACTCGGTTCAATATTAATTTTATTAATTTTTTCATCGTGGAATCGTAAGTGTATTTTATATAAGTATCAGAATTCGTGTTTAATTTTTTCTTATACATTTAATATTTAATAAGGTTATAAGATGAACGAGTTTTAAAGTTAACTAATCGATGAATATTGTTTATGCAATTTTTAGAATGGATAAAGGTGTGGAGCCCTTATTATGGAATCAGATTTTAATAATACTTTCTTTTGAACTTAAGGTATAATTTCTTTCGAATTATTTATCAGTTTATTAATTTGTTTAGTGTAAATTATAGTTGGGTCATATGCTAAGTTTCGAATATTATTATTAATTAAAAAATATAAAGTTTTTTCATGAATTATATTAGTGTACATTATAACAATAATATTAGATTTATCTACTGGAATTATTTCTGAATTATCTGTTTTTAATTTATTCACTATATGTTATTAATAATTGTATTTTGTCATTTAACTATACTATTTTTTATTTTTATTTTGTTAATACATTTTATTAACAACAAAATATACAGTCCACATATAAAAGCAAATTATAAATATGTTGATGACACTTTCATTTTATTTAGAGGTTCAAATAGACAAGCAGAACATTTAGTAAACTACACAAACAAAATAAATAAAAACATTCAATTTAAAGTCGAAATACAAATAAATAATTAATTTAATTTCTCAGATCTTATAGTTTCTATAATAAAAAAATTAATTTGATTTTAGTATTTTCAGAAAATCTACACAAACTGATGCTATAATACCACACGGTTCTCCACATACTTAGAATATTTTCACACTTAAGCAATACGATGTTTTCTGAAGTGAATTTGTAGCAACACGCATTGTCAATGATACGACTGTCGTATTGCCGGTCGAAGTTTTTGAAAAGTATCTGGGCTCATTCTATAACAGTTTTTGAACTGAAAAGGATGAACTCAAGTATTAACCATTCAATAATTTTGTTTTTATTTTATTATTTTATAGTAAAGTATTATACAAATAACCCGAATTAACGTTTTACAATGGTATAGACTATAGAGTCTATGCTATAAACAGATGACATTATTTTTGTTTTATGTATATTTAAAAAAGCATAAAAAATTATTGCACTTGTTTTACCGCATGATTTTTCAAGTCGTAATGCCAGCCTGAAATGGTGTGATAGGTACGTAAGCAATGTCGTAGCCAGGGAGGATAGGGGCCATAACCTTCCCCTATCGGAAGTATTTTATTTTTTTTTATTGATTTTATATCGGTACATTCATAGATAAGTATATAATATTATATCTGTGAGTACGTAAGTACCTATAACTGCATGAATATATAATATGCAATTATTAAATAAGTAAATTATAATTGCTGTAATTAAGCACTTGCTTATATTAGATGAACAGCCGTTGGCTTTCTATACACACTGTTTCAGTTATTCTTTAAACCTTTGTATCTCTAAGGCATGTGAGATGCCTTCTATTATAAATGTATAAATGGTAAAATTAGCTCAGTTTCTAAATTTTTTTATGTGCAGCAAAAACTTATAAATAAATTAAAACATTTTATTGACGAAGGTATATCTAAATTCCATGATAGGAGTGATTTTGATAAAAGATATTAATTCCAATAAAAGTGGTTAAAAACAAAACTGAAAAAACTTTGTGAAACACGATAAGTCGATTGACATGATTCACTTATTACTTTCAAAGAACTTTACATTTTATATAAATGCTTTTCTAGAACATATTGAAAAATATGATAAAAATCTTGAAACCTCAACCAAAGCATCATTATATGTAAGTGCTATAACCAAAAATAATTTACTCGTCTCTCTTGAAGTAGCTGTTGTTTGCTTCTCATATACTAAACAATTAAGTCAAGTACTACAAAGTAAACAACAAGACTTATATAAAGCTTTAAATTATGTAATTATTGTTATAGAAGTTTTAGAAGCCATTCGGTCAGATACTGAAAAATGTTACCACAATAGCTTCTGAACTAGACGTTGAAATACGCATGCCTTAAATCTGTGGGAGATGAACTGCCCGAAAGAATATAAATGCCAAAAATGCAGAGAAATATTATAAAATAGCAATATTATTTTCTTGATAATCTAATTACTCAGTTACGTTCAAGATTAATAAAAGACTAAACGTAATTATACCATTAGAAGGACTCATACCATCTAATTTGATACTTTATGACGACCAATCAAACTTAGCTGATGCTTCTATTTACGAAAATGACTTTTTAATTAGTATGAATATATGTTTGAAAACAGAGTTATTCATATGGAGAAAACAATGGCAATTGAAAGAAAATTTTCCTAAAACTACTGTAGTAGCAATTCAGAACTGTACAGAGCTTTTTCCGAATATAAAGAAGATTATTTATTTACTACTTTGCCTGTAATATCCGCTACTTCAGAATGTACATTTTCTATTCTAAAAAGACTGGAAACATACTTATGAGCTATAGTGAACGAATGAAAGGTTGAATGGTTTGGCATTAGCAATAATAAATAAAGACGAAATCAAAATAAAAATATTGAATGCTTTTATTAAAAAATCCCATAGAAGGATGAAAGTTACAGATTGGACACAGTAATAATATTATATTATATACCATAAGAAATAAGTAACTCAACTTAAGAATATTAACCTTATAATTATTTAAATTGTGTTCAATAAGTTATTAGAAAAGAAAAGTTGTTAAATATTTTATCCATTTCAGCAGGACGTATTTACTATTTTATCTAGTAATTTAATAGGTACCTATATAAATTAGTAAAAACATTACAAATTAATTTTTTTATAAGGTTTTTTTATAGCCCCCCCCCCATTGAGAAATCCTGGCTATGCCACTATACTAGTGTATTCAAAATTATATTTTATTTTATTTTGTCATTAATTATTCAATATTAATCAATGTTATTATAAGGATACGTACCTGTATTAAATTGATGAAAGCCGAAATGTTAATGGCAAGATTCGGATCGATTGCGTACGATAGCCCGGCCAAAAACCCGGCGGGCAGAGCGTAAGCTGGCCGATCCTTTTGAAAATATCGGTTCATAGCGTACACTATCATCTGAAATGAAATTCAAATTTTACTTTTTTTTATTTCTCCCCTTCCACTCTTTGTACCCGATAATAATGTTTGCTACACATACCTAAAAAAAAACCTCACCTCGTATAAGACGACGTACGACCCAGCGAAAATGCCCGGTTTCAGTGTTTGCTTGTTGAACAATTTATGCATATTTTTCAGCTTCAGCACGGAAGTGTCTCTGATCAACATCCGGACAATACCATAACCTATGCCTAGTCCGAAATAATATCTCGTTTTCTGTACGGGCAAACAAAAATGAGTCTAGGTTATAAGAAAATTACCCGAGGAAAGTATGTTCCTCGATTTAACTATATGAAAATATATTTTTATGCATTGCTTGTTGCGCGTTTAACACAATTTTTGATGGTGGTAATCAAGGCTCGGAACTGATAGCGCTAAAAAAGTTAACTTTTAGAGCTTTAATACACAAATAAACGCTATAAATAGCATTAAATATTGGAAAACATGCAAACTAAAATTGTCTAGAATTAAATCCGATAATAATGCAGGACGATGCGACTGACATGAATTTAAAAATATATAAACTATTGAACTATATTATAAAGTACTTTGAAATCAACTGAAATATACGATACGGTAGGCGAAAACAATCACATGCGAGTATACGACCGCCTTTTTTAGATTATTGTTGGAGCCGTACTGGTTGAAAATCAAAGAAAAATAAATACATTAGCAATATGGTTTTATAAATCCTAAATAATATGCAGAAAAAAGCTAAAAAAGTTTTATATGACGTCCGTAAAGTAAGAAACTAACTTGTCTCTTACTCAGAATGGTTTAAGTGTCACCAAAAGTAATATGCAAATGCTAATATATTTCCGAGCTCTGTTTAGGTTAGGTAGTAAAATTAAAAAAAAAAATCATAAGTAAATTAATAATAGCCGAATCATAAACGTCCAATTTTTTTGTTCAGTTATTTTTATGTTCGGTCATAATAACCGATTGCAAATATAATAATTAAACGTTTGCTACATAAATTAATTTTTAAATATTACCTAACCTTAAAAATGGATTCCAAATATATTTTTTCATCTCGGCGTTTCTTGTCTGGTTTGAAAAACCTAACAAAAATCGAGCGTTTATTGATAGAAAAAAAAAACGCTATACGGGTTTTTATTATTATTGTTATATGTATGGCTATCCCACGATTGATCACAAAAGATTTTTTTTTTTTTTTAAGACACGATAGGGCAAATCTATAGGCGTAACAAGAAATAGATTATAAAAATAGAAATACAAAATAAAACATTCTCGATTAAACAAACGCAATTCTGCGACGTTGCCATTATCCATATTAAAAATTCTGAATTATAACAAAGGTACAAATAAATATTTATATCGGCCCGATTTAAAATGGTTACACTTTTCCTAATAGGATATTATTAAAGAAAATGTTTAATGCATACATGATTACTTTACCGTAATATGGCATATACATGCATTGTGGACAAATTAACACTATCAACTGAACTACGCTCAGAATAGTTTTTTCGATAGTAATGGTTAATCGTCGCTTACAGATATACATTAAATTATCTATAACAGTGACTGCACCCGTCTCCATTATCCTTGAACATGCTTTTCATAATTATAATAGTTAAAATTCAGTAATACAATACTAGCTACAGTACTCTCAGAATGCTTTGGTTGGCTAAGCCAAAGTGGTTGACACTTTAAAATTCGTCGGTTATACAAAAATAACGCACACGTTTATTTAAAATTAGATTATCTTTTAGTATCACTCTTCAGTTAATCAAAATCGCGAATTCATAAAAATAAAACTTTCGGGTTTGTCCGCAAATTGTTATACTACAAGTTTCTCTGGAAAATATTCGTTATCAAATTTAAACGAAATTAAATTTCTACTATCAACTACAAAATAAATTTTAAACAAAATTTAGCGTACTCGCAAACTGCCAAGCATCAACTACGAATATTCGTTACAACGTTTATTAGTGTACCCGCGTTTCTTTTCAACTTCGCATTATGGACGACGTGAAGTTTTTATAATTAATAAAGTTACGCAATCAATAATGTAATATTGTGACCTGTACAATTTTCATTTCCACTTTTACGTACAAATAAAACTTTCGCGGAGTATATTACAATCTCCCGGATTATTTTTGAGTAACGGTATTTACGTGATTATCAGAACAACTGGTCGTGTTTATCAATAGCTTAATGAAATATTGTCATAATAAAATAATCACCCTCCGAAAATTTGTATGAATGTAACTTTGAACTTGAACTTATTTATTTTTTTTTGAAATTGACTAGGATTGTTTTACTTCATCATTTATAAGTATCAATATTAATAATAATAATGTTTTAATAGGAAGCCACGCTCGCATTTACTGTATCCGTCATTCAAACTCGCGACATAGCAAATATGTGTACAGTAAGACAGATTTTGAGCCGTTAGTTTTAATATTAAATCTAATTGTCTTATCGCTAAGGTAAGACGATTATGAGTGCCCTAGCGTTTATGTTTTTGAATATTTAAATTTTCAAGCGAGTTATCGGTAAGCGAAATATTATAATTTAAAAATGATTATAATCGTCTTACCTTTAAGTTTAGTAAGAAGTCAGTTTGCTTTAATATCAAAACAATTAACAAACAGCACAACATGTGGCCTACTGTAGAACACACACTTGTTATGTCTTGCGTTTGTAAGACGGAGACAGTAAATGTCTGTGTGGCGTCCTCATAAGTATTGTAGTATTAGACATTAGCAATAGTTTAGCAAATATTAATAAGTAATTCAATATAATATGTTTAAACGAAATCGATATCACAATAAACAAACAATCATTAGAAATAAGAACAATATTTTAACTATGTTAGTAATTTGAATAGAACGTAATATGTAAACAAATGGTATTACAAAAAGAAGAAAGAGAAAATAAAACAGGGTCTCCTCTAGTGATCCTATGACGCAATCACTAGTGGACAATATTGTGTTAAATGACCACCTTTCAAAACCCTTTGAGGTATTGTGGTATCATAGTGAAATCCCCCTTTTTTTTGGTTCTTTTTTATATGTACTATGGGTGTACTAATTTTAATATTTTCCAAGAAAAACATTTTCAAAAAAAATGTGTGCCTCAAAGGAATTATTGTATTCCTATCGTTATCTTCAGCCTATCTTATTATTGTTTTCGTCTTAGTATATCTTAAATAGGTGTTGAAATAAAATTTAATAATTATTAAATATTTATATTAGCTGAACTCTTTTCCACTTAATTTTTCTGTACTTCAATTTGTCTAGCACCCAGTAATTTTACGAATTTATGTCCAATTGTATTGATTTTAATCAGTCCGCTCTTTTTCAGTTTTTGTTTCGAACAATACTCGAATGACTGCATAGAGACGAGGATGAGGCTCGCGGCTCGTGTAAGCTCAGCTCCTATCTTAACGTGTAATAATACGCGAAACTAATCAATTACAAAATTTCGGTTTGAATGACACTGTGGTAACGTCGCATAAAATATTCTACGTTCAATCGTGTTGCTGACAAAATATATGTTCAATCGCGGTTCACCAAATAATTAATTAACCAATCTAACCAATTATATTGCATTAGTTACCAAGTGTAACTCGTATAACTGGGCCCGGACAATTTTGAGGCGTACATCAGACAAGCGTTCGTAAACATGAAAAATATCGTTTCGTTGTACCGGTTCAGTTTCAATCGCCCGGAAGCGGCCATTACATTTACAATGGACTCGAGGGCCTGTAACATTAAAAAAAAAATTAACAAACCAAAAATATAATATCGTACAAAAGACCGTCGCGAGAGTTTACTACAAAGATGGACAGTAACTTATTAAACAGTGGTAAAAGTTATTTTTTTGAAAAAATTTATCTTAGAACGAAAAAAAGTAGAACGTTATAAATAAAGACCGGATTTATTTGATATTGCAACTTTTTTTGCAGTTAAGATAAACGAAATCTGACCAAATGTATAGGTCGATATGTACTTTATGTGTTATGCCTATTTAATTTTATTTTACAATTTTCTATGTTTAAATGAACAAAATATTTAACTCAGCTAAATTTATAAAAACGCTATTATGATATACCGATTTTTCGTTATGAGTAGATAAGGTAAGTTAGCCATTATGAAGAGCCATTATCAATATTTATAATATATATATTGATATTATACATCATTTTATCATCTTCGGTATTATCCGATATGGATAATTTTAGTTTTCTAGGATGCTCGATATAAAAGCCGGTTGGCGTTATAGGCGTTGTATTAACACAAAGAGGGGCACAAAATGTTGCACGTTTCAATGCAAATAATTTTGAAATACTTCAAAATATAATTGAAAATTAAAAAGACGATGTTATCAGCATGGAAAAGCTGAAACAGCTTGTACAAAATAATGCAGTCAAATGTGATTTAGCATTCATAAAATTACACTTATCCGACTTATCCATTAATCTTACAAACTCGGAAGCATCGAATAGTGTGAACTAAATGAAATTATGAATATGTTTAGAAAAATTGAAGATATTTAAATAAATATTCCTGGTCCAGATGGAAAAAAAATTAAAGACAAATTTACGTATGTAATTGAAAAAAATGAAGGGCATAAAACTATTAAATCTTATTATGAAGTCATGTCTGGTAAAATAAAAAAGTTAATTTAGATATAATCTTATTGACTTTAGACTATCTTATTGAATTATTTTAAATATACACCAATAACTAGTATAGACGTAGAACATAGTTTTTTTTTTGTACAAACATATTTTTAGTTATAAAAGATTTAGTTTTAATGAACTTAATTCGAAAACGTATCTTATTATAATTTTAATTCAAAAAAATAGAGTTATCTAACTTTTGTATTTTTATATTGCAATTTATTATATAACTTTTATGTATTTTTTGGTGCAATTATATAATTTTAAAATGCAATTAAATCCGGTCTTTAGTTATAAAATAATTTGAATATTTCTTTTGATAAATAAATTTAAATTAACTTAATAATTTTATTACGATTTATGTTATTTACGAATATTTTGGATAAAAAAAAACAACTGTGTACAAATGTCTTTAGCATTTATTTCTCCATAAAAATTACTCATATTTTTAAAATGAATATTATTATCTTATAACATAACAAGATGAGCATGCGTCTAATGCAGAGATATCTCTCACAAGTATAGTCAATTTTTAATTATACTAAGTTATCATTTTCTTAAGAATGTCTAAATTAATTTGATCACTCAAATTCACTTATATTTTGAAATTAACTTTAACATAGATTTTTTTTTAAATAAACTAATTTAAACTGTTTGAACAAATTGTTAAACGTACTCAGATATGGTTTTTTATAGACACTTTATACCAGGGAGGATAACGAACCTATGATACGCATATTTAAATACAGTTCATTATTTTTGTTTTACTTTCAAAAAAAAAAATGTTTTCCCTTAAAACTATTAGTTTGTACTTATGATACCTATATTATATCTCGTAGTTAGTTATGAGTTATGACATTAAGTACTTGATATTAGTTAAATACAATTTTGCGGCGTAATAATTATGTGTACTAAAAAAATGATTTACTTCACACTGACTTTCCAGTTAATAATCGAAATCGGAGCCGTATTTAGAAAATGACTGTCTAAGGGCACCAAAAAAAAAAAAATAATTAAATAAATAGTTGTGACATAAAGTGTATGAGCCTGTATCTCTTCCCCAACATCACCAGATCTCCCAAAAATTGTGAAATATTTAAAAAAATGTTTATAATATTACAAATACAATATTTAAATAGTAAAAATAAAATCACCCTCTAAATTCAGCTACCCGGGAAAACTGTCCCCTGTCGTCTTACACAAATGCGACCTTATTATTAAATCGAATATTATTTCGCCGGATACTGAAAGATTCGCCATCCCTGCTATGTATAATATCATTACGGTTATAATTATTATTCTTATTAATAGTGACCACTGACTGCGTTGTTGAATGGTACCAGAATTTGAGTTGTCATCTTTGAACCCAATATCCAGGCCGATGTGTATCCAGACAAAATCGCTGGTATACAAGTTAACGTAATTATTGTGTACCGGTTAAGGAAGTATCTGAAACCGAAACAAGTTTATAAAAACTCCATACAAATTAATAATAATTATTCATTTATATTATTATAGCTTCCTATTTAACGTGTACACACTTTATAGGTATTTACACAGTGGCGTTCTCAGAAATTTCCAATTTGGGGGGGGGGAGGAATTGTGGGTGATTTCTAGAAAAATATATAAGGGGCTATCAGCGCAAACTCCTCTAGTTATGACATTTAATATTATTTTAGAATCTGAGTGGAGCGAGGAATGTATTAGATTTACAATGATGTTTTTTTTTTTTTTTTATGTGAATACTTTTTTTACCAGAAAGCATAATCACATTATTAATTATACCACCTTTTCTGAAAGTAAATATTCTTTGGATAGTACTTTAAAGACGTCATTTTTTGAAATTCTCATTAATATTCGAGATAATGAGGAAAACCTCGTTTTTGAAATTTAAAAGATTGAAAATAAGGTTGTCATTAAGTTTTTATTATTTTAATCTTTTTTAAACAACCATTGTTGTTATGGAAAAGTGCACTGTTCTAATTATTTTACCATCATATAACATATATATTTTTGACAAAGCAACACTATCAACTGAACTCAGCTCAGAATCAAATTTTCATTAGCAATGGTTTACCAATCCTTACAGATATACATTGAATTTCCATCTTTATCCTACCTTCCCAACTTCTCATTTACAACAGTGGCTGCGCCTATGTGCGAAGTATGGTGAAATAATTACAACAATGTGCGTTTCCATGACAACAATGATTTTTTGAAAATGATTTAAATAAAAAAAACTTAATAATTACAAAAAATAAGCAAAAACGGTTGTCAATGACAACCTTATTTTTAATCAATCAGTATTCTTTAATCTAAAGAACCGGGTTTTCCTCAGTATCTCGAATGTTAATAAGAATTTCGAAAAAGAACCTTTTTTTTAAAGTACCACCCAGAGAACATTTCCTTTCAGACAATGTGCTATACTTGGAAATCGGAGTAAGCTTTCTGGTAGAAAAAGTGTTCATGTAAAACAAAAAAATTAACATCATCGTAAAACCAATACATTCTTCTAAACTCAGAATCTAAAATAATAACAATGCAAAATTGAATGCATTTTTAATTTTTAATAATTTGTCAATAATTTTTTGGTGCAATAAATATATTTATATTGTAATATTAAATATAAAATATACGATGCGACAATGAATTTTCAAATCTGTTACAAATTTAAAACGAATTTATTGCAACAGAAAAACGAATTATGGTCGGGAGGGGAGGTTAAACCCCATGAACTCCCCTCGTGAGTACATCCATGTATTGATGTGGCATTAATATTTGAATCTCTAAAACCGTGTATTTAAAAAAAAATCCGTTTACACTTGTAATTATTTACGTTATTCGTATAATTACGTACTCGTGTATTTCGCGTTAACTATTCACGCACCTTTACTTATTTACGTAAACACGGATAATAAATTTACTTATATCGTTATACGTAATTATACATTTTTCGATCGGACTCTGTGTTCCCGTACGTATTAGTGCAAGTTTTTAAACTAGACTTCGATATTAATGTACCAACATTTCGCCATTAGTGGTTCCAAAACTATATGGATACAAATCAATATAAAATGGGAATAATATTGATATTAAAAATGTGGATAGGTAACTCCTATGTGTATTACATTGTAGTCTACGGTCTAATAGGGACGTATATGAGAATCGATGCTAGCAACCTATGTTTAGGGGAGATATTGTCTAAAAATAATGATTATGATAAACATATACCTATATTTATCGTTAGTTTTATTGCAGTAAGTGGGCCAATACTCACGACCACAAAAATACTACTACCGAAGTCTCATTTATAGATCACTTTGGGATGCACTCATTTTCCCCCAGATGATAATCAAAAAAAGAATAGAAAAATCAGAATACAGGTATACCAATAATGAAACGTGAACATCTCGTGAGCTATTAAAATGTTCAGCCCATAGTCTACACGAGTAAATTATTCTGGTATTATACCATACAATTATACAATTATGCTTTATTGAGAGTATACTAAGGGCCCCTCCCTTTAAATACATTATGAATATAGTAAATATTACAGCCTTTCAAAGTAATTATAACCAAACTCAGCTCAGAATCGTGTTTCGTTTACAAAGATTAACTATTGCGTACAGATATGCATTAATATCCTATTTATATCCTACCTTCCAAATCTTCTCACCTACAACAATGGCTCACCCGTTATGCAAAGTATGTACGTATCATTTTTTTTCATTTTTATTTATGTGTCAACATAATAATAAAATTCATTTTTATAGTAATTAAATTAATTTATGATAGGTTTCTTAAATATTTCTTAAGGTTTTGGCTTTCCACTTTTTAACACCTATACAAATGCCCTATTCTGCAGTTCTCTGTACTATAATACTAACTGTAGGTATATTATTATATGTAATTATTCCCTATTAAAAAAAAAAAAAAAAAATAGTTATATTTAGTACACGTATATTTAGTAAACTAATATCCAGGTACATGAACGACGTTCTGTTAAAATACAACATATTGTACATTATGGTAATAATTGTCTGTTGCGCAGAAAGGTTGACATATTATTTGCATTTAATTTTAATTTCGATGTACATATTGTTAATATTGAACGCTCAACGGGTTATGAATATATTATAGCTATAGGAACCCGTTTAATAAACATAAAAACACAAGAAGAAAAATCGTATTAATTATTCGAAACAAAAGCCTGGTGAATGACTAATAATATTGTTTAATAGATTGTACGGGGAAAAAAAAAATTCAATATACCTGAATTTAGTAGTTTTGTTTTTTTATTTTACCGTATAAATTGAAAATCAATAATTGTTATCATTTATATTTAAACAGAATGATGTTATTTTGTATAATAAAGTAAACGTAAACGTAACCGTAATAGTTTTGTTTCAATTACGTATTACTTATTAGAACGTGGATTGATTTGTTTAGATTGAAATTTGAGTTTAATCATACATTACTTAATTTAAGGAAGTAATATTTCCAAATGCTTTACAGTATACCTTTTTCCCAAAAAATAAAACTACAGCTTACTCGAGAAAAAGAACTAACGTGGCTAGTATAGGACGTAAGGGCCGTATAATCCTCGAAAATTGTCACTATTTTAAACTTTGTTGTTTTATGCGTTTAGATTAACTTCAATCTAAACTGCCTGGTAACGCAACTGTTCCATGTTGCCCGTTAGTTAGACAGAAACAGCTTATTAGATTCGAACGCGCGGGTGACTTTTGCTAGTAAATATAGCAGGGGTGGCTAAACGTTTTTTGGTAGAGATCTACCATAAGAATATATTTTTCCTTTGAGAATCGACTTCCTAACAAAAATGTATAATTATAAATGATCTGATAGATATTAATAGTACACATAAACGTACAAAACTAAAATGTATAGTTAAATAATATTTTTCATCACACTATTACTAAGACTAACACCATATTATTGTAAATACAATTGCTAAGATAATACATTAAGATATAAATGATCGGCAATCGTTATTTATTTACTAATTACATAAAAATAAATTATAAAAAAATGGAGATCGACATTTAAATCATCTGCGATTTACCGTCGATCGCGACCAACCGTTTGGACACCCCTGAAATATAGTACACTGAAATTATTTCAATCTTTATACCTTATCGTGCAGCTGTAAAACACAGTAGTTATGGTCAAGCACGGGCCTATGCCGATGCACCGGAGCCCATCAATTAACAGATCTTTGGCCAGTGTGTCGTTCGATTTATTTTTTCTCCATATTCTTAGTCCATAATTGATCTGTACGAACGGTCGATATCCACGTATGCGATTTGTGCAGGCCATGGATGATGGGAACGCCGTTGCAATAACAAAAATAACGATATGTACTTGAAATTGGACAATTTTTCCGAAATAAAGTAAATAAAATAAAAAATAAAAAATAAATTATCAGTCAGTTATAGATATATATAAGAATCCTAAGTATACAAATATCCTTAACTTAGTTTTATAAGATAACTCCAAATAGGTTCTAACTGACGAAAAAAAATATTATCAGATTTTTTTTCCCTTTTGCAAAAATCAATTATACAAACATTTGCGTGGAACATCACATATCATTTTTTTTCTATTTTTACAACAAAAATAAAACCATTAATAATAAATTCTCAACAAAAAAAAAAAAAAATCATCGTTATTTTTTTATAAACTTTACAATGAATGATATTTTTTATAAAACAGAAAATAGAGAATATATTATGATCACTCAATAAAAAGTGTTTACAAAATATGTAAACGTAAAGAGAATGAAAAAAATCGGAAGACAATTTTGTTTTTATTATTGTTATTTGAAACCGATCCGGAGGGTACAGAAAATTTGTTTTCTCCAAAACAAAGATATAGGTATGTATATATAACTCTACAGAAACTGCGCGAGTCGTATAAGTAAGATAGTTTACCAGCGGTGAATACATCCCAATTTTGAGGCAAATGTGTAATTTTCAAATCAATTAGAGAGAGGGTTAATGGGATTCAATACTACTCCTATTATCCTCGGGAGAAATTTGTTATTAAATTATGGTGCAAATTCTAACTGTTTTAAATGAACAAAAATCTATCAATTTCGGCGATGTCGGCTTCCGGTTTTATCGCCAAAACGTCCCGTATGTTATGATAATGTCCAAAGTAAAACCCTGAAAGTATATCGGCACTCACGCACAGCAACGGTAAGAGCATTTTCAGGCCGCCAATGGCTGAATCACGGATCAGTGACCGGTAGGCGTTCAGACAGTTCGGTTCCCAGTTATGAACGATTTCACTGCAAGTGCCCTCGACAATGTATTTGCTTAACAACATCTTGTGACGACGACGGCAAAATGTCTGGGGTCGTTATCGCCGCTGGTTTTGTGTGGTCAATCGTGACTGACCGACATGCAATGCAATAATATGACGCCCAAGCGTTATCGTGCGTCCGAATCCCCTCCACCGCGGTTGCAAAATTAGAATTTTAAAATAAGAATGGGGGACAATAAACAAATGTATATATAATCAACATTGGATATAAATTAGCGAAAACAAATTTTAAAAAGAACCAAAATATTCCTCGCTTCGATCATATTCTAAAAAAAATGAAAATTAAATATGTAATACCGCCGTGCAAAAACGTCGCACCTTTTAAATTTACTGCGTACGTGAACAAATCTGAGAATTTTTCATTTTCACCTTTATAATCGAAAAAGTGTTTTTTGATAAAAATAAAAAATTCGTTGTTTAATAAAAGTTTCTCAAATTTTGTAAATAATTTTTCAATATAAGCAGAGGTACTTTTTTTTCGATTACCACTTATAATATGTATTATGGATCTGTCAGATACCACTTATGAATAAAAATTGACTTGTTCATTTCATAATGTGTATCCGTTTATTTCACAAATGTAAGAATTTAAGACGCAGTTAAATACCACAATATCTGTACCAGGTGATTAATTTAAGTGGGTAAACTTATTATCTCAAAAAAGTATTAACTTTTACCAAAATTTCTTTTCTAAAATATTTAAGAAACAAGCTGCTCTACAATTAAATAATAATTTTAAGACCATTAACGTTCTAACAATCAAACTATTATTTAAGAAAATGGCTATTTTGTGGATAATAAAGAAATTTAATTTATTTGTGAAAAAACATTTATTGTGTAATGCAAAAGTAATTTACTTTAGAAAATCATTCAGTAAAAAATGTGTGGATTATCTTGGACCTTGTTTTTTTAATAATTTTTTACCATTTAAGCTAAAAACAAATAATTATTTAACTAAGATCTAGATAATTTTAAAAAAAAATTTACTTGAATGGTCGTTTAAAACAACTTGTTTTTGTCTATTACTTAAAAATGAAAATCTGTAATTTAACATTCATAGCATCTATGTAACAATATAAAATCGTTTTACATCTTTATTTGTATACTTTAGTAGTATGTAATAATATAACAAATCATAGTTAATTAATCAATTAGTTAACTTTGTAATTTTTAACCCTCTACCTTCAAGACAAGCTCAGCTTAAAGAAAGTAGATAATTTATCAAATGGATTCAATATAATACCACAATGCCTTAAAGAGTAATCACTTGTACACCATGGAATATTAGAATTTGTAATCCAAAAGTGTGCGTCCAACAACGATTTTCGATATTTCAATTTATTTTTATTAATAATTCGTATTTTTCATTGAGCCTATACAATATATTATTGTTCCGTGTTTTTGTTAGATTTTCAACACCACGAGTATTCGTTTTTATTGTGCGTGGGTATATTATTCATTTCCACGATAATTACACGAGATAATTCAGTATCTTTTGTGTATGTTGGAAATCTGTTCTTTCTTTTCAGAATTATTGTTTAGATTCGCATTTAAAAATAAATGACAACGTTTAATAAATTCGCGCCTTTTATTGTTTTTTTTTTTATATATATATATATATATATAATTATTTTTATTTTTTTCACATAATTAAAAAATAATATAATGTCGCTCGTGCGGTTATTAAATAGAATCCAGGACAATGGGAAAAATCCACAACCGTACGATCGAAAAGGAAAATGATTTATTCGGGGCCTCTGCTTCAAAAATGCCACTTTGGTACAATATTCCACAATTATTCTATCACAATGTCGATTCGAAAATACATTTTCATAAACAAAATAATAACAAAACAATCTCTGCGAATAAAAATCGGACCTTGTTATAGTTAAATTTTTAGTACATTAAAATTATACGAGTGTGTAATGCGTACTGCGTGAACTGTGAACTGCGTAATTTATTTTAACTCAAAATGTGTTGAAATAGTTACATTTTAGATTCTGAGTGTAGCGAAGAATGTATTGGTTTTACTTAAATGTTTATTTTTTTTTATCCTGCGTACAAAAATTTTACCAGAAATTTTGATAAATACACACACATACATTTTTTTTTTTTTGTGAACATGTATATATTGCTGATTTTAAAACGGCGGTGAAGTCAGAATGAAGCGGACTGACTAATATTCGAAATTAATTTTTTAAGTTCTAATATTACTGGATATTATATGTTATGTTAAATGACTAAATTTTGTCATCTTAATAATGTGTTTGTCGTGACCGAATAGTTATACATACCTAATTTCATCTTAGAGTTCACGAGTTTTAACACGTTTTTCAAAAAAAAATATGTTTACACTTATTTTTTCCCTTTTACTTAAACAGGGAAAAAACAAATGTATTTTAGGTTTACCTAGAGATCCAGCTATCACTTACTCGGACTATTTTAGTTAACAAATGCTCTCTTTTGTTACTGTGCAAACTTTTCTACCAGAAATCTTGCTCTGATGTGTACAATATATACTCTTTTATGAAAAGCATTTTTCTCAGGGTGGTACTCTGACTACGAAGGCACTTTAAAGAGGTCATTTTTCGATTTCCCCAAGATTTTTCCCAGAAAATGTGAAAAACCCGAAAAAAAAAAAGGAAACTGGGAAAATCGATACAATGTTAAACTAATATTAAAGAAAATATTTAATGTCTATTTAATTATTTAACCATAATATGACTAATATATTGATTAAAAAGCACGACAATCAACTGAACTGCGCTCAGAATTGTTTTTTCGTTAGCAAAGGTTTATCGCTGCTTACAGATATACATTAAATGACCTATAACAGTGGCTGTATCAGTCTCCATTATCGTAGGACGTTTTTTTTTTTTCGTTTTTGATAAATATTATATTGTGTGAATGAAAAACCTATTAAAATGATTCAAATTGTAAAATAATAGTTTACTTAGAAAAATTTTGCTACATTTTATAAATCACTTCATTAAATCTGTTCCAATAACCGAAACATTTAAATTATTACTAATTTTCTTACTACTATTTTTTTTTTTAACTAATCAAATATCTACATAAAATTATAAAACGAAATATAACATTCGACAGATATTAAACTATATATAGTATTAAACTTATGCATGGGGCATTACAATATACGTGTTTCGGCGAGTTGATCAATGTGCGATTTGTTCACGTATTTTGAGAGTAACAAAGAGGCTATAAATTTTATGTTTTTGGCTAGTAAAAAAGCTCCATTTTATTTATGTTTCACCATAAATATGTCGATTTTCCGTTAGACAGTACTTTATTTGAAAATTTTTTAAATAAGGTTACTATTTTTTCAGATTACGGCATTTTATGTGTGTTTTCAATACACTCTTTTGATTAGAAAAATGCTCCAAATTAAATATTTTCACTCAGTACGTCAAACAATGCAGTATTTTTATCCGGCTGTAATTTATTTGAAATATCAATAGACATTTTTATTTTACAGTTCACTATTACGATAGTTTTTGTTTTTTTTCTCTCGGAGATTAATGTTTTGGTTAACAAATTATTTGCACCTTCAAAGATACGGACTTCTCATTTAATATTACTTATTATTAGAATCAAAGTGTTAATGATCCGGACATTTTTTCTATACAATTTAAAAAAACTTTTTACATTCGAAGCGTATACAGATCAGATATATAATACAGATCTGACAGAAATACCAACATCAGTACTATCACGAGATAAGAAGAAGTTCTAGTAGTTGTTAACTTTTTCTTGGTTATTTCATATTTCAATTAATAATTTATAACAAATTTTTATATTAGTTTCTTTATGTAATAAACTTATAATTATTGGTTCCGTTTACATGCCTGTTCGTTCTAATAAATAACTTTTTTTAGATCACTTTTCCACTGTTGAAAATTTCACTGTTCTAGAAAACCCTAATTCCGATATTATTTTACTTGGTGTTTATAATCTACCTTCTACCTCTTTTTATGATTCTGAAAATTTGTTGAATGAAAATATCTCTAATTTTAATCTATCTCAATTTAATCATATTAAAAAAATAAATCCCAATAGCAAAAATTGATAAACTTCACATACTGCTAAACATCTACTATACTTGTTATCATATACAATATTTGAATTTTATTTAACCTATTTATTTATGGAAAAAAAGATAGTATAAAGTTATTTTAAATTACTCGGGTTCCGTTGATTGGAAATAATTATTATGTCACAATGATGTTAAATTTAATTTCGTAAATTTGTATCTACATTTATTTCACGGTAATAGAATTATATATTCCAAAATCAATTTATCTATTAGTCAAATTATCCTTATTGGTTCGGTAATGACTTAAAAAAGCTAATTAAAAAAACAAAAAAAAACTCATTATAATTATAAAAACACAATGTTACCTTCTGATTTTTTAATTTTCTCTGATTTGCGCGCAAAATGTAAATATAAAAAGAAAATAAACTTTTTAAACTTCATCAAGAATTCACAACATTCTATCAAATTAAATCCAAAACATATTCTATTATTATCGTATTATATACGTATAAGGGGTTTAATTTAATTTTTCACAAATTACACAAAATTAATTAAAGTGAAATTGTGTACATCGAAATAAATGTGATTATTGTATATGTTTAATAAAACATGTGTACATTGATATAAAAGATTTCTGTAACAAAATTAGTTAGATTTAATAAATAGTAAAATTTAGTTCGAAAATCGAATACGGGAGAAGTCGAGTAATTTAGCTTGCTATAAATAAAATCATTAATTTAATAATTCGTGTAAGACAACAAATATAAGTATGAGTACATGAGTAATATTATTTAAAAATATTTAAACAAAGATATAATTCGTATCAATTATTTGAAACGGTTGTATAACAGTTGTATGATATCGAAACATAATCGTGAAGTTTTATAATTTATTAATTTCGACAAAAAATAACATAATTTAAAAAAAAAAAAAAAATGACTACTCTGCGAGTTCAATGCATTCGGTGAGGCCGATGACAACATAATTGAAAAAAAAAAAAAAATGACAACACTGTGGGTCGAACACTATCAATAAGGCGATGAAGAACTATTCGTCGCCATTGTCGTCACTCGAAATCCATACGGGCTCATCATGATGTTTCGGTAGGGCTGCGCGCCTTACGCTTTACAGACAAACTTAATATTATTTAATTTCATACTTGCCGACGGTACAAAATATTGAACTAAATTTTCGAAAATAAAATAATAATTATATATTGTAATCGTATACTGTGTACCATGTAGTATACTAAAGTATATTATTCCAATTTGACTTAAGATTTTATTCGGATATATTTAATTTTGAAAACTGTGTACGTGCCTAATGCGTGCGTGGGAAAAAAAAATAGAAAGTACATATGACTGCTTACTTATTATTCAGTTTACTACTACTATACACTGTGAGAAGGAATAATAATTTTAACGCCTATATTTCGGTAGTGATCTGAGAGTGATAATGGTCGACCAGGTCTAGAGTTTGAAGGCCGCAGAGACGTCTTTACATATTTGACGCTCTGGGGCACTGTTTTTTGTAATACTGTTTTGTGTGAACAAATGTTTTTAAAATACACTTGAATTTCGAACTGTACACTTTATAACTGTATTAAAACACACAATACGAGTAAACTTTTACATAAAGAATTACCATTTATCATTTTTAAAAACCAATTCCCCCTTTGGCATTAGATACGTCACTGGAAGGTCGTGATTATTACAAGTGCAAACTTTGAAGTCTGTAATCAGTTATAACTACTAACCAACAAACATGTAAGTACCAAAAAACTATATGTTTGTGTTTTTCGTGTATAATTCTTTGACGAAAATTAAGCCGTTTCACGTAAAATGTAAATATCATTATCACAAAAAGAGGATGATTCCTCATCGTTATACCCAACATAGGATTGTCGTATGGCTAGTTTATAGATTACAGAACAGTTGGTAAGCCATGTGTACATATCCAATATAGTGGGTGTATGTATATTCGCTGACAACAGAAACGACACTTGATCACCATGATCCATGCACCGACAATGGTGGATTATTTTCATATATTAAATGCATAATATTCAATTTTTACACAGTATAGGATAGTGGTTCCCAACCGGGAGGAAGTTATTTTGTAAAATTAATTTGTATGGCTCACTAAAAAAAAAAATCTCCTGAACTCTAATAATCTAATCTAATTTAAGGAGAGGGGGTGTGTGAGATTTTTAAAAATTTACAAGGGGAGCGTAGGGTAAAAAAAGTTGAAATAGGAAAAAAAAACAATATAAATTACAATTTCTCGGCCTATTTTGTGTTATACAAAATATTCTTTGTAAAACAACAATAAATAACTGAATGTACACTATAATGATACGATACAATATACTTACTATAATATTACACAGATTCAAAAATAAAATGTTGTAATTAAAACATATAAACGGTAAGGTTGGCCGGACAAGTGTTGAAACCTCAACTGTTGAATAACTACAGCCCCATCGCCATGATGTCATTTATATACTCAATTCCATCTCTCTGGGTTCATTTGGGAGGCCTATATGGGGATGTTAAATGTTAAAACAACAACCTTATCTGTCAACAATACGGTGAAAATCATATTGCATTTAACCTCCGTGCACGGTATAACCGCTGTTAAGACTTAAGGATGGGGTATTAATTGGTTATTACTGAATAGAAAATAACATTTTTTAATTCGTTTTTTTCGAACTTAGTTCATGTATAAAATGGGCCTAAATCCTAATCAACTTTTAACTGTGGGCAGCTGTTGTACGTGAGAAGTTAAGAGGGTAGAGAGAAAATTTAATGTATTATTATTTACGATTTTAAAAAAATGTCGTATATTTTCCGGTTTTTCCCGTTTATTATAAAAACCTCAAAATCAAAAACTGATCTCCTTGAAAAACCACCCTAGTCAAATTTCCTTTCAAAAAAGTGATATATTTGAAAATCGGAACAAAATGTCTGGTAGAAAAACTGTTCACAGGAAAAAAAAAAAATAAAAACCGAAAAAAAAACATTATTTTCTAAAATAAGCGATTCAAACATTTCTCTATATTTCTCAAACCCGTTTGATTTTTTACGAACGGTATCGGTCTCTTTTCCTTTTCCTCTCTTTTTTTACTTTACTTCTGGGTAAACACTGTCGTGTTTGCTTAATTCGTATCGTAAAAGATTAGATACATACGAGTATACAATTCCGCCCACGCGTTATTTTTCATGATTTCGCCAATATTTTCGAAATTCTGTTCTTTATTAATAATAATAATATTATTATATACATACGCATACATGTGCTCAAATAATATTCAATAACATAGGTACTTTATTTGTATTACATTTTTTGTTTTTGTTTTGTTTTCTAATCCGATTTACATTATACACGCGACGGCATAAAATAACAGTTAATTGATAATTTATTAAATTATTATAATATATTATACGGATCAATCGACTTCCTCGACGTTCGGCCCTTTCGCGCCGGCCTGGTGTAGCTTAGTCATAATCGGCGAACATTCTTTTTGCAGGTCTTTCAATTTGTCTTCGAACTCTTCTTTGTCCGCCAACGTGTTCGTTTCCAACCACGTGATCACGGCTTTACACCTATAAACCGCAATATATTCTCATTAAAATATAAACAATATCCGGATGGCCATTAATTTATTAATTAAAAAAAAATTGAATTTGCTTGTTTTTATTTTTCTTTTAAATGGACAACAGACATTTGTTTTAACTCCGCGTCAAGGAAGACGGCAATCAATCCACTACATACAGGGCGCCCCACGAATATATAATAATATGACCATTGTAATCTATTGAAAGCACACTTTTTTTCATATTTTTTTTTATACAATTTAAGAAACAAAATCCCTAAAATATCGGATTACTGTTATTTTTTTGTACTACCAACTTTTGATTTTCAAATCGTAATCTATGTATGACATTCCATAAACAACTAATAATGTAACAAATATAAAATTAACAAAATATTTTTAAATATTTGTAAAAAAAAAAATTCCCGAAATGTTTATACTTTTCAAGATAAAATAACGATCATATTTTCGTGGAATACTGTTTTTTGGTTTTCTTAATTATTTTAAAAAATACATTAGACCAAAAGAAAAAAAAGACAATTTACTTTTTCAGTGGCAATATTGTTGAAAGGAACAAAATCGTTATCTTGTTATTTTTTTATTGAACCAATATTTCTGGTAGAAAAAATAATTTGCGAAAATTAAAAACAATGAAAACTTTAACGACGCGGCACATCGTACCGAAAGTATTTGTCGTTTTTCCTATAATTTTCTTTTGGTTTTTCCCAATCGTTTACAAAATCCCTTAGAAAATTAAAACATAACCTCTTGAATGTACCAAATAGATAAAAGATACCGACAGAAAAGGCGCTACACTTAGGAGCAAATTTTCTGGTAGAAAATTTAGCCATAGGTACAAAAAAAATACACCAATGTAAAACCAGTAGACCCTTCTCTACGCTCTGAATCTGAAATTAATTTAAAAGGAATAAAAATTGTTTTTTAGTTTTTAATATTACGAATATTATTCGAATATTTTCAATCGTCTGAAAATTAAAAACGGTACGGTTATACTTTGTAAAAAACGGGAAAACGAATTTGTATACAGTTTATTAGGGGAATGGCAACAATTTCAATGGTCGCGCTAACGTTTATCAATAACTATTGATACCCATTACCTTTCCAGTGTGTTCTTCTTGTCAGTCTCCGACAGTTTTGTACCGGCCTCCTCGACCGCCTGTTTCACGCTGAACGCGTAGCTTTCCAACTGGTTCCTGGCGGTCACCCGTTCCTTTTGTTTTTCGTCTTCTTGTCTGTACATCTCCGCCTCCTTCAGCATCTTGTCGATATCCTCCTTGGACAGCCGGCCCTTGTCGTTCTTTATGGTGATTCGCTCCGACTTGCCGGTGGTGATTTCTTTGGCGGACACGTTCAGAATGCCGTTGGCATCCAAATCGAACGTCACTTCGATTTTCGGGACTCCACGGGGCGCGGGCGGGATGCCCGTCAAGTTGAAGGTACCCAACAGGTTGTTGTCCTTGGTCATGGCCCTCTCTCCTTCGAACACCTAGAAACACGAATATATATTATATAATTACGAATTAACATACCCCTCGACCAGTAGCCAACGCAAATGGCATGTCAAAGATATTAATAAACGTGGGTTATGGATATTTTAGACTCTGAGTTGGGCGTAGAAGCTTATAGTTTTACAAAGACGTTTATTTTTTTTTTTTTATCTGTCAAAAACTTTTTTACCAGAAAACTTTCTCGGATTTCTAAATGTAGCACCTTTTCTAAAAGGAAATCGGTGTGGGAAGGTACTTTGGGGAAATTATTTTTCGAAATTATAAGAAATGTAGGTATTAGTGAAAGTATATGACGGCTTTCTTTTTTTCTGTAAACAACTTTTCAACCAGCAATTTTGCTCCAACTTTTAATGGTAATAAAGTTTCGAAATGGAAATTTCCCTAGGGAGGTACATAAGAGAGGTAATTTTTCGATTTTTTCAGGAGTTTTCCCAGAAAATGTGCAAACCCGGGATAAAATATGGGAAAGCCGGGATAAACGTAGGAAAATTTATAAAATCGGTATAACATAGTTAAACAAATATTATTAAAGAAAATATATAAAGCCTATTTAATTGTTTTACTCTAAAATGACACATATATTGTTGAAAAATAATCACTATCAACTGAACTCCGCTCAGAATCGTTTTTTAGTAAACAATGGCTAATCGTTGCTTACAGGTATACATTAAATTATCTATAACAGAGGCTACACCCGTGTCCATTATCCTAGGACCTCTTTTTTTCTTTTTTTCTTTTTTTTATGGTCATATTTACTGGGAGTTAGACAATTATTGTCTAATAATAAGTTTTCTCTTAAATTAAAACCGTGGCTGTACCTACGCCCTTTACGGTTATTTAACTTGGTTAGGTTTATGTAGTTACTTATTTCAATCAATTTTAATGTTAATTAGGTGCCTATTCTATTTGATGATGCGCACTCACTTGGATGGTGACGGCCGCTTGGTTGTCCGCGTACGTAGTGAATGTTTGCTGTTGTTTGCACGGTATACGTGAGTTCCGTTCGACCAGTTTGGTCATCACGCCGCCGGCAGTCTCGATACCCAGCGACAGCGGTGTCACGTCGACCAGCAGTACGTCTTGGATGGCCGAGCTGGTGTCACCGCTCAATATGGCGGCTTGCACGGCGGCTCCGTACGCGACCGCCTCGTCGGGATTTATGGACAAGTTCAGAGACTTTCCGCAAAAGAAGTCCTGCGGCGAAATACGCGAACGGTTTGAGAAAAATAATAATAATAAAAAAAAAAAATAAAAAATATTTCCTATCGCTACAACGGCTAACGTCTTCGGCCGCTACATTCCTCGATTTCGACTCTACTCTGGTTGAGTCATCCTAATCCTCGACCTTCGTTTAATCGAACGGTTTGATATACGTCGGTTGTACAGTGCCGGTTTACTCTTAAGTCAGTGATTAAAGGTCGGTCAAGTTAACCTCCCATGATGGAGGTGGGGTTGGGGCATGGCCCCAGGGCCAGATCTTAACGTCTTAACACCCGCGGAAAATGAAAAAGTTCCACCCATTTCAGGGAAATGAACAGTTAATATTTGTTTTACGGAAATAGTGTTACCAAATATGTATAGAACCACTCGCAAATATACAGAACGCCGAATAACTAATCGCCGCCTGACCATCCACTGTACGACACACACACGTATAGATAACGCGCGATTAACTGATTAAACCATTGATTTGGTAATCTCAATTTGACCGGCGAACCGTACAACCGGGCCTTAGCATGCTGTCCCAATTACTGTCTCGCACGTCCGTCCATCTGGCCCGCACCTCCGACTCTCCACATCCCTCGTCAATATTATTATTATTGCATATACAATTATTGATATTATTCGCCGTCCGTTACCTGTAACATTTTCTGTATTTTCGGTATCCTGGTGGAACCGCCGACCAGGACGACGTCGTGTATGCTCGCCTTGTCCATCTTTGCGTCGGCCAGCGCCTTTTCGACGGGCGCCAGCGTGGACCGGAACAGGTCCATGCACATCTCCTCGAAACGGGCCCGGGTGATTTTCGAGTAGAAGTCGAGACCGTCGTGCAGGGCGTCGATCTCCAGCGACGCCTCGGTGCTGGACGACAACGTCCGCTTGGCCCGCTCGCAGGCAGTCCGCAGTCGGCGGAGGGCACGCGCGTTGCCACCGATGTCCTTGTTGCACTTGCGCTTGAACTCGGCGACAAAGTGCGAGACCAGCCGGTTATCGAAATCCTCGCCGCCCAGATGAGTGTCGCCGGCCGTCGACTTGACCTCGAACAGCGACCCCTCGTCGATGGCCAGGATAGACACGTCGAACGTGCCGCCACCCAAGTCGAATATCAGCACGTTCTTCTCGCCCTTCAGGTTTTTGTCGAGCCCGTACGCCAGCGCCGCGGCCGTCGGCTCGTTGATTATGCGCAACACGTTGAGTCCGGCGATGGCGCCCGCGTCTTTGGTCGCCTGTCTCTGCGAGTCGTTGAAGTACGCCGGTACGGTTACCACGGCGTCGGTCACCTGCGGGACCAGTTTCAATGCGATTTTTATTTGCCCGGCATTTCATTTTAAATTTTTCTCGGCTATTAAAAAAATACCCTCCCGCCAGTGGCGATCGCCCGGGAAACACCCGGTTCACGTGTACCAGTCACTTGATTTTATATTTTAACGAAATACAATACGATAATCGTAATAATAAAGTCTATACAGTATGGCATTTTAGTACCCACGTTATTTGTATACTTAATAACGGAGTCCGCGAACCCGTGGAATTTTACTCGCGTATAATACATTACGTTTTCATACACGTGATGCTGCGATCCGCATTCACGTGTTTCAGTGTTGATCACGTGAATATACGGTGAGAATACGTAAAAAAGTAACGCGCATAGTTACACGGAATTGTTTGGTTTAGAGAAAAAATACAGAAAAAAAAATAATAAATAACATTTTAGATAGCTTATTATGTCCTCGTTCGATTAATGTTCTACCGTCGGCAAATGGATATTTAGAGCAAAAATAATAATGAAAAACGAATAAATATAAATAATAATTTACAAAGTTATTTAATTTCTGTTTGTACCCGTAACGAATTGCTAACGGAAAACGATTTGGAGCGAATTCCCGTAAGACACATTTTGGAATGTGTATTAAGAATAAAACGTGGATTAAAATTGTCCGGGGCAATTTTGCTGTAAACATTATTACGACGACGTTCAGTCGAACCGATATTATTATTATTACAATGATTCGGATCGATAGTATTATTTTTGAAATTCCGTCTTTTACGTTTCATGAAACGTAAAAGACGGAAATGTGTACACACAGTTATAGGTAATATTGTCTGATTTTTGCTCGGTCAATAAGGTTTAGACATTTAATCGAATTGTAATCATAACTGCGTGTGTAATAGGCACCTAGTCGAAATTAAACGTATACAATTTTATATTAAACATAAATTAACGAAACTGGTGAACGGTGGACATTGCTACCTAAAGGACAATCGTATAACAGTAAAATAAGTTATAATATTAAATTAAGTTTGTCGTACAATATTGATTTTTAATTTGATTGATTTTGTACTTTAACATTATTAATCATCATTTATATTCTTTGAGATTCCGAGCGTAGCTATTGGTTTTATAACGCTGTTTATTTTTTTTTTTCTCTGTTCTAGTCTGTGGACACGTTTTTTCCTAGTAAACTTGCTCCGATTTATAAGTGTAGCACTTTTTCTTGAAGCTCCAATTATCTAGATTGTACTTTAAAGATATCATTTTTTTTTAATTTTCGACGTCATTTTTTAAATAAAAGAATTTAAATGGGGCAAAAATGTACAATTGCACGATTTCGTTATTTTATAAAAACACGGACGACGTTTTTACCAGAAAAAAATGATTTAATCGAAAAATCAAAAGAAACCTTTTTTACAGAAATACGTTAATTTCTTCGTTAAATAGAAATATAGTATCACATTTAATCAACCAATTTAGGGATTTTATGAAATATACATACGATTAGATTAGAATTATTGTTTGATAAATTACTGATTGTAGTGAATTTCCATTATCAAAATAGTGCACTTTTATAATGTACTATACGAGTACGTAATTATAATATAGTTTATTGTGAACTCCACGTTTCATGAGATTGATATTTCGTATTACTTATTTTTAACGTTTGATTTTTGGATATCAAACAATTTATTAACCATTTAGTTTTTTTAATTTTATGTGAAGTATTTGTTTTTAATTTTTTTTATTGTATTAAATGCCAAAAAGAGCGCATTAACTCATGAACAAATTATCGACGGGGTGCATTATTGTTTAAAAGTGAACTCATCAAAAACTGTGGATTCGGTAACGGTAAGTATTACTGTTGTACGACCAACGGCAAGATATTATGAAATAAATTTGTACTTCGATTAGCAAAAATGCTAACATTTTTTCTTACGTAGCAAAATAAACATGCAAATGCATAGACTTACAAGCCCTGATAATATTATTATTCATAATTATTATTTAATACCTATTTAATTTTTCTTTAGGAGTGGCTTTGTTATCAGATATTGTTGTAACGTAATGGACATAAATGAACTTAATTTACGTCTATTTCCTCAATCCCCCCCCCCATCATAGTTATTTAGCCCTGCCCATTTTGAAATGCGAATAACTTTTTTCGCTTTACTTTATAAACCTTTAAAACGACTTATTATCTTAAAAAAAGTTTTTATTTTTTGACTTTGGGGAGTTGAGGAAATGGACGTGGAAAATCTGGTGAAAAACGAACGGTTTGTTTCGAACGAGAGCTTTGAACGAATACCTACATATTTTATTAGGACTATCATCGTAATATTATGACCCCATATTCTATTATTTTGAACGCGAAAGTTTGTATGGATGTCGGTTACCCTTTCACGCCAAAACTACTGAACGGACTAAAAACTGAAACGTTGCATTGACGTAGTTCTAGACATTGAACAACATACAGGCAATGCCTCACCCCCGTATTCAACCCTTATGGGGGGGGGCAGACACGTGGTTGTTGGTATTTTTAGTACGAAAATCGAATAACTTATATTGATTTATTGATTACTTTGACGTCACGAATGAAAAAAAAAAGACGAGTTAACGGGCAATATCGTGGGTATTACCTGAGACAGGTACGGGGTAGAAACGGGAATCACGGAGAGATACGTTTTTATATATTCCTCCCCCCCCCCGTTCAATACTATACTATGCACGCGGGCAAAGCCGTACGGGACATTCAGTTTCAATGTAATTATCGGTGATTATTGATATTCGGTACCTTTCCGCCCAGGTAGACTTCGGCGATTTCCTTCATTTTCGTGAGCACCATCGAACTGATTTCTTCCGGGGCGAATATTTTCCTCTCGCCCTTGTATTCGACGGCAATTTTGGGCAAACCGCTGTCGCTGACCACTTGGAACGACCAGTGCGTCATGTCCGCTTGTATTTTCGGATCGTCGAACTTGCGGCCGATCAAACGTTTGGCGTCAAACACCGTGTTCCGCGGATTCATGGCCACCTGCGCGTACGGAATATATCAATATTATTATTATTATTATTATAGTTAAAGTTTAGGGGAGCACGAGAGAATGTTGGCCAGTGGCACGTATTTCATGAAATCTGATAGCTGAACCGTTTGGTTCCGAAAATGTTACAATACCATCAACAACACGCATGGTATTAATTTTTTTTTTCAGCGCGTATTATATTGTATTCAAACAAATATAAAAATAATAATACATATAAACTATAAGAAACAATAAGAATACATATAAACTAAGGTGTCACTATTATTAAACAAATGAGGTTTTTATCAATAAAACTTAAAATTTAGATTATAGAAATTTCAAAGTCACTATGGCATACCTAACATTTATATGTACGTTGTTTTTGTTTGGAACCAATTGTACTTGATGAGGATTGTTACCGAATAATATGACATCCCACTAATCGCATCTATAAACGTATATAATTTGTATAACTAACTAATAAACATGTATAGGATAATCATCATAGACGCTCTTTATTTTGGAAAACATTAATGTTGTTCGGAATTCGTTTTTAGACATTTTAATAAACAAACCACTTTAAAAAATTTTACATTTACGTTATTCGTTGTCACCCTTGGTTTTGGAAGTAAAACCACTGCCTATTTTTGATTTTCAAACGGCAACCGATATTAAAAATACCGTAAATAGCCGGAGTATTAGTATTTAAACATATTTCCGTGTTGAAGATTTTAATTTCCGTCAACCCGTTGATGAAATATTCCACTTTTAGGTATAGGTAGAAATGCCGCCACACAAACAACGGCCCACTGACTAACTCTCCCCCAACCGATTCTTGAAAGTTTCAAAGTCAACGGATTGATAGAAATTACAAATTTAAACTGATTTAATTTTCCAACATTTATCAACTATTTATGAACTATGCAATCAAATATTTCAGAGCTACCGGGAAATTATGATTTTTAAAAAACAAATTACGAAAAAAAAATGTTTTCTGTGATTACGAGCGTCTCACGTTGTATTGATTATCTTGTATTATGTATTGTACTACTCGAATCTTGTTTTTTACACTGTTTTTGTACGATTGCTTTTTTGCATAACGTCATTCATTACAATATTATAGGGTATTGAATTAAATCATTTGTCGGTCGTGTTCTTAATTGATATCGATCGGTAGCGAACGAAGCTAAAAGTTTCCGGGTTCAAACACCGTCGGAAATGTAATTATTATTATATCTTGATTCTTAGGATACTAGACAAATATCATTAGCATATTATAGGAATTTTCTCGCTTTTGTCGTCGGGATAACGCGGGTTTAAAGTTTGAACAGCAAAGGTGCAATTGCAGACCTTTGTCATAATCCATTGTTCAATAAACTTTGTCTGATTTTTTTTTTTTTTATCGCCAATAAATTTGTACATAATATGTACATTTTATTACTCAACGTGTTCTTCATATTTCTACTAATTGTTTTTACATCGGATTTCGTGTATACGTTTTCTAATCAGTCTCGTACGCTGTATTGTATCATAAGTAACGGAGTGAGGTCAATAAAGGCAGCCATAATTTTAAGAACTCTTTCAAACTCGGCTTTTGTGCGCGTAATTAATTAAATTAAAGACCCGGCAACAGCAGCTTAATTATTTGTACACAGTTGCGCCACTAATATTTTCCTGAAACCCGTCTTTCCAACCGTGATATATATGTAGGGGAAAAGCTCACATCTATTTTACCATAACGCATAACTATTATAAAATAAGTATGCTAAAAAATATAAAATGTCCTACGAAGATATACCCACTGTAATATCTCCGGAGATAATGAAGATAATCAAAGTCTACTTTTTTTTTTTATTATTACTCACAGGAATTAACACTACATATATTTGTATTGCAATTGATTTTTTATGATTTGATAAAAAAAACTTAAAAAAGAGCTGATACTAGGGATGAAAGCGACCACTGTTATAAATGAGAAGTTGGCAAGGTAGGGTACATAAGGTTAGTTCATTTAAATTTATAAGCAACGATAAACCATTCGACGAAAGACGAAAGACGATTTCGAGCGCAGTTTATTATTACATAATTTGAAGTACCGTCATTGTTTTTTTTTTTTTTGCGATTTTCGTTTAAATTTCATTTCAAAACGCTTATTAAAAAAAATTCGTTCGAAGATGTCGGAAATGTTACCACGTCTAGGTGAGTCTAATATGAGTATCATTACCAAGTTTCAAGTGTCTACGTGTATTTATAACCGAATTACAGAAAAAAAACTCCCAAAATTTAAAATTCCTTAAAAGATCAAAAGTCGCCCAAAAGTTTTGGCGATAATGCCGTGAGAAAGTAATTCAAAACGGAAACGAAAACGATATCTTGTGATACTTCGATTAAATCATTTTTTCTGGTAGAAAACGTCGTCCGTGTTTTTATAGAATAATGTGATCGTGAGGTTGTACGTTTCCCCACGTTTGTTTCCCCCACATAAGTGCTTTTATTTTAAAAAAAAAAAAAAATGGAGTCGAAAATCAAAAAACGGCGGGGGAAAAATCGTCTGTTTTCCTTCCGGTGCTTGGAACGGCGGTAGAATGTCCAATAAGACCGTTGCCAGGCGGTCTAGTAGAACCCAAAATAAAATTACCGCGGGCGCAATTGAATGGCTGGGAGATTTAGATACCACGGTGTCGATTGTAAACCGCGATTGTTTGCCGGTAGTTCATATGTTATCCGCGTAAGCTCCGATTTTAATTTACGCTTGTTCCGTTGCCGTGTCACGGGCGTCTATCGCGAGTCAAACGAATAAATAAAATAATAGTTATTTTTTTTTTTTTTTCGTTTAAATTTAAATCGTAGTCCTGGCGGCGCACACGAATCGCCCGTAACAATAAACAAATACTTGTTGCGGGTCGAGCACCGTTGTTGTTATTGTTATTACGACCGCGTCCGTTCTGCCAAAAGTCACGGCGGCGCTTGGTTATACTCCCTATTGGCGAACGAAAAATAATAAAAACAATCGCGTTCGTCTCGCATACACCCACCGTACAGCTGTGCTGTACGAACGGACGTAACTGCGCGTGTGTTCTCGTCGCGCGTATAATATGTAATCTAGTCGGGAACGTTTATGTTTACGCATAAATAATATTTACGTAAAGCCGAGCATTCGCTGAACGTTTGCCAGCAATAGATCCTACGAAGCGACATTATAACTGTTCGAAAATTATACACGTTCACAGACAGAACCGTAGCAAAATCTTCGGGCGCCCGAGGCAAATTTCAATGTTTGCCCCTCCCCCCCCCCCCATATCCCAAAAAAAAGGTACAGTTCTTCGGTACGATTTTAAAAATGTTAAGCTGTTTTTTCTTAAATTTTTAGACAAGCGTGTGTTTATTCGTTTGAAGTAAAAAAAAAAAAAAAAATTAAATAGTATTAAACGAAAGAGCATTGTGCAAAAACCATAGGTAGGTACAAGTTTTTCAGAATCACAATTGTACTTTTCATTATTTAAATTCACAAATAACATTATCGAAATCGATTTCTCCAGTATATTAATTTTCTATAAAAAAAAATATCCAAATTTGATATCCCCTACAGGCTCATATAGTTGATCTCAAAAAATTTCTTGAAACGGTCCACACACTAGGTGTTATGTTTCCGCTTAAGAGTTAGGAAACTTAGGATGCACAATAATTTCCCCGGAACTTAATCAGGTTTGGACCAACGGGCTGGTTAAGTTTTCCCTCAGCTTTGTCTAAATCCGCGGTGGCTTTTCATTTGCTATCTAATAGGTTTTACGTTTACAAATGTGACACTGACTTTGGTGGAGCAATATCGGGTTCGGCCCAACGGTAAAAAACACTTAAAGAGTATCATTTTGTATTATTTTTGTCCATTTTATCGATATTATAAATGTGTCATAAACAAATATCAGTACTTTTAACGCTTAAAATCCACCAAAAACCCTTGAAAAAAAAAAACACATTAATTTTTTTGAAAACGCGTACAATTTATTTTAAATAGAATTACTTTGGGTTAATCATTCGTGTATTATTAGAATAGTATGTTATTCAATCAGTTACAGCGGTAGGAGAACGGACTTTTAAATCCCTCTGCGATTTTTGCTTTGTTAAATAGTGTTTTTTTTTTTTTTTTCAAAGCTCTTTTCAAATACTGCTTTATGCATATTGAATGCTGTAAGTGCCGAGCTCGAACAACGGGCTCCAAGAACGAATCAGAGAATTCCAACGAGGCTCGTTTCAAGTAAATAACGTTAATGCGCGGCCCGGATAAGGTGAAATGTATGTCCGGCTTTTTCGTTTCGCGATCGAACGCGATCGGGCGCGCATCGTATACGAATATGGAACCGGCGCGGTGGCGGTGGCGGTGAATCACCGGCGGCGCGTACGCGGCTCGCCAATGCGCGGTGGCTCCATCTATGGGCACGCGCGTCTGGGTCAATATACTATAACAATATTGTCCCGGATGACTATTATTAACGTCGGAGTCGTTGTCAACGCGCTCCGGATTTGGTAACAATCCGCGAATCAGGCCTAAACGGCAGTCGCCAGTCGTCGCCGCGCCCGAAAACGATATTTAAAATATAAAAAACGAAAACAATATTACCATCGGGTGTCAAATGATTGCATAATAATGTTTCGGTAAACACGCCGCGGTCGACCTCTGATTTGCATCTGGCGGTGTGGGCAAATGTACCGTTCCTGGAATTTAATCGTGTTTATAAACGACCACCTCCAACACTCCAGACGACATCAAAAATGCCAGTGCTTTTTGTTGATAAAGAAATGGTCGATTCAAATAATATATAGTGTATTACTGTCTACTGATGATAGATTCTATAAAATAAAAACAAAAAATGGAATTCCGTCATCGCTGTATATCAGAAACCAAATATTTCCGTGCACTGGAAATCTGTTTAGGAAATTGTATTTGCTTTCGTCAAGTAAATCGAAAATTTAACTCAGCACCGCAAATGATGTCACAACTTTATGATGACGAACACTTACGAGATACGTAATAACTGGTGGTTTTTTTTTTTTTTTTTACTTAGCCTTATTTTTTTACACGTAGCTGTAGGCGAAGTATTTTTGTTGCGATATCACCTCTTTTTCGCAAATAATCTCAACATGTATGTTTTTCTCAGTGATGCGTCACTGAGAAAATATTGTTTAAAATATTTTTTTCTTAGTTGATCTACTGTTAGTTTTACATTATTATTATTATTATTATTTCAGAATATTTTCGGATTACATCCTAGCAACACCTAAAGGAAATTTTAATTTACGCATAAGCCTATTGGTCCGCTTCGATATCTTTTTTTGGTGAAAATTCTGAACATTAATGCCCATAACTTCCGTTCTATTTAACCGATTTGCATGAAATTAGAAATAGGCACCTGTCAGTATCTTACAATATTTTCAATGTTTTGACATAATTTAGAAGTCAATTTATTCTGTAGTTTCATAACTATACGTGCGCAAAAACCATGAGCCGTTTTGCATGTGTTTAAATGGGAACGTTGTTGTTCGAAAAATATAAAATGTTCTCTACGCTTTTTTTGTTTACTTTCGCAACGACCGTTGCACTGGTTTTATTTTATCGTTATTTATACATAATATTAAAAACAAAAAAGAAGAAGATACTACCTACTGCGAAAAACTTTATTCGGCCAGACAAAAGTCAAAATATGACGTTTGGCCCAAGTTGCGAAGACACTTTGGTCCGGGCATTTCTGGTTGGCTTGATTTCGGTTTTACCCATAACAAACGAATTTAATACGTTACGCGTGGAATGTATTAAAATTGACAAATTTGATGAGGGACATTTTTATTTGAAATATTATTAGGGGTGAGAAAATTTCTCTCGTATACAATATGTAGTTTCTCCTTCGTACTTGACCGAGCTCTTGATTCGTGAAATGACTGCTGGTCCAAACGTTTTTTAACATTCCCGCGTAGAAAAAACCGCTTCCAGACGCGCGAAATCCAACTGACCAAACCGTAATAAAAATAATATTATTATTATTATAACGTGTGTCATCGGGATATTTTCGTAGTCTCGTATCGTTGCTAAAATACTACTACAAGATTGTCGTGTGGTCGTGTGGGTGAGGACGATAATTATTATTTATAACGTGTGTGGGTTATATAAATATTTATACATTTATAATAGTCCATTAATTATTCAAATGACGTGTTCGTTTTTTCGGGGGTCAAACTACGGGAAATTTTTTTTTTTTTTTAATAAACCCGTAAGTTATTGATCTACTACTCACTCTATTTCTCCAATTCTCTGTTTTATTTATTAGATTTTTCGCCTGTTCTCTTATACATCCTTAGAAATGTCGACTCATGTGCATCGTTTTTTCCTATAATCTTTTGTTCTATAACATAATAAAGATTTTGGTACGTGGACGCCCTGCGGTTCTCTTTCTTCCATCCGCCTTACCATCTATATAGTTAATCATATCGTGCTATTCTTCGGGGTATTTCGGAGTAAAACCCAATATTATTTCGTCGTCTTGACCCAATATCCCGTGTTAACACGCAGATAAGTAAATTTTAGTTAGAAGTCATCTCGGTAAAGATGATAAAGACAAAATTAGATAACAAATATTTAAATAATATTTTTGATATATTATAATAGATAAGTGGAATTAGTTTTTGTTTTATTTTTTTGTGGCTATTGTTTAGAATGTTGCAACAGGAAGATAAAAGAAAACATTATTTAGATAAGTCATAACATTGCTTATATTACATTGATGCAACGCGGTGGCGTATCTGGAGCTCTATCAAAAAGGGGCGGTTTAAAAATTGTAATACACCACAAAATATCGCGAGGGATTTCCATGTCCCAAAAACAGCAACAGTTATTTTTTTTTTTATAATTCCTCTCCTTGACAAATAAAAAAAAAATAGTTTATAGATATAAACTATAATTAATATACAAAAAAATAAAAATAATGTATATGCATATGTTATTACGATAAAAGCCGAAATCTGTGGGGGAGGGCGATACACCCCTCGCATCCCTCCCCCCTCAAATACGCCACTGGTCTTATGTATACGTTTTTCTTTTGTGGTTCCGAGCAAATTAAATATCCAACACATTATTTATTTAGAAAAACACGAACTTTAAACACGACGAACGTCAAGGAAATACAATACATGGATGAACAATTTGATAGTAAAAACGGATCCAAATCGACACAATTGCATTCGACAATCGTTAGCGCTTTTCTCTCCCTCGCTTTCACGATAACAAATAATACCGTTGACCTTGCAGAACATACGATAATTTGTATATTATTTAATAGTGTGTCTAAAAATAGCTATTTTAAACTACTTTGTGCATCATCTCTTGGACGTCACTTTCGACCCACATCGCGTAAAAACTATACACCACAACGGCGGCGGTCCAAGAACGTTATACAATTTAGATTTTTGTCCGGTTTGTTGTTTCATTTTTTTTTTTTTTTTTCTGTTTCTTCGTCGATTTTTATAATTAAGCGTATGTATAATATGCCTACGCGCTGGTTTTCAGTTTCGTTCAGCACAACCGAAAACGCCGATAACGGTGCTTTACGAAAGTATTGTGAACAAGATTTTGTTGTATTTATACAAGTTTATTATTATTAGTAAACGAACGATAAATAATATAAAACAATCGGATATCCTGTTCATATTATTAAGATTTCGTTTTGATATAATACATAATTCCGTGCCTCGTATGTTGCTAACACAATACAACTCTGTTTTCAAAATCAATAAACTTACAATATTGTAAAATATACGACCGTATCAATAATTTGTTGGTACACAAATAATTTCTTCCAGTGGCCGTATTTTTGTGTGCATTACGACACATATAGTGCATTACGAAAAATGTGCACCCGTCACTTGCGTTTTTATTATTGACAATTGCCAATTACATTCGCCATTTCCCTCACAGTCGTTGACATCAAATTAAAATATAGATTCAGAGGAGAGGAAATGGGGGAGGTTTTTCCTCCCCTGTTCCCTTCCAAATAAACTTTAAGCCCCGACATACGCTTAGCTTGATTTCTATCGTTTATGTGTGCACTATATGAATTTTCAAAATCGCTCTCCCCGTCCTAAATGCATCCCTGCAAATACATGTGTGTGTGTGAACTATAAACTATAAAAATTCACTAAAAATAGCCATTGACAAAACCTTTATACCCAATAACGGATACATACAGGGAGAGATAGGGGCGATCTTCCCACCCATTAACTCTCCAATATACTTTTGGCTCAATTATACTCTTAACTTGATTCATATTTTATGTTTGTGTGTATTTTAATTTTGATTTGTTTTTACGAAATAAATTACTTAAGTCCGAAATAAAGATAGGTGCGTAAATTGAATTGTCTCGTTGACCACAGTTTCACTGCACGTGCATAAAAATATAAGAGCTGATTTATTATAAATTATTAAATTAAACTGTTGAATAGATTAGATTAAACTATGAATTATTAATAGTTTTTATGATGGCAATGGCGTGTCAAATTGAGTTATTTAGAGCTACGATACAATTTTATATTATAAATAATAATTTGTACAATTTTAAATTTACGTTCTGCTTAAATTGGCACCGAATAAATTTATAATCATTAAAAAAAAAACAAACAAACAAACTTAAATGATATTTCTGTAATAATAATATTCAAAACAATAATTTAGCGTCGCATTCACAAATTCAGGAATGGCTTTTTTATTATCGTAATAATATTTCTGTTTTATACGAATTTTATAAATAAAATGGTGTTACAGTGGCGTACTTTGAGGCGAGTTGTGAGTGGGCATTCGCCCAACCCCTGTGGTCTGTATAACAATATGTGTTATTTGTTTTTTGTCTTTGTAGAATTATTTTGAATTTTTTTTGTTCATGAAGTAGTTCATAGCATGGTCACATCTATAGATATCAAAATATTTCTGTTATCTATAGTCGAGCCTTGACTGGTTTTATCATTTCTTTTTGGCGGTTCAACCGTTGTCCTTTATCATTGATTTCTAGTTACAAAATAAATGTGCCATGATCATTTATGTTAGCTTGCACTGTTGCATATATACCAGGAAATAAGTATACCAGGGGATATCATTGAGAGATTCTCTCCTATGAAAAATCGGAGGTATCATAAATGTATAACACGCATTATAAATGTTATAAAAATGTCTCATTTCTTGTATGGAGCCCGATTCCCGTGTCTATTAATAAAACTGTAGTTGCAACGTTACAGTTTAAAAGAATTTTAACGTTGCAACGTTACAGTTTAAAAGAATTTTAAATAGAAATATTTTAAGAGTGGGTGAAAATTAATTTCCCCCCCCCCCCACCCGTAAGAAAGAATTAATTACGCCACTGTGGTGTTAAAATCAACTATATAATTGCGTAAAACGAAGGAAAAAATACGATAAATCAAAATTCGTGTAATTAACAATATAAACATGCGCGATGGGTTTTCGTTCCGGCGTTTTCCCGTCGCGAAGGTCCCGCGAAGTCTCTCGACACGTGCACATTATAATACTATAATATTACGCTATTATTGTTGTCCGTCCTTCACCGCGACTATACCATTATCAGGTACCTATCTAACAGGTATCTGAAAACCTGCGTCTTAAGCTCGTATATTATTTGTGTGTGCATACCTGACTCTTGGCCGCGTCGCCGATCAGCCTTTCCGAGTCCGTGAACGCCACGTAGCTGGGCGTCGTCCGGTTTCCCTGGTCGTTCGCGATGATCTCCACCTTGCCGTGCTGCCACACGCCCACGCACGAGTACGTGGTGCCCAGATCGATACCCACCGCTGGAATTTTGCTCATTTTTACGGGTTTATCGAGACGGGGGGGGGAGGGAGGGAAAAAACGTAGCCGATTTATAATACGTCAAACGAAGCGTTCCTGTCGAAAATCCGAACAGTGTACAATGCACCTATTGTGTGTAATGTTATCGGGAAGAACGTATTTTATAATATAACGATGCACTGCGACGGTTTAAAAGTCGCACGGCCGGCTGTTCTGAAGAAAGACAACGAAAAAAAAAAACGCATTTGGAACCGCGGCTTCGGTATTTATACTTTTGCGCGCCGCCACTTCATCTCTCCGCTCGGCCATTTATAGACCGGAACCACGCCCTCGTCGCTACACAACTGTTCGTCTCGGTTTATCATGACTAACTGTTTATAATAATATTCACGTGTATAATTATAAAGTTTTCATAATCGCCAAACAACGTTTTACTATATCATATCGAATAAATAATACCAATACGAAGCCAAAACCGTTTTAGGTTATACGAGTGTAGGCAGTATGCCTAATAATATTTAACTGCACGAATCTTCAGTCCCAGCGGCGTTTACATCGGTTTTCGGGATTTTGTTTTCAAAATTTTCTTTTGTGTTAATATTTTGTTCCCATAATTTTTTCGGTCCAAACGACATAAATTCGAATGTATATTCGAACACGCGTTCTACTGAGAATTTTACCTATTTTAAGTACTTTTAATTTGACTGAATGGCACAGAATTATATGTATTCATTTGACGACTGGATCGTTTTAGAACGTCATATTTAGGTTAGGCCATTAGGCTATCATGTCATTTGGTTACTTAAAAAATTAATTTCCTTGTATTGAAAACTATACAGCCTTTCTTCCTGTGACCAAAAATAATACACGACAAAAAAACATGTTAGTGTTAACTAGATAACAAAAGACGAAGACCGTTGAACAGGAAACTTTGTCATTTCTCTAACCAAAAAAAAAAAAAACCCCTCATTAGGAAATGTTGAAATATTGTAAACATTTTCTGGTCTTTGACGTCAATGTGACCGCAATTATTTTGGGCATGAACATTAATTTTATTCATAATATTTACACAGAAAAAAAACATTTTAGTAAAACCAATGCTTGTTTGTCATTTGTTTTTTCGTCGAATAATTTTAGTACACTGGAATTTTTTTAATGTTCTTGAAAGATATTAAAAATAGTAAATTGTCAAATCCAAAATTCACCTGCACTGGAAAGAATAAAACAATTTTATTCAAAACGGTTATGATAGCGAAGTAAATATTTAATTCGTTAATATGTTGAGTAATTTATTTTATATACTGAAAGCAATAATAAATTGATATAATCAAAAAAACGATTCTGAATGGCGTTCGTTAAGCCGATATTATTATACTACGAATTTTGTGTTTTCCATTTATTTTAAAATTGGTACGTAACAAGGGATCTACTGGTTTACTATGATGCGTGTGTTTTTTTTCCGTCTGTAAACAACTTTTCTACCAAAAACCATGTTCCGAAGTATCAAGTTTAGCATCTTTTCAAAAAGGTAATTTTCTCTAATTACTGCATTAAACATTAATGGGTGTCATAGTTGGTTTTCAGAGGGATTATAAAAAAACCTTGGAAAAACTCAAATGAAAATTATAGACAAAACGGTAAATGTTTACGGCTCACCACGACATTACTGTTTTCATCGTTTTTAATTTTGCAACTTATGTTTTTTACCAGAAATGTTGTTCAAATTCAAAAATGACTTGGGAACGATTTTATTTCTCATAATATTTCGCGACTAAGATAGTAAAACATTTTATGATATCCAAAATATTTTGCATAATAATTGGAATAAATCAACAAATTTAAATTGATTAACATTTACGGCAACGTCTCGGTTTAATTAGTTTAATTTTTACATACGATGTTTTCCACCAGAAATCTTATTTTTAACCAGTGGCGTAGCTATAACATTGGCGATCGAGACATTTGCCTCGAGGCGTACAATTTTTTTTTTTTTGGGGGGGGATAACGTGTATGGTAGGTGGTTTTCAGGGGGTCATTTTCGATTATTTTAAAAACAAATTATTATTAAAACGTGAACAAATTAAATTTTCACATGAAGCAGATATAATTGCTAGTTTTCTGTGTGCGCTTTAATTGTCTACTGCGATTTACACGTTACCTGTAGTGACAACCTGATAATATCATAACTATTGAATATAATATTTAACCAATGACCATACTAAACGATTACTGTGAAAATTATTTCATGCTTTCATAGAAATTTGTTAGATATATAGAAAAAGTACAAATAGGTATGATAAAGCTAAAAAACTAAACTCGAAAATATCCTATAGTGTCGCCTATAAAAAATTCAAAAAATTTTTTTACGACTACGGTAAGTAAATATTCTGTAAACATTTTAGGTCTCTACCGTCATTTCAATCGAATAAAAAAAATAAAACGAAACCGAAAAAAATTAAATCGCTAATGAATGTCGTAAACTTTCCTGCCTTTCCTAGGTTTTTCCGGATTGTCTCTCTTATTAAAGAATAATACATGGAAACATTCTTTTACTCACCAAATAAAATCTTCTTTCATAAAAGATGTTACTCTCGGAATTCGGAACAAGATCTTTCACCAAACATCTTGGTAATCTTGGTGGTAAACAGAAATCAAAAAATTTAAAAATAACGAAATCATTGACGCTGTACAAATCGAAAATTCGCCCTCTAAATACACTAACAAGGTTCGCAGCTCGAAAAATAGTCTCTTTTCGTTCCTTGATTGGAATAAGATTTCTGATAAAAAAAAAGTTTTACACGGGCACAAACAAAATTTAAAAAACGAGCGCACTTCGTAGTGAAATTAACGATAAAACTTGTCGGTTTGTAAAAAAAAAAAAAAAACTATAAATTATTTATGTACTTGGATAATATTTTAATATCGTAATATACCGCTTGCAATAAACTAAATGACTGTATATATATATATAAATAAAAAAAAAAAAAAAAAAAAACGCGCGTTCTATATGACAAGTTCCGAACGAGAAATATGAGGACAATGAATTTCTCTAGACGGAATACTGTATAATACTCGTATTATGACTGGCGTATTACGTAAATTGTTATATTTATTACCTACAAACAATTTAAAAAAATATACTACGAGGAGAAAATCGGTTTCGTATAATCGTGAATTTATTTTTCAATTGTACGCTCTTATATTAAAAAATAATAATAAATGAAATGAATACGTATAACGATATTATGTTATTCATGTACGAAATTAATTTTTTGTAGCTAATATTTTTTTTTTTTTTTCAATTTGTTGTGTGATGACACGTTTCATAGCTTTTCCAGTACCTAATACAAAGTTATAAAAACCATTATGCAACAATATAATTACGTCAGTAATGAAACTTTTAGTTAAGGTTTTTTTTTTTTTTTGTTTTCTTGTTAAAATTTAACAATATAATGTTGTATTTTTACTAATTCTTCGGTGACGTTTTTTCATAAGGTTCTATATAATGTCACAGCCCTAACAATTATAATAAATAATTTGTTCTCAGAAAAAAAGGTGTCCTAAGATAATGGGCACGGGTGTAGCCACTTTTATAGATGGAAGTTGGGAAGGTATTTTACAAAAGGAAATTCAATGTATATCTTTAAGCAACGATAAACCATTGATAACGAAAAACTGATTCTGAATGGAGTTTAGTTGATAGCAATGCTTTTTTAACAATATTTATGTCATATTGTAATATGGTGAAATAATTAAATAGGCATTGTATATTTCCTTTAACAATATTGATCCGATTTTCCCGTTTTTCTTACGATTTTCTCGGTTTTCCCATATTTTTTACCGGTTTTTCACATTCGCTAGGAAAACTTTTGGGGAAATCGAAAAATGACCTCCCTATCAGAAAACAGTCTACATTTTATACATCGGAGTGAGCTTTTTGGTAGAAAAACTATTCACATAAAGCAAAAGAATAAACACCTTTGTAAAATCAATATAGCATTCATTCCACTCAGAATCTAAAAAAAAAAAAAAAAAACGAACCCTTTTCTCGGATGGTATGTATTCAGAGTATATTTTTTCCCGAACACTGACGTTGTCGAACGGAATCGCCGTCGATGATTCTGGTTCATTGATAATTTACACCGTCCTGTTTGAAAATCGACGCGTTAAAACCGACTTTCCCTACTACAAGCGACAAAACTCGTCAGATGTTTCATTGACTCCCGTTTACATAGACGGTAACAGTACCGTAGCCGATAAATTGAGGGAAATAGGTGACTTTATGGGGGCGGGGGAATCCGTAACTTACGGGACCAAATTTTCACGTCGGTCGAAAAAAAAATTAAAACCTGTTACCCACGGAGCTGAGGAATATCTGAAAACCGCAGAGGTTTACTATTCGAATAAAAATGTTTAGAAAATTAACTGAAAGTGCACAAATAGTTCACGGGACGAACCGGGTGGAATATTATCGAGTAAAAGTGTTTTGAATAACGCGGTAAACCGCGGTGAAAGACATTGCGCGTCTTTATTGTGTCTTTGGCCGAATACCGTCGGGGAATTTATAAACGCCCGTCGGGAAAAATACCATTCGGGTAAAAGGACGGGGGGTGGGGGATCGAAATGGGGATTTCGGGGAAAATTGCATTCGGGTCGAACCAGAGATTCCGGGCAAATCCCGGGAATCCGTGACGGCGATAAGCACAAATGAAAACTGAATTTAAAAAAAAAAAAATACAAACATTATAACAATTTATTTTTGATATAAAATTTTTAACATTAAAAGGCATATTGGGTACACGTCGTTCTGTGTCGCGCGTTTTCGTACGCGAAATTTGCAAAAGCGCGCGATAAAATGCGTGTTTCATAAAAACAGGCGTATGCATGTGCTGTGTAATAATAACAATAATAATAATAATAATAATAATAATAACAATAATGATTAACAAAATACGTATTTATATTATATACAATAGTATACACACAAACTATATTTAATATACGTATAAACGTGTATGTGTGTGTGTGTGTGTGTGTGTGTGTATAAAACACAAGCGTAATATACGCTAAATAATCGTTGTGTTTTTTTTTTTAATTAGTTTAAAAGCTCGGTGTCGTCGCATTGGTCGATAAACACGGCCGAAGTCCTGGACGCGATATCCGCGTACTCTCTGGGACCCGTGCTGCACAATTTGCTGTCCACTTGGATGCCTCGTTTCCTGTAACGAACGAAAACGAAACACAATTATTGCACTGTCCGTTTTGTTAAAAAAAAAAAAAAAAAAAAACAATTGTTTTTCTACAAACAATTTATTTAAGACCGTGGTGGGGCGGGTCGTAACCGCCGCGTCGCCCTCCTCCCCTGAAGTTTTTTTTTTTTTTTTGAAATATTACATTTATTTCGTCTGACGAATATTAAACGTAAATAATGTTCATTAGAATTATACACAGCGTAATTAAATATATCTATTGTTATTGAACGCTTAGATCATTTACCTATACAATCGTAATCGCTTACCGTTCGCCTCATCTGTAGACGGCAATAAAATCAGACGGATCGTTTTGATTCACTTCCCCCCGCACCTACCGCGAAAATAAATCCCGTTTGTGCCACTATAATGTATTACATATTGAAATATTTGATTGAATGTCGTCCAATAAAAAAAAAAAAAAAAACAATCTTTAGAATAATATAATATACGAATTAGTTGTCCGGATAAAATTTATAAATATGAGTAATAAACATCAAACATACTAGTTTAATACCGAATTTGAATTCAAAATTTGAACAGTATGTCGTCTGAAACATGAGAATTAATATTTTTATTCAAAACAGTATTGGCCGATAATCTAGGAGCCACGGCGTCGACACGCGTGTCGCTTGTTCTTTATTCGATAGATGGCGCACTAATTTACGTACTAACTACCGTAATCGCAACGAAGCTAACGAATGACGGGAATAGTGGGGGATATCTTAGGGGAGAACAGTTGGCGGATTGACATTGAGGTTTTCATTAATTCGTATGACTTTCCGATGGACCAACGTTTATTTGTATAGTTAAATTTCCATGTGTAGGTATCGAAATAAAAGTTTTAAATATGGATTTCCTATGCTTAAAATGTAGCGTTTTCCATTTTTTTCCCGGGAATTCTGTTAGGTCCGTACCTGGTTATTTTTTTAAGGGGGTTCAATATAAACTAAGGGATGTAGCCAATTTGGATCCTGTTTTTCCTAAACAGCTTCTATTTTGCAAAAAGTTAAATTTTCTAACGGCTCCGGTTTTTTCACAACACAAATTCACAAATACACAAAATGTGCTATATCCATGTCGCCTATCAGGTTAAATTGTATAAACAAAATTGATAAAATTCGACAAACCAGATAAAATGTATTTAACAACAATCCGTGTAGGCATATAATGTTTGAAACGCAAAATCCAAACTCCAATAATTTTAATAGATTCAATAGAACTTGTTATCGTAAAAAGTAAGATATGACAAGAATGGTTTCTGCGTCGCATCTGTACTTGTTTTGCTACGAGAAACGAATGCGTATTACCGAATACCGGAGCCATTTGGTAATTTACCTACTCGTGCAAACTTTTTCGACCGGAGTCGTTGCGGAAAAAACCAAACAATAGATGGGAGCCGTTTAGGTTGCACCGAAAATATGCACGTGAATTCAAAATGTTTGATCGTTTAACTTTAACTATTGTATGATTAATTTTCAGTTTTTTCGTGCGTACATCATAGAGGTACCTTACTTAGTACCATACTTAAATGTATTGCACTTATTAATATTTAGACGCAATTTGAACTTAATAATAGCACAACAAAACAATTATATACTATGTATAATTTCTAAATTTATTACTTTACTGTGCTACAAAGAACATTTACCTGATTTGATTTTTTTTTTTCGGCTCTAGGAATTACAGCGCCTTGGTCCCCCCTCCCCATCCCATACATACGTATTTTAGTGAAGTCTGAAATACTTGAGGAACTACGGACAATTTATTTAATTAAAACCACCAATATTTTCCGTGTCGAGTAGTGTAATTGTTTCCCAAAAGAAAAAAATTAATGAGAGGACCTAGGGGTTTGATTAAATAACCACTCGTGAATATTTTAATAACCTCCCTCAAAATTGGGATATTATCGCCACTGGATAGGAACGTGTCTATAATATTCGCATCCGTACCCTCTATTTCCTTCGTCTTCGGCTTCAGTGACACCGATGCTAGACACGTACAGGTGGTCGTTACACCAGAAGAAACATATGGACCTGGGCTGCAGCACGTCCATATCGTATTCCCAGTAAAACTCCACTCTTTTGACCTGTCCAATGTCGTCCGGATGAGTGACCACAAAGCTCCGGCTGGTCCCATGCTCCATTCGCTCGTAACCGCTATATTACGATAAACACGCAGATAAAAATAATGATATTAGCGTTGAAATCTCCGCCGTTATAACTAAAATAATATATTGATAATAAATTATGTAGCCTGTATATTAAAATACTTACTTGGGCGTTAAATCCAAATTCCTTATCACCCCGGTGTCACTGTGCAGCGAGACTTTCATAAATCCTTGAACCCAAGACTCGGCTCTGGGCGGTTTGGCCAAATCCAACGAGACCTTATACTGCCGTCCTATAAACAATTTCAACGTACATAATAATATATTATTATGTAAATAAAAAAAAATCATATAAATCATTGTAATATCCATCGTGTCACAATTTATTATAAAAGGACCCTACGCGTGCATTTTTTTTTTTTTTATCTCCGTCCTACAAATGCACGGCATAGCAAATTTTAGGCCGTTAATCTTAATATTGGAGTGGTTGAGCTACTATCGAATTTACACGGAAGAACATTATCCAGGTACGTACGTTGGTTTTTGTCTGATATTTTAATTTTTAACGAGATACGAGTGTAAAAAATATTACAATTTAAATACGATTATATATCGCTTAAAAATTAGGATATCAGAAGACAACATTGTAAAAATACCTACAACGTTCTCGTTATTAAATTATTTAATAATAATTTTAATGTTAAACTAAAAGCACATAATTGATTCTACTGAGTGCACGTTCGCTTTACCGTGTGTTTGTAAAACATTTAACAAGACAGAGACAACAAATGCATGTGTAACGTCCTCTTAATGTCGAGTCCTTAAAATTCCATTAAACCAGAAAATCGTAAAAATATATTTGTGTTTTAGCGATTAACCTTATTACGTTCGTTATGAAACACGGTTATATAATTTTGGTTAATGGTTATAGATTTATGAATACGACATGCTTATGGTTATTAGAAAAACCTAAGAATCCATAATAGACGATTTGTTTAGCATTTAACTCTTATTGTTTTATACATTTCATGTCTTATTTATTTGTTCTTTACACTGTTTCTTCTTTGGTTAACAGTCCATGAGCTGGTTGACAGCTATTCTTCTCGGTTTTTTTTTTTTTTAATCGCAATATGTTCAGTCCTATCCTATATACTCGATTGCTCAACCCATTCAACCGAACGATAATCTTCTTCTGCTTTTCTTCCCTTCTATAGATCCCTTTATTATTATTTCTAGCAGACTGTTATATAGTAGCGCATAGCTAGCTAATTGATTTACCTCTTCTAATCTTCAGGGCTTTTGGAAAGCTTCTTCCCTCTTCTACCTAACTCATTTTAAGAAATCTTCCGTAGCACCACGTTTCGAATGCCAAATTTTATTTTCTTAAGAATTTCCTATTGTCCGTGTCTCATTATAATAAAGCGCTATACTTCAAACACAAGACTTGAATACATTTTTCCCTATTTTCATATTTATATTTCTGGAAGTTAGTAAGTTCTTCTTTCATTGGAATGCATAATGCGCCTGTTGTAATCTGCATCTTATTTCTTGGATATATCTTCCATTGCTTGTTATGATACTTCCTAAGTATTTACGTTCAAAAACTACTGTATAACTGTGTTTAATGTATAAAAAAAAGTTAATAGTTTACCTAATATTGTGGATTTAAAAAAAAAAATACCAGCTAGATATCTATAATCATTAATTCATCAATAACCAAATATCATAACCGTAGTTTCTTTGTTTGGTTATGATATTTCAGTACTATGTAACCAAAATTATAACCGAAATCGCCAACAAAGCGGGTTTATAAATTACATTAACAGGGTTACATTTGGTTAATCGTCGAAAGACGCCTTTGTCACTAACGCGGCAAAATAAATGAGATACCAACATTCATTCCCAACAAGAACGGAGAAAATTCAATATTTATAACACGTTTTATCGGTCGAACCTATCGAATATTCCCTTGTAATAACAGTGCGGTATACGATTGCGAGATACGTTCTGAAATAATTATTTATTAAGTACCTTAAGTACAATCGTTTACACATATCTACTTATTGTACCAGCTATTGATTATTACTATCTACTTAGACTTACATCAATAGCACATAAACGACCCGTAAGTATTCATTAATATTACCTACAATTTCAATTTCGACAATGACCCGTACGATAATAAATTATTATTGTTATTGTCGTAACTGCGGTGTGTGAGCGTATTAATTTAAACGTGTAATTTAAAGTTGCCTTTAGAATAGTTCAAATACACATTATAGGTATATTTTAATAATATGGTAGGTATAATTATGTTTAACAAAATACACGAGTGGTGCTTATTATTATACTTATAGTTTTTACTGACATTCTTTGATAAAACCAGATCGAGTGCAATATTTTTAAACATCAAATTATAACATTGAAAAACTATTTCGAACAGAATATTGTTTGTAGTATTTTTTCCATGTTACCAAGTTAATCGAGAAATTAACAACAGTTGTGCAATACACTTCAAGTTATTCCCATTAATAATAAAAATTACAAGAAAAATTTAAAAAATTATCAACTCATTGCACAAACTAGATCGAAAACGGTACGAGAAAATTCCTATAAAGGTTTTAATTGGAACAAGATTCTTGGTTCAAAAGTTGTTTACAAGCATAAAAAAAAAAAACAAAACAAAATTAAAACCAATTTAAATCGTAGAAAAAACTGATACATTTTCTACTCAAGATCTTAAAATGTACACTAAGTGTCGTATGTTATCTATACATTCAATAAATATGTCTTTATAAAGTTTCTATACCACAAATTTACCGCATTTTTTTAAAATTGTCTATAATACTATACCAACGAGTATTTTTATAGAACCATTTACAGATATTTTATTTTTCATTCAGACGAATGGATCCTAAAAAATAGTCATAGTTTTCTTCGCCTAACTGGGTTATCATAATAAAAATTGTGTTTATCCGCATACCGCGTGTGGTGCTCAGATACAAACGATGGTATATGATAATGTGGTGCTACAAACCAACTTGAAAGATAATTAGTATAAAAAATAAAGTGACGATCGGTTCACCCGTTATCAAAATGCCTTTGAAAGTAATTTACGAGAAAATTATTTTTTTGTGGGTACACGATAGGTATGCTAAAAAATTAGAAAATGTGGAGACATGTTATAATAATTGAGTACTTACTACAATAGGGAGTATCTTTGCCGGTAGAGATGAAGTACTTGGCGCCGGGCGCGTGGTTAGGTCTTACGGTGTTTAAACCCATTATGGCACATCCAGTGTCGTTCTCCTTACATGAGAAACATTTACCCTTAAAAAAAAAAAATAATAATAATAATTATACCTCAATTAAACAATGGCCAATATCTTTTTGAACATTGAAAACCAGTTGACCATAAAAAAATATATAGTTTTTCTCCAAAAACATAAAAACTAAATACATGGTCACTGGTCAGGTATATTATATTATTATAATTACTTGTAAAAAGTTTTGATACGAATTGCATTTGTGCGCGACGTACGGGCACTTTGAGTTTATCGATTCGATAAAGAGTTTGATGGCTCGTACGTGATTGCAAGCGACTAAAACACGACTTGCTTCTTCGATTCCCTCTTTAATGAGAGTCAGAGGCAACGGAGTTTCCGTTAAATCACAACCCGGTTGTTCTTTGCCATTGTTTGGATAAAAGTCTATGTGGCCACAAGTCTCGCTCATTCCATAACCTAAGGCGATAGAAAAAAAAAAAATCGTATTTATTATGACAATATTGTTTTATTCGGGAGATAAGTTCTACAAAAGTGTGGTGAGACCGACTATGCTGTGTAGTTCAGAGTGTTGGGTGGTTGACGGACAGATTAAACATAGAATGAGTGTAGTCGAGATCAAAATGTTTAGGTTGATGAGTCGAGTGACGGGAAAAAATAGGATAATAAATGAATACAGAAAAGATAGTTTAGACGTGACTTCTATAGTAGATGAAATAAATGAAAATATACATAGATAGTTTTGACATGACATGACAATATAGGAATTGTAATGAAAATAAACGTACGCGGAATAAGGGGAAGAAAAAGATCAAAAAAGTGTCGGTGGTTGGATGCGATAAAGAATAATACGACGATAGCCATAGATAGTTTTATATATTTTCTTTGATAATATTTATTTAATGTTCTACCGATTTTCCCAATTTGCCTACGTTTTTTCCCGGTTTTCCCGTGTTTTATCTCGATTTTTCACATTTGCTGGGAAAACTCCTAAAAAAAATCAAAAAATTCCGGTCGTTTAGTGTTCCGGTCCAACTACCGAACGGCATAGCAAAATTACGTAATATTGCGACGATGTAAAATCACAGTTATGGTACAAAATTTAAAGAGCCGAATATTTTCGAGAGTGCCTTGCTATAGTCAGTAACGCATTTACAATACATGCACCCCGGGGCGAAACAATTTTATTTCCGCTTCCTAACCTCCTACTTATTTTCATCCACTATTCTGTACAACCTCACACCTTTCTTCTCCACCCTCAATTATTGAAAAATGGGCCCCTTGCTTGTTTTGTATAACACTTTAAAATGTTTATCCTAGGCTTAATAAATTACAATTTCTAAGTGTTTTATGTAAATAAAAAATCATACCGAATAATGACATGAGAAATTGTATACGTTATCAGTCGTTTCACTTATATCGCATTCAACTCAAAATGATTCTTGGACAATATTTTAAGAAAAGTCAACATAGCCGTGCTCTCGAAATTATCTGTTCTCTTTAAACAGTGTCACCCGTGTCTAAACTATTCAACTTAAACACCACGCGTTTATCCCAAAGTTTTGTAATTTTACACTGTTGCCCTTTAGTTGGATTAAGGCAGTAATTGTGGGTAATAACTATGTTGTATCCCTCTTAATAACACTGCAATGAACAACGGACGCGAGATTGTTTCGTAGCCTCTCGATGGAAAATGCATAATTCAATAAAGGTCAAGTCATGAAGCGATTGTCTCGAAAAAAACTTACTTCAGCGCGTATCATATATCCTAATACGCATAAACTTTGGTGCAAACTCACCCAACAGGAATATCGACGATCCATCGGTGTGTATGACGTCCACCAGCTGCGCGTCGGTAGGGTCCAATCTCGCGTGCGAAGGCATTCCCTGGAAATACGGTTCGGCCGGGTCCAGTCCCGTGATACGGCCCAGTCCTTCGATCCGTTCGCCCGCATAACCGGCCGTATGAGCGCCAAGACTGTGTCCTATCAGATGAACATGTTTCGGATTTAAGCCCACGTTATCCTAACGTGGCGAATAGAAAAACAAAAACAAAAAAATAAAATAATAATTATAAAACGGATGACAAAACTGTAACGAACCCGCAACGGCGTCGATTTTTTTTTTTTTATTGGTTCTGAGCGCAAGGAGGAATGTATTGATTTCACTATGATGACGCGTACGATTTTTTTATTTTAATTCAATATTTTTTTTTCTACAGTGTCCCACGAAGATATGTACCCGCATTGCGATATTCCACGAGATAATGGACATAATCAAATTTTGGTTTTTTATTTTTTTATACATATATATTACTCGCAGGGAGATATAACAATAGGTCCCCTTCGTGGGACACCCTGTATTTTTTAATAGCGTTTCTACTTGAATTCTTCCTTTGAGAATTTTTCGTTTTTCAATCTTGTTGGTACATTTGGGATCGGTTTTTAATATCTGGCATACTTTTTTTTAATAACCGGGAAAAAAGGTTGTTTTTTTAATTTATTTAGTTTTTATTCAGGCTTATGCGACTAAAATTTTATTTTCACATCAGAAATACAGAAAAAATAAATTTACATCTAAACATACTCAAAACATAAATTGTGACGTTTGTCGTGAAATTGAAATTATAAATATAATTATAAAGCAAACAATTTTAAGCTGTATTGGTTTTTGATTTTTTTGTTTTTTTTTTTTAAGAAGAAGATGAGCTGTAAATTTTTACTACGTCAATTCGTTGAGACATAAACTATGTTCCAGCCCTCGGAAAAGTATTGTCCTCTTTAAATTTTGGCGTTTAAATCGACAATTTTAACTTAAACGCCACGATTTATGTTTTGAGTAGGTAACGTAACTTCAATAAGTTGCCCGTTGCCTCGATTAAACCGAGACAGTGAATGCGGGTCCTATTAAAACAATATTATCATTCTAATTTTTTGCGCAAATTTACCAACGCAGGTGTAAATTTTATAATTCGTACAACGCTGCGTCCGTGTTTGTCAAATATAATATACTGTAGGTAGGTATATTACGAGGTACTGTGCTAACTATTTGTTTGGACGGACACGTTAAATTATATAATATCGTGCGAATGAAACGGTAGCGAGTTTAATATTAATTTAAAGCCTAAAAATGCAACGGGACCGTTTATAGCTTGACGGGATAATTTGAGTTTTGCATTATTCAACAGTGACGATGAGGAATCGTCCGTATACAAATTTCAGCCACAAATACCGACTCGTTGCATAATTTTAGTTTTTTTGCGGATAAAATAAATAACCGCGATAAATACAGCCGGGCCTTGCGGCTTTGGTTTCTTTACGTGTCGTATTAATATTATTAGTGCGACAAACGTTCAAACAAAAGAAAACGCGTCCGGTATTCGAAAATATTTGATTATAGTTTGTGTTTGTAACCAGACGAAAAAAAAAAACAAAAGTTGAGAAGGTGAGATGCGTTATAGATTCATGTAATTTACGTAACGATAAATAGCTCTTAACGAAATACGATTCTCAGTGTACTTCGGTTACAAACATGTTATGATTTTTACGATTAACATGTCAAATATCCATATTATAAATGGCTCAGTAAACGTCAGAATGTTTTGACAATTTTACCACGTCTGTAAATTGTTAAGACAAGTATTTTATAAAAAAAACAGCGTGTCACTATGATTATTTTCAAGCGTATTACAAAAAAAAAAAAAAAAAAAGAGAGATAATTGAAAATATAATGATATCGTTATTGTTGCCGTAAACTTTGTTGTTTTCCTCAATAGGTAACGAAAAAAAACTGCGAGGAAAATCAAAACAATACCTCTACAATGCACAAATTTTGACGACATTTGTTTTCATTAAATATGCCAGACATGAAGTAAGATTTTTAGTAGAGAAGTGGTTCACGGTGACAGAAAAATGTACACGTTATAGTGAAATCAATTCACACTTCGCTGTGCTTAGAATCTAAAATAATAATAAAATAAAATTTTGTAACGGTTGTAGTTTTGTATTCGGTTACAGCCGAGAAACAGGTTTATTTGAAATAATACGATATACTGTGGTACCCATATTATATTTTACAAAACGGATTTGTGTTCCTCGGGCAGAAAAAAAATAATGACCTAAAACGCTAAATCGTGGGATAGATTCCAGTATTAAAATAGTGCAATAATAATTCGACTTTCCTTCTTCGACGGTGATAATTCACTCGAAGTGATGGATTAATTCGTTTAATAGTCGAAAAACACGAACGAGAGAACCTGACAAGTTAAGTGCTTGTACTATAATGGAACAAAAACAAAACCGAAACGGTAAGCAGGAACAGACAATGGCGTGCCCACGCATTGAAAACGTAAAGTTCACGTTAAGTTAAAAATAAAGTTCACGAACAAATCGTATAATCGTCTTTTCTATCCAATTCGACTGTACGGAAATTCAACAGCCGGATCCAAAAAAAGCCAACCTTCAATAAATCAAATATATATATATATATATTATTAAAAAACGGACATACTTCACACGATGGATGAGCGACTTTTGTAGGTGAGAAGTTTGGATTGTAAGGTACTAGGATATAGAGAGGAATTTAAGAATTCAATGTAATTTTGTATACAACGGTTAATCATCGCTAGCGAAAAATAATTCTCAGCAGAGTTCGGTTATACACGTTTTACACGGCTATAATATTTACGATTTGAAAATAATACATTTCGTACATTTTCCACTTTTCGCTACTATTTTCCTCGTATTTTCCCTTTTATTTTAAACATCCGTAGGAAAATCAGAAAATGATCACCTTAAAGTACCACCCCAGGAAAAATTCCTTTTTAGAAAAAGTGCTACACTTGATACTTCGGAGGAAAATTTTTGGCAGAATTTGTGTACACAGTATATAAACAAAATAAATAACAAACATTACATTGTAAAGCCAATACATTGCTCGCTTCGCGTAGAATCTAAAACTAATGAAATAGAATTCGGCGTATTTCACGTTTCGATAATATATTCGGTCGCGTATCCGTTGATCTTTCCCGATTTATAACGCGATGACGTTGTTTTAAACCGAAACCTCTACAAACACAACTTTCATAATACTCCGGGATTCGTTTTTTTCTTCTTCCATATTATATTTATACATATATATATATTTATCTATTTCTTTTTATACTTGATATTTATCGAGGATTAATCTAAAACAATTTTTGTTTTTTGTTGTGGTATTTTTTTTTTTTTTTTTAATAAATCAAACGTTCCCGTGTAACTCGACCGCAAACATACCTACACACTTCGAGATTACAACGCCGCAAACTTATAGGCGTCTGAAATACTCCGTCGTAGTTTTTAAGCCGTAACTGCGGGTGTCGGTGGTGTTTAACCCTTAACTCGGCCGTCCCAGCGCACGCCACCGGGTATAACGCGACCGTGTTTAGCGATTTCGTATCTCGCGCGAAGCTAATTAATTTTCATGCCGTCATCGTCGGTAGCTTATAATTTGTTACTATTATTCCGAGAGGTAAACGACCGTAAACTAGACGCATCGCAATAAAACCGAGCGGACAGCTTAATTGTACTCTCGATTTGTATTCAAAACGCGTGTTAATAAAAAAAAAAAAAAATTAATATTTTCGCGTGTACGTCTCCAGGTTTTTTTTTTTAAATTTCAAACCGTAAACAATATCATTACTAACTGCAGTTCGGCTTGGCTCGCGAAATATTTAACTTGGAATCGAATCGCGCGGACTCTTTACGTATATAGGATTTGTGGAAAATATTCCTATACCAACAAACACACACACACACGCAAACCCACCGTTCGGTCAATACCCGATCACAAATATTGTAAACCAATAATCGCACAAATTTGTAATAACTCGCGGTATACTGTAGTTTTAACGAAAAAACAAAGCCGAATACATATATGTATATGAATAAAAAAAAAAAAAACGATGGTAATAATATTATGCGCCGAGTTTTGTAATCATTGTCGCGGGAATGGTCTCCGCGACGGCTTTCTAATAATTATTACAAAATCCGATTCGTGTGCCAAATATTTATTTATGGTTTTAAAATTTAACTTTATATATTTTTTATGATTTTTTGTCGTTATTTAATATTTTTTAGATTCTCAGTGTTTGACTTATTAACAAAAATAGGCGAGAGCTTAGTGGGGGGGGACATAGACCCCCTACCCCGAAATTTATTCAATCTTCCTCTTAAACTTAATCCTTACAAATTAATACTCCGCGCATCAAGCAATATTATAAAGTTTTTAAGCCCCCCTTTCAAACAGAAAAAACAAAAATTTTGGCTATTTTCGCCTGTGGTGTTTTGTTTTTTACAATTATATTTATAAAATGAGCATAATTTTTTTTCCATTCCTTGTCTATTAACCGCTTTTCTACCAGCAGAAATCTTACACCTATCGTCAACTCCATCAGTGGTGGTTTCTAGATGGTAAATTTCGTCTAGCCGGATGCATTGAGGTGGTGAAAATCGATAGCGGTATCGGGAATTCATATTCACCGGAGTAACGGTTCATCAGATATTTTCAATTTAGATTTTATTTTTTTTTTGTAATTTGGTTAACGGTAAATCATGTAGTTAATATTTAACGATCCATGTGATTTAAGACTTTTATGGCCCCATAAAAATGTTCATCAATTCGAAACGGAAAAAACGGACAATAATTGATAACGCATTGGAGAAAAACACTGTTAATATCACTCCACTCAGAATCGTATTTCGTTTGCAATGATTTATCGTTGCATACGTATGTAGACAAATACTCACCTTAGGTCTACTTTCCTATCTCGTCACCCGAAATAGCAGTGTGAAAGTATGGCCGTTTTTTTTTTTACTTTTAAATTATCCATTTTACATGTTTAAAACGCAATCGAAATGTTTATATCGTCACGCGAAAAGGTATAAAATATTTTTGACGATATAATAGTATACGATTTTATTCGTTCGTTGTGTTTTGCGCGATGTCATTTTTTAACAAAAAATGAAAATAATAATAATACAAATATTAAATCGGTTAAAATAATAGTATAAAAAATGCATATACGTATCGCGCTCTGTATTACTTGGATATTTTTCTATTGTTTTATATCCGTCCGTTCGTTTTCCTGTATACCGCGTGAAATCGTCGCGATATTCGACGCATGCACGTTTATCGTTTTTTTTTTTTTTTTTTTTTTTTATCGCGGGTAATGAAAAAAAAAAAATATTCGTATAAATTATTATGTATGGTATTATAAATTATGTATTATATCGCTAAAACGGAAAACGCGTACATCGCGAACGTATATATTACTGTTTTTTTTCCTTCCATAGCTAAACTATCTATGCGCACATAATAGTAATAATATATTCGTATTTCAATCGTATGTGTCAATCAAACCCGTTACATTACTTTTAGATAGTTGATGAAATAAGCGATTTCCAGTCCCACGAGCCGAGTGTTGGCCGTCGCCTGCGTGTACAAGGGTAACGACCCGCCGGCCCAGTCCACCACGATGACGTTCCAATCGGAGTGCTTCAAAAGTTCTCGTCTCATTTCCTGTGTACGTAGGTATAAACGCGAACAAAACAGAACAAAACAGAAAATTTGGTGAAATTTCAAAAAATATAATAATATTAATCAAATAGCTTAATATTAAATCGGTAAAATATATTATTATATTGTCTGATCTCGGGGAAGGAGTCAATTTTTAGATTTTCTTTCTTTTTTTTTAATAGTTTTATTTTATTTGTATACATTGCAGGTCATGTTTTTAAATTAAGACTGAATTCTAAATGATAGTAATACAAATTAAAACTATCATCTTAATAGATTAAATGATACAATATTGAGAAACTTTGAAGTTGAATAGTTTACGGATAATTATGGGCGGAGACCATATTTTTTATTTAACAAAAATAGACACGAGTCATATTTATTACTTGTCCAGCAACTATGCGATTTACCAAGTCTTATCATTTAATTTGCTTATTGTATGTAAAACCAATATGCAAAATTGACCTCAACTCTTCTTTCCTGAGATCATAAATTTACATATGACTCCGAGAAAACAAAGAAAAGGTAAACAGAACGGTGTATAAATACAGTGTGCAATGTCTATAGACAAAAACTCATTTAAAATATAATATATTACAACGTATTATATATAATGTCTAGATAAAACAAAAGTATTTTGTCTTTTATGTATTGATTTTTTGTGAAAGGACTATCGATGTTTTATTATTTTTAATAATATATGTTTTTTTTCTATACCAATGTATTTTTCGTATTAAAAAAAAAAAAATTAACTCTATTAGATTGACATACTAATTGACTACCTTGTATACTTCTACGTATTATACCTTATAAGAATCTATTTTAAATATTTATTAATATCGTAACAATATGTTTTATTGGATTTAAATTTGGTACCCGTGTGTCTGTTTTGAGTATTATTTTTATCAAAAGATATCGGACTCAATACGCTACGTCATAATAATTATCTTCGTTTGTTATCTATATAACAAAAAAATATTATCTCTGTTATGTTTTATCTCAGATAAATGTTTGTTAAACAGTTGTCGTTGTGTGTTACCTATAAATACGAATGTCGATTATCTATACCAACACTGACGAAAAATAATGGTAAAATTGCAAACACAATATTATATTATAGCCACGGCGGTGACCTGGATATTCGTTAATAAAACATACGATAATTTGTAATATAATATTGTTGACGTCGAAATTAATATCAAATGCTGTGTTATATGCTTGCTTACTTTTTTTTCACTCGAGCATCCCAAGGACGCGGTCATCGTGAATATACTGTCAATGTACCCGGGTATACGTTTCGTAATTATTGTATCGTACCTATTCGTATATAGTGTATGTCCCTTTCCCGTAAACGGGAATATTAAAAATTATTTTTACAATAATTAAAAAAATACAATTACAATATTGATAAACGGCCTCGTCTTGGCAAATTCGCGTTTTGTTCGTAAAATAATTATCGTTTTACACTAATATGTTTGTATAAATTATATTGTATTATAATTACAATTATTACGGGTAAACGCGACGGAATGATTTCGTATAATGTTATTAATATTATTATATATTACCTTGACCCAATTGCTTAAAGGCGTGTCAATAAATCCGTGAATTATAAACTTCGTCGGGTTTTTCGGGTCTAAATTGGACTTTTGTATTGTTTTCTCCGACTGTACTTTCAGCATTTGACCCTATATATATATATATATAATATAAAACAAATGTCAATGTTACGGATCGATCGATTTCCGGTTTTTCGTTGTTTGTGTTTTCTACACATGAATCGGAGTTTTTTTTTTTTTTTTTTTTATTAGTCCAGTCTGTTGGTTGACCGATACGAATATTATACGAATATTTTGAACATAAATGTCTCTCCGCTAACTTTTAAAATACAAAATAACAAAACATAATTATATATTTTCAGTTTTTAATACGAATAACATAATATTACAATATCGTAGTTTAACTATCGTAAATTTAATACAATCACGTATAACTCGTACATTATTTCTTAATAAATGAAAATCTTTCGGAGTAAAAAAAATGTCTGATATATATAAAAAGAAAAAAAATCTAAGAATAGTATAGAAAATAATTATTTAAACTAAAAACAGTATTAATATACGCTATTAAATGAATATTACGTTATTTTGATCGAATCGATTTGGTAAAAATGAATAATTTTTTTTTTATTATTTTGATTACAACAAAAATTATTACCCGAGACCGATTTTCTCAATTTTTTTATTTCTTCGTGTTATTTTTTTTTTTTTCAGGCTTTAGAATTTTAGATGAATGATAAATCATAAAATGTCCGAAAATCGATTTATTTTTTTTATGTAACAGTAATCAGACCATTGAAATATCACGATCTTATAGAAAATATTTTGCTTGTATTATTTTTAAAATCGCTTTTAAAACTATATAAGGTAAAGAATTTCGTTAAAAAAAAAAAAAATGTATGAAACTAAAATATTAAAACCCTATAGCCTATAAGTTTTAAATTAAAAGAATTAATCAATTTATTTTATGCCACCGTCGGGACCGAATGACAAGTGACATGTTAAATAATAAAACGCTTACATTATATTTCCATGTTTCTTAAGTAAATTAAAAAAAAAAAAAAATTCGAGAATAATATTAAACCCGCTATACTCGGTACCCGTAAAAATATGAAAATATTTTATTTGATATTCGATTATGTACTTAAACAATGTCGTTATTTTCTTTAAAAAATAAATTATATGTATACATGTTTTACATATATTATTTGTGTGAAAATAAAATTTCGGCGCAATATAATCGGATGGTTACCTGTAAAGGGTTTTTTCTCGTGTACAGTATAAACCGAGTGTCGATGACTTGTCTGGCTAACGGAAACACGTTGAACGGGCGGTAAATAAGGTGATACCAATCCCGCGTGATGTTTAGACATCCTAGTTCGTCGTAACACCTCGTCTCGTTTTCGACTTGAAATCAAAAACAAAATGTACATAAATATTATGAGTTGTTCGGTTTTTATTTTCAACTTATGATACGTGGCAGTTTTCTATAAATATCAAATTATCGGCAAAAAAAAAAATAATAATAATAATAATAAAATACCAATAAAGGCCAACACAGCTGCTGGTTGTTATAGATGGAAAGTATTGTTGGGAATGTAGAATACATTTAGTTTATGCGTCTGTATGCAACGAAAATCGATTCTGAGTAAAATGCCGTGATTTTTATCGTTATCGTAAAAATCTGCACTTCAAACGAATATAAAAAAAAAAAAAAATTGTAACGTCAAACCCAACTTTCGCTATTATTAAATTACTGAAAAGAAAAAACAATTTAAACTGACCCAAGAACACTTTTAGTAATCCATTTTTTTCCTTGTAGTTTTTTAAAATTCGGAAAAACTGGCATTTTTCGGTATAACTTGATTTCTAAATGATTGCCTTAGTTGTTTATAATATATTATAAATACGCATTATAATACGCAAACTCTACGATAATAATATTATTGTTATCAAACAAAAACGATTATTTTCGTTTATCATCATCGTTTATAAATTATAATAATTAACGATACAACCATGAAAAGTTACAGAAAAAAGATGATAAACTTCGTAACTCAAATTTATTATTGTCTATACCGTTTGGGACCGTAAATACAAAATTTAGAACTCGAAATAAAGTTAAAACATTACGCTTAATGGGTATATTTTTTTTTCTTTTACGTTATTTAAAAACAACTGTACCTAACTAAGTCGCTTTCTGGTTAAAATTAAAACTGGAATATTTAATTGTTATTGCATTGGTTCTTTCTTGTAGAATGACCTATAGCCGATTTCCAGAAAAACCCACACACAAATTATACACTTAAAAGCATCGGAACCGGACGTTTAAAATATTTGTTACTGAACAAAAATATAACATCTAAGTATAGTATATTTGTATGAAAAATATATTTAAATGGTTTAAATCATCGCTAAGACGGTCTAACCTCGAAACATAAATTTAAAAAACGCATTAGATAAATCATTTAATGATACCTAATCTATAATTTTAACAATTTTTTTTTTACAGACAATTCTTTATGTAGTTGGTATTAACATTAAATGAATTTGAAAAAAAAAAAATTCGGTTGGCAACCATTAGAGGGAAGAATTAACAACGTTTTAAAGTTGTACTTCGTGACTGAAATCAAAAAACAAAACCAAGCAAATAGCCTTTTTTCGTTAACAATTAAGAAGGGATTTTAAATTCTGAGCGGAGCAAGGAATGTATTCGATTTACAATGGTGGTTTGTTTTTATTTCTATACTGTGAACAACTTTTCTACCAGAATTTTGTTCCGATTTTCAAGTGTAGAACTTTTTATGTAAGGAAATCTGACTGGGGTAGTACTTTAAGAAAATTGTTTTTTTATTTTACTAGTGGTTTTCATAAAAAATAGGAAAACCAAGAAAAACGGGAAAATGTACGAATTGTATTAATTTCAAATCGTAAATGGTACGGCCAAAACATGTAAAACCGAACTCCGCTTAGAATCGTTTTTCGTTAGCAATGATTAATAATTGTATTAAAGATATATATTAAATTTCCCCTCTTTCTCCCTAACTTCTCATCTACAGTAACCCAACCATTTTACGAAGTATGTCACTTTTTTTTTTTTTTTGTATGGCGTTTACCGGCAAATAACGTAAGTCAAAAACAACGCAGAAATAAACAGCGAACTATTTGACCGATAGATAAAACGGACCGTTTAAACGTCTGATGAAAGCTAAAACGACCGCCGAGGTAATTATTGTCATTTATACAATAATATAGAATAACTCCAGGTGTTCGAGTTACACGCCGAAAATGGATCATTCGTCGTGACTTCACGGCAATTCAAACACTTACCATACATACGTACTATACAACCAAAGTGTATAAATATAATACTCACATGGTAGCCAGGGTATATTGACTTCTATGTGGTTGGATCGTCCCCATTCGAGAATTCCCGCGGTGCCTGACCGCACGAACGTCGCAAGCGTCGCTAAGCACAAAGCCACATGACCTCGGACCATACCTCCTGTAGACGCAAAAAAAAAAAAAAAATAATAATAACAAAAATTCATAAACACGCTGACTTTTGATTAAAAAGTACACGCAAAACGCATTATAGGCATCCTATCGAGTGTGATGTTATATTAAGTGACTATTGTTGTCCGTGGGTCGAGTCCTAAGTAGATAAAATAATAATATACTAGTCGAGTGTATATAGATAATATTTTATTGATATTTCTATCGGATTATGATCGAGAAACGGTTTAACGCTGTACAACGGTAATAGTACATGCGCGTACATTATTAAGTGGCGTAAGCTACTTTATGATTTTTCCCGCGTCGGTCCGTCCACCGGGAATACGCGCTCTATCGCTCGAGCGTTTGCGACTATTCGAATGCGATTTTCACTGAACGATTTGTTAAGCTAAAAAAAAAACCGTCCTCCGTTGATTTTCCGTTCGATCGGTGTAGAAAAAAAAAAAAAATGCTGGAAGGTTGTCGGTATCATAATACTCGTGTGCTCGTGTACAACTATTAATGTTTTGTTTGCATAAAAACAGGATTGTGGTTAAAAAAAAAAAAAAAAATGTTCGTAAATAACATGATATTATTAGTATTTCTATAAAAAGATACACGAGCCATTCGAAATACAAACGTATTTGCTTTGTTCTTGATTATTTTCAATGCATTGATTCGTTAGGATCTTACGGTACCCCGGTTTGTTTGGATTTATATTGTATTACAGTCAGTAAATATTATTATTGGCGAGAAAACAGAGACATGCATTATAGGTTTATGACACCACTAGGGTAAACAATGTACGTATACACCCTCGAGTCCTTTGAATATATAACAATATGCATATATGCACTGAAAATACCAAAATATATTCAAAAATTTCAAAAACACTAGAATATGTGAAATTGAACAAATATATGTATATTTATATTAAGACCTAGACATTACGAAGATTATGGCAATTTTTCGCCGCCTCCAAAATACATACATAGGAATAGTAAGTGGCGACGATAACAATAATAATGTCTAAACTAATTCACATACAACAATATACCTATCATTATTACAACAATGGCTCGGAGGTACAGGTCTCATTGTCCCAAACTTCCACTTATCCCGATTTCCTACCTCGCATACGCCTGCTGTCCTCGAATTCTCAGTCTCATTCAACCATTTTTTTTTTTCGGTCTCTCTCCCCCTCTATTTCCTCTTATATTTATTTTCAATATAATTATCATTATATTGTTTTTGATTCCCTTATACACAAGTCATGCCCGAAGTACCTCATTCATATCACCACCCACGGTACGAACGCGCAAAACTTAAATGTTATAGAATATGCAATATAAGATACACCTAATAAAATATTAAAAAACCATGACATGCATGTTATATCGGGTGTTTTTTAGCTCTTCATAATATACGGTATAATAGAATTATAGGCCATAGTTTGATCCGCTGAAAATCGGGATTATATATGGTAAAAAATAAGTGTGTACCTCCTGTACAACTTCCGAGTTTTGTTTTTGTAACAAATAAAACGCACAATTGGTTAATGTCATTGAATTTATTCTTTTTGCGTATACGAATCGATTTTTTGCCGTTAGTTTCAACATTATTGTGTATCAGCTTATTATCAAAATCAAATGTAAAAACATTATCTTATTTCGTGAGTTGTGATTTTTCTCGAAATTTTAATTTTCAAGCGATTTATGAACATATTGTGAAATATTACAATATTGAAAATTATCCGCTTGAAAACTAAAGTATCGGAAAAACCAACGTACAAACGCAGACCATAAAATTTGTGCCTTTAAGTTTTATATAATAGTCCAATACACCAATTAATACACTAATTTAATTCGCAGCATAAAATCGGTTAAAGTTTAAGTATTCCGAGATTAAACGATTCTACAACATTAGCCGTAACATATTATATAATATAACGTGTAACATTAGAGAGTCCTTATTTTTGAATTTTTGAAAATTTGATTTCATATCCTTCCATTTTGTTCGTTGCGATTCAGATGATTTAAAATGTGTGGTTTTGTTTTTTTTTTTTTTTAATTTATACAAATTACAAATATATATTGAATATTAACGTAGTACAACATACAAATGTCAATAAAAACTAGTCTTACGTGTAAATGAAGCATAAAAACTGATCTAATTTAACAAACAAAATCGACTTTAATTTACGGTTATTTAAAAATACTTGGCGAACGGTTGTAGATAGTGTGATAAAATATCTACGATAAAAATCTAATACAACGAACTAAACACTGTGTTTTTATTAAAACAAAATTTAATCGGACGTTCCGTTTAATTGTTACGAATTTATGTAATTGTAAGCGATAAAAAAAAAAAAAAAAAAAAAACCAAACAAATGAAAATTAACTAAAAAGGTTTATTTTAACTCCGAGAAAACTCGGTATAATATGCCAGACACGAGCGCTAGAATTTCAAATGCGCGTTCCCTAATGTTGTGTACAATTCTTACTATAACTCATGATGTCTAGTCACTATACACGTTTTAATATTTTAAAATATCTTAACGGTATAGGTATTTGATAATATTTTAATTGTTTGTTTATTTTATTTTAAGAATTTATTAGAAAGTCCGAAAGTCGCAATTTTTTTTTCCCTTTTTATTGTTGTATAACAAAAATTAAAACACACATACCCATACAATTATTTTTACTCGTATAACGAAACCAGTTATTATTTTCTTACCACAAAAATAGCTATACCCGTGTAATATAATGTGTACATTACTCAAAGAATATATTCTTAGTATTATTATAACGTTACGTAGGGAATTATTATTATTATTATTATTTTTTTTTTTACCGAGTAGATAGATACACGTATAATATTAAAGCTGTTAAAAGCCTTTTAAAAACTTGTGTAAAGCAAAAAAAGAAAAAAAGATAAATTATAATTATATTTTTTTTTTCATGATTTTTTTTTTGTTTAAAAATGTATTACACAGATTTCAAAAATAACGAAGACGAAATATTATTATTTGTATAATATTCATTCGTACGTTTAAAACCCTGGTCGCATTGTTCGCGTCATAGCGGTTTACATATTGTGAACGCTTAGATATATTAATCCAGGAATTTTTTTTTATATTTTACTTTTTTCACTCCGTTTAACTGGTTTTGAGTCGAATTACAACGTTTAAAAATAAAAGAGTAAAATATTCAATATAATTTTTAAAAAAAATGTTTTTTTTAAAGAAATCGGATCAACAAAATATAATTTTTAATTTTTGTTTTACTTCGTACAGATAATAAATTTATATACAACAATTAATATAATGGTACTGAAAAAAATAATTCACACGCTTTTAGCATAGATGGACTCAAAAGTTATATTAAATTATTAATTTTATTTTCGATAAGTTTAAAATAATTATTTTTTTGTTTACATTACGTTTTAACTGATTTTGAAAGTCTCGAGATTTGGTCAAAATTGACTATTTCGATTTTTTTTTTACATTTACACGCACACAGAACTATAATTTATGAGTAAATACCAAGGAATTATGAGCATATCTGCCTTAAACACAGACTTCCTCAAGTAAATTTCGAAAAGGACTTGTGTCGACTGGTAGAAGATAAAACAATACGTACCGAAAGAAATATCGAATTTCAAAGCCGAATCCTTTTCGAAATTTGTGATTCAAATATAATATATAAGATTTTAAAAAAAATAAATAGATTTGTAACACTTTTTTGTCCAATAGGTAAATGCTCTTTAAACGCAACTGTGCCACTTATAGAAAGGTGTCGACCTACCGATAAAACGTGATGATTTATTATTTATTTATTATCGCGGGAAATATGTCATTATTATAGTTGAATACTTTGCGAAACTCCAGAGAAAGAAATTCGGATGGGGATTTAAAAAAAATAAAAAATAAAAAATAGTTAGGTAAAATACGTTGTATTGTAAAAAAGAGAATGACGCCACCAAAGAGCAAAAACGATTTTCCGGCGGCCATGAGAGATACGTTTAAATGCTGTAGTCTAGTAACTATGTATATTATTGACGCGTATCTGAATGTTTTTTTTTTCACGAGCCGATTTCGATTTGGTAAACGTTTTTTTTCTTTTTCGTTTGAGTTCAAACTCAATGTTGATTTTTAGCGAAATATCTACGTAGTGTTCGCGTGTATCGGTTTTTGATGTCTTAAAATGCGTGCACAGCTAATCAAAAGTTTCCATGCATAATATACGTTACTACGGTTAATGTCGTTACATAAATACTTTTTGTGTATAAAAACCGATTTCGCGTCGTTCGTTCGAATATTAGAACGTATTAGCCTATAATCAAACTTAAAGGTCAGACAATTTCTCCTAAAATCTCTCTTTGTACCTACGTTGTTCCAACCGAGTCACGAATAACTGTGAATTATCACCGTTTAAAAATCGTCGAATCTGATTTGAAATATCGATAAAAAACCTAGCGTACAAATGCGCAGACGGAAAAAACGCACCCTACTGTTAGCACTAACACCGCGAAATCGGGTTAAAGTACAAATATAACCGTAACATGTTACACCCTATATCGGGGAAATTGCCCAATTCACGAAATTACGTTACGTGTATTATTCGTTTCGTTAATTTCGTGCTGTTAGTTTTAGCATTAGGATGTATTTACCTATTATTTTCAAACCTAAAGATAAGAAATCTTGTCTGTATATTATGGATTTTTAGGTTGGTTTTTTTCGATATTTTAATTTCCAAGCGAGTTTCGAACGTGCGAAATATTACGGTACGTAAAAATCGTCATCGTAGCTCGTTTGAAAATTAAAATTTCGAGCAAACAACCGACGTGCAACTATCAATGTAAGACGGCGTTCTTATACCTTTATAGGTTCGGTAACGGGCAAATACGGCCTAACGTCAAAACCAACGAAATTAACGAAACGTTTACGTGTAAATAACAACGTCTTTCGGACGAATCGGGCCGGATTTCGCCGGTGACGGGGCGTAACGTGTACTGAGTACTCGAATATACTTTGATAGCGGCCGACAATCCTTATTTATACGTCGATGATATTATAATATCATAATAGTTTATATTATTGTAGTATCACTGTCCACGCGGAAACGTCTGTTGTTCGAATAAAAACGAGCGCGCGCGCGAGAGAGTAAACACAGTAATACCGTTATGACATTATAATAATATTAATATCGCTTTTTTTCGCGGAAACATAAAAAAATATTTGCGATTTACCTCTGGTGTTCCGTAAGCCCGAGAGGTATGCACGAGGAACAATATTGTAGCGACTGCGCTGTTGTACAGCTCGGACGAGGAGTGGCGCGATATTGTTTTTGTCGGGCTAACCTTACCGGTCGAGCGTTATTGTTGTCGCGTTATAGAATCCGTCATTGTTATTATACAAATTACTATCATTATTTTATACGAATAGGAGTTTACATACATGTGATATTTTCGTAAATCGTTTCTACATTGACTGGACGTGCGCGTTATAATTATCGTATAAACCAGAGGTTCCCAAAGTGGTCTTTATCGACCCTTTGGGGTCGATTCTAACCTGCCAACAGGTCCATGTTGACGAAAAAGAAAGCTGGGGGTGCATGAGGTGTAAATAAGAGGTCCGTCCACGATAGTTATTAAGTCAAAAATGCTTGTATCGTTTTAGCACGGTTGCCAATCTTCTTACAAGATAAAGAAACAGATTGGAAATGACTGGTAGAGGAGATTTAAGGTTAAACCTGACTAATTTGAAGCCAAATATCGATAATATACTACCAAAGCATCAGACTCGTCCTTCCCGTTTAAGATATTATTTTTATTTTTTTATGTTATTACATTTAATTTTCATTTCCTGTCGGTTTAATAATTAAAAAATTAAATAAATATTGTCGTTATTAAAGAAATAAAGATATGACAACATAAAACTTTACACGTTTTTTATTTTAAAATATTTCACTCCATAGTAAACATAATTCAAATGAGTGGCTCCGTATAAACTGTCAAAAACACGTTGATGAATTTGTAAACATTCAATATTTAGGGTCTGCGAAAAACAGAAAAAATTGGCCTACGGGGAAAAAAATTTTGAGAACCTCTGATATAAACGTATCGAATTCGGGAGAATAGCACGAATATTAGTCGTGCGCATATTAAAGTTTTATACGAATAATAATAATAATGATTATTAACTAATGGTTTTCCATTATATTACGGGAGGAGTGTACGGGAACATTGGCGTTTCGGCGAAAAACCGTTTTACTTAATGGACACGATTATCGAATTTTTTCGACCGGAGGTTGTAATGTTCAGCAGTGGCGGATTTGATTCGTCTTCTAGGGGAGTGGGTAAAGGGCTGACATCCTTATGGTCCAAAAATTAAACTTTTGACTAACCCGACCATCAAAGTTTGACCGCTTAACGTGATAGCACAACTATCTACATAGGCCGTGATTATAATTTATTAACACTATCTGCTGTGCGTGTGCCTACGTACTTTATTAGTTTTGGTTGTAGAACTGTAGATAGAATTCGGAACTTAAACAAAAATGTATTTAAATTGTTTTTTCATCTCAATTTAAATCGATAGCGTATTCGTTATCAGTGTTATATAATTTTTAAAACCTTGTTCACGGTCCGGTTAATCTTAAAATATGGAATACAAAAATTACTCTCAGTTGTTCCGCCAGCATAATGTTATAGATTATTTAAATATAAAAATAAAAAAAGCCATCAGTATCGGAACATAATACACAAACGGCCACATTGTCATGGTTGAATGAAAAACCACGTTATGGTATAAGATACACGAGAAAGCCGACACCCGAGAGTGGTAACAATAAAATGTGTTTCCGCAAGTAAAAAGCTAATAGAAAGCGATCGACTAATGATCTCATCCTGACTAATAAATGTTATTGATTTTAATATTAGTCAAATTTATTGAATATTTACTAAATTTGTGTTGATCATATTTAATCCAAACTTTGAGTAAATAATATAAACTTGTAAGTAGTGCTGTAATCAGATACTTTAAATTAGTATACAGATAAAAATACAGATGCAGATACATTTTGTTTGAAAGTATCTTAAAAATATCGTAAGATAAATTTAGGAAAACAGATAATTTTTTATATAAATATTTAATTCATTAAAAATATGCAATTACAAAATTATAACAAACATGTAATGGGTACATAATTTATAATACAATAATTTTAAACTACGTTTTTATGTCAGTTTTCAAATATAATTGTATTCTTATAAAGTTAAAAATGATAATACAATCATTGTTAGTTAGTAATATTTAACAATATTAAAATATTGGTTAATTATTGGTAAATATAGAATAAATATTGGGTATTAACCACTTGTGAATACACAATAGTCATACAATTATACATAATAATTATGTAATAATAAAAAAATCAAAAAATAATACATATCAATAATGAATTGTTGGTATTTTTATTTGAAAAAATTTTAAGTTTTTTTTTGTATTTTGTTGAACCAAAAAATTATGAATTGTGTCTTAAAAAGTATCTTAGATACTTCCATTAAGATACACATACGGATACATTTTTGTAGAAAGTATCTAGGTACCATATATTAGATACATTAATCTAGATATATTACAGCACTGTTTGTAAGGTAAATAATGTATAAAGTAGGGCTACATCTCTTATGGCTTATTTTTTCACTAACAAAATTTATTAACGCTATCGATTTTATGAAAAACCGTGTTCCCGGGAATCCGAGGTATTTTAGATTCTGCCACAAACGCATCGCAGTTGGATAAAATAACTGTCCTAAGGGTAATGGGGACGGGTGCAGCCACTGTTGTAGGGGGGAAGTTGGGAAGGTAAGATATAGAAAGGAATTCAATGTATATCCGTAAAAAACGATTAACCATTGATAATGAAAGAACAATTCTGTGCAGAGTTCGGTTGATAGTATTACTTTATTAGCAATATATATATATCATTACTCATTATATTGTGGTAAAATAATTGTATATGTATTAAACATTTTCTTTAATAATATTTGTTTAATATTGTGGATACTTATTTTCTCGTTCTCCCAGTTTTCCCATGTGTTTTCCTGGTTTTTCCCATTTATTTGGTAAACTGTGAAAATAAAAAAAATTACCTCTCTTAAGGACCTCCCAAGTCCAATTTTCTTTTAGAAAAATTGCTATCATTGTAAATCGGAGCAAAATTTCTGGTAGAAAAGGTGTCCATAAAAAAAAATAAACATCATTGTACAACCAATACATTCTTCGCTCCACGCAGAATCTGAAAATGTCCACCAGAAACCACCATAATTACGGGTAAAAAAAAAAACCAATATTTTCGCCGAAACGTTAATGAACTCAATTAAGTATACCTATATGTTCGGTAAAATTTCTTTGAATATAATATTATTACATTGTGTAAGAACGAAAATTAATCATTAACTAGCGTAACATTATATTACTGTTAGGAAAGTTGTACGCAATATCAAATTTTTCTTTAAAGAAACAAAGACTATAGGCTATATGAATAAATTAAATTAAAGACCGATCAGAGATGTCGAATATGTTGGCCGTGAGAATTACAGTAATCGTCGAAAACAAGCGTAGACTATACTGAAAATATAATAGGTAACGGCGGCGTTGCGTACGCACAGACTACACATAGTGATAATGACAACACGCGATGACACCGGTCTGCTGACAATGGGAAAATCGTTATCAGATAAGATCACTCGAACAGATATCGAGTATAGCGTGTGTAGAGTATAATAGCCGATACCGAACGGTTAAATCAAATATGATGTTTCGTATTCAATTTTTACGAAGAATATCGTATAAAACGAAAGCTGTCTCAAGGTAAACGATGCGCAATGACTATCGCGCGCGTTGGTCATATTGTTATGCGTGTACCATAATGACAATACGTAAATTATTGTTATATTATGTTTGTATAACTTGATTAAAAGAAATGAAGTGTGACGAACCGCTAACGTGAAACCAGCGCGGATAAATTTGCCGGTACATTGAATACGGTAAACAAAAAAAAAAAAAAAAATTCGGAAATAATAATATTATACATTATACCGTGCGATTAAATTTAATAATAATAACGGAAAAAAAAAATGAAATCTACGAATAATCCATACTTGGGAGGAGAAAAAACAAGGAAGAAAATAAATTTATCGCTTCGAGACGAATGTCATAAACAAGTCGATAACTAGAATAGAAAAAAAAACGTTTAAGGACTTTTGAAATAACAAAAATCAGGTTTGTCGTATATTATATTAATTAATATTCTTTTTATAACGTGTTATATAATAATGTAATAATGATCAATAAAAAAATAATATGTCTTACTGTGTTTTCTAAATATATGGTTAAAATTTCAACGGAATAACCATGTTATTACTGTTGCTGAGCACTAAATCCGGATCAATCATACAGTATCATTGACAAAAATATGTCAATCCGGATCGATAACATTAATCCGGATTATTATTAAATTACAAAAGACTGTTTGACGATTGTTCTAACTATCCAGAATGTCACAATAAAGCATGCTAGTTGAGAGTTGTATGATATCCGTATACAATCCGTTGAATCGGATCGAACGGATATATTTTTACCAATTCTAGTGATCACAGCGCTATTTTTTTTACTATAATATTATGGTTTTTAGTTGTTACTAAGCGAAAATGTCCAAAATTTGATGATTTGTCCAAACAGTCAACGCATAAACTTGCGAAGATCATAAAAAACACATTGTAAAATTGTAAATTAGAAATAACTAATTAGTTAAACAGCTAAAATATCAGGTCAACTAGCATAATATTCATACGTATTTTAAAATTTGAGTGTAGAAAAAACGTATTGGTTTTACAAAGATGTTTGTTTTATTTTTTATGTTGTGTACACAAATTCTACCAAAAAATCTTGCTTCGAAATAATATAAAGTATAGAATTATTCTTGGGAATTTTTCTGGGGTGGTATTTTAGGGAGGTCATTTTTGATTTTCCTATGATATTTCCCAATAAATGAAAAAAATATAGTAAAAACCGAAAAAAAACGGGATAATAGATACAATTATAAACAAATATTATTACAGAAAATATATAGATAATGTATACGTAATTAATGTATCATAATATGGCATATGTATTGTTGACAACGCAACACTATTAACCGAACTTCGCTCAGAATCATTTTTAATTAGCAATGATTAATTCTTGCGTACAGATGTACATTAAATCTCCCCTCTGACTTCCCAAATTTTTAAGATCGATGTGAAAAGCATAACTCAACGGTTCTCAACCTGTGGTACGAGTACAACTATTGGTACGCGGAAAGCTCATAGATGGTACGTGAAGACATTTTTTTACATATTAAAATTAAAAATTGTAATTTAAATATTAAGAGGTTTACCTAAAAATTAAGATTTGTTTTTACTTTTATGAATAATAAACAATAAAATATGTTAACAAATTGAATTAATAATAAAATATATATTAAAAAAAAATTTGACTCTCCTGATTCAGTTTTAGAACTAAAGTGGTACTCGTATTGATCTTATGTCAATCATTGATATGTGTCAAGTGGTACTCGATAATAAAAAGGTTAGGAACCCCCGATCTAAACTACCAATTATTCTGTCATACATGTTGAAACGAAGGGTAAACATTTAATAAATCTAAAATACTTAAGTTTACTCGCTCAGGTAAAACGCCTTGTCAGTACTCGTGATACTTGGTTCAAGTTGCGATATTTTCAAAACTTATTCGAGTGTACTTTATCAGTTTTTTTTTTATCACGTATACAAATGATTGAGCGTTAACCATAATACAGTGACGTGGGCCCAGGGAGGCCATTGCCCTAGGGCACACGAACCTGAATAGGGCCCCGGGCTATGACAGTTTATGTTTACTCTATTCTCGGTGGTTTGTACTTGAATGCATTGTTTGAATATAAAAATTTGTAAATAACTGACAAGGTGATTCCTATATTTTTTAACGGACCTATTCAAAAATCTAACCCTGAAACCCGGATTAATCGGAGTTTTCTTCATCCGGGCGTGCAAAACGATATTGAAATACAGATTTGAACATGTTTAATCGTATTGTTTTATTATTGCTCAAAAAACTAATTAAATAATCATGATTATTTATCACATCGGATTTTAACACTGAGTACAACTACAATACGTCACGTCTTTTTTTTCTTCTTATTTTTCTATTATTAATAATTGACTTTGTGGCACTATGATAATAATTAACGATAATAATTTGTATATTTTTTACGGGCTAAGTGCCCAATAGAACAGTAAGTAACACAATATAAAATATGGTATTATAATATAGGTATTATACGTCTGTTATAAACGTTTAGACTATACGCATTATAATAAATATAAAATCTCGAGATTAAACAACTGCAGTTATTTATTAAATCGATGTACGTTAATCCAATAATATTTAGATCACAAAATTATCAATACTTCTAAAAAAAAAAATTAGTTTTTGGAGAAAATTTGGAATTTTAATGATCATAGCATATATTTTATATAAACCAAAATAGAATTTTATAATAATTCATTTGATATAAAATTATAATAAATATTTCAATGTTCTTAAAGAGTTTTTGTTTAAACTCAGGGGCGTGGATAAGAGGAGAAATTACCCGTCCCCCATTTCGAAATCTCAATCAGTAAATAAATAAAATCAACTACCAATTCGTATATTCACAATTCACTACTTATTATAAATAATTATAAGTCAAAATCCATCCCCTTTCCGCATAAAAAATCTATACCCACGCTTCTGATTAAACTATATCACACTCATTTTTTATTTTAATTATCAATTAAATCACGAAAAATGTTTAATATCAAATTATTAAAAACTGGAGTCGATGAACAATCATAATAATGTAAAACGTAATAGTTTATTAAGCAATGCGATGTGGTGTTTTATCACAATAAAGCGACAAAAATGACTGCACGTGATGTATGGTTCAACGGCATAATAGATATGCAAAAACAATACTTAGCCGCATATTATGATTAAAAATTTAAAAAAAAAAAAATACCAAAATGCAATATACTATTTAAATCTCTCGGTCTAAAAACTTTTTCGCTTAGAAATTTGCGAACCGAACTGCCATTATTACTCGTAATAGTGTTTCAAACTCTACGCGTTCGGGTTATTTAAATAGGACTATCTTGAGCCCATTTTTTTATTCGACGGCATAAAATAATATAATGTAGACAAATAGTTTTACACGTGTAAAAACTGTACGCAATACGTTATTTAGTATTTTTTTTTAATTTCCTATTATTCCGTATCGTAATTATTATTTTAGTTATAATAATAAGTCACAGGTAATACGATTACGTCGTCGTCACCTCGATTACGAAACCGTCTTTGCTCAAAATATTTTCAAGGCCTCCGGAACTGCCGGAAACCACTAACTAGTAAGAGTACAATGTATACATAATAATAATTATCGCATATCTCACACCGGCATGTCAAATGCGTACGACACTGTTTCTATACGTTTACCTAGTCAACGGAACGTTCTCCAACAATAACAACAACGCGGGGAGGAGAGGTGAGAGAAAAGTCTCGTCGAAAAGTTAAATGCAAATACAATGTCCATGTCTTATCACGATTCCCGCTGAAACGTCCAAACGAAATTGAATTCCATCACCGAGAGAGCATCAATGTTGCTCCTTGTCGTTTTGGTTGATTAAATCTTTATCAAGTTTAATATAGTAGATTGAAAATTATCAAAACAATGATGTTTCATCGTCGTACCGTTCGTACCTGTGTACGTTTGAAATATACAAACAAAAACATTTGACGATCAATTTGTTTGATAAAATTTTGTTTTTGTATAGTCTAATAGTCAATACAATGTAGTGTCATCGGGGACCCATGTCTCTACGAGGTTCGTAATATGGATCTGTGCCAATATGGATATTAGTGGTCGGGTAACCGAACCGGATAATCAGAGAATTATCTAAGAAAAGGGAGAATAGTTAAAATGTATCCAATACCAGATTTGATCTTGTTACATAAGTTCATAATCGGTTTAGGAATCATTACCCCTTTACTAGTCAGTCCTTTTATTTGTCAGTATAATTGTTAATAATATGGTAATAATTGTTTTATTATAATGTATATGTTCAAAAAGAGGGGTAACTATCCCATTACCATCCCCTCGAATCCATTTCTATGGCCAACGATATATCTCAAAGTAAATACGAGTATAGGTGTATCGTGATGCGTCGTCCATACAATAATATCATACCGATTGTCTCTATTTTCTTTCCATCGGGTGTGATTTAATGGACATTATGTCTGTACATCTTATTTTAAATGTATTTATAGATTTGGAGACAGAAATTTTAAATTTAATCCCTGACAGAATCCTTAGTAAGAATATCAGAATTTCTCATTTGTTTTGTATTTCGTGGTGAAACTTTTTTTTTTTTAAAACACGAAGCGTAATTATGCTGTATTTGTATCCGTATTTTATTAATTTGTTCCATCGTTTTATGTTCATATTTTATTTTATCGTTATTTTTTGTCATCACTTTAGTTCAGTGCGAATAACTTTGTGAAATTCTCTAATGTTTTGGCAAGTCCTCATGCCCGTCAATTGTCATAATAAATAAAACAAATATAAACGTATAATATTACTCACCGTCCAAAACAGAACCGGGAACAGAGCGTCATTCAGATAAATATCTAGAAACAAATAATCAGACAAATAAATTTTATTGTAAATATTATGTGATAATAATTTTCACACAAATCTTAAAAATATATATATATAATACAGGATTTCAATACGAAAATAACACTTGACGTAGTTTTTTAAATATTTTTTATAAACGTCTCTATAAAAGTAATTCGTACACTTTATTATACTATAGAATCGAGAAATTCGTTTTAAAATCATTTAAACTAATTGTTTTTTATTTTTTTTATAAAACGATTATGATTAGGATAAATGAAGGAGTTGAAATAACGGTGCAGAGTTTTACAACGATATTATTTATTTTAAAATCGTTTTCTCGAGATCCTTTTTAATTTAACGTAAAAACGAGAAATTCAAGAGAGTATTAAAAAGCGTTCAATTTTAACAATTAATGTAATAAAGAAGATACTAACAAATTACTCTTTAGAATATAATCTTGCGCGTGCAATTTCAAAAGCTAGATTCTGGGTTTTCTCTTTTTAATTATCGGTGTCTTTTAATATTCAATGATTTATAATTTAGTAAAACGATAATTTTTATAGTATCTATATGAGTTTACCTCTGGTAATGGTATTTAGAAAATGTATTCAAAAAGCACACGGTTCGTTTACAATTTGCTTATTATAGTTTGCGTAACATTACCTCATCATGCACACAGACATTATTATGTATAACTGTTGGAAACGAATTTTTTAAATAATGAACCGTCGCCGGGTGAAAAAATATATTGGTTAGTCACAATGTTAATTTCGTTTCATATAATATTAGAATTAATTATAAATTGTTGTTTTTCTAGAATTAATCAGATTAAAAATAATTTGATTTGGCGCGGAGCGAGGAATGTATTGGTTTTATTACGATATAAGCAATTTTTCTCCTTTTATTTATTGTTTTTTTTTTTTTGCTTTGCAAATTTTTTATCAAAAATTACAAGAGATCTTTTTTGTATCATTTTGGATCTTATTGGTACATTAAGGAGTTTATTTTTAGATTTTCTAAACAGTTTTCTTATAAATGGGAAAATTCTGAAAAACGTATAGGAAAAGTTATTTACGGTGTTTAACCAATAATTTATTATAGTGTCCTACTAGAAATTTTTCTCTAAATTTCAAGTTTTCTGAAAAATTGTTTATCTTTTTTAATTTTCAAGTTCTTTTTTTAGCTTTATTTGGTAGATATTGTGGAGATAAAATAGTTTGACTAAACAAAAATGCTTGAAAATTTAACACTAAGTTCACTATAGGTTTTACATATTCGTTAAAAAAAAAATTAATTTGTGAAGCAGTAAATTTTGTTATATAGGCTTTTTAAGACAAACCTTGACGAAAATCCGAAAAGTGTTGGCAGTTCAAAGTATGTATAACTTATTTTCGCTCAGAATCTTTTTGCCTTAGCAATAATTGCGTACAGATCTAAATTGAATACATTTTTGTGTTCTAACTCCCCCACTAACCATCTATAACAGTGGCCCATCTCGAGTATCAGCTCACATTATTAATCATACTATAAATTGATTAGCAAATTAGCAAAATGTTTAATATCATACCCACCAAATCAATATTATAATGCATAATTACAATTATAAAATATTATTTGATTAAAATTATTGGTATTATTATTATTTATTTTTTTTTTTTAACTCGTCACCGAATTTTAAACTTTTAATCTATAAGTACCAAATTATGCTTTCAAACAATTCTCGAGAAACCAAAATACAAATGTTTAAAATAAACTTTACGGTACCTACTATGAACACATACATCATAAAATTAACTAATGGAAGTGCAATAAAATATGAATAGTGAATACATATAGGTACATGTTATGACTTATACGAGCAACATACTGAAAACCAATTAAAATTAACGATACAATAGTTACAATGTATACAAGTATAAAAACAATTATATAGCAATGAGTATTATATTGAATCTTAAATGGCCTTATTTTTAAAACTGTGTGTATTGTAATTGAATTTATTTTTAGATATATTCATGGCCGATTATCTGGTTATTGTATGATTATTAAAATGGAATTATTAAATTCATTTTTTTTTTGTTAAAAAATGAATATTTTAAATCGAATAATATTGTAGCTAATTTTAAACATAATTAAATATGTTTGGTTTACTTATAGGTATCCGGTTATCTATCTGATTTGACAATATAAAATGTCAGTGGAAAAAGAATTAAGACGTGAATCACAATCCGGGTATACGATTAAAAATATCACCAAACCGTTCTTCTTTTTATAATCAGTTATACGTGGGTATTCGAGACAAATAACAGGAAGAAAAAAAATAATGTTTTGGTAAATACTTACTTTTTATTGCTACTTCGGTTTTTATTTTTTTTTTAATAATATTGTACGTGTATAATATAAATGGAAATTTCCGTTATTTCCCATTCAATTTCTAACAATTGAATTCCTCTACACCTAAATATGTTTTCGGTCAAAACTGATTTCATGATAAACTAGTTTATCCTATACTAAACTAGTTCAGCCGAAGTCTATTACGACAAACTAGACTGGACTGGGATAAGCCAGGGCCAAAAATACTGTGTCCTCTGAATTATAAATGTGTGTCCCAAGTTTTATAACGTGTTTTTATTTTTAATTGTAGAAATAACAAACAATTAGGAATTTCAACGCGAATAAATCTTGTTTATCTCAATATAAATTAATAAAAACTTCCCCATTGTCAATGTTATACAAATAAACGATAAACTTGAACCATGGTCAACGATACGATTATAAATATTATATAACCAAGATGTACTATCTTTAATCGTGAATATAACGATTATATTGTGTCTATAAATATACTAAGTATTATGTAGGTGATCTCGAATTTGTGACAACAGCTTATTATGGCTATTATTGTTCTAACGGTGTGTTCGTGTATTTTACTGATAATAGTAAAATATTTTGAACTTTTACTTATATTTGTTTTGTATAGTTTTAGTCCGAGCGTCATAAAAATAATATAAATGTGTTAGGTAAGCGGTATATAAAAAAGGGGATAACTTCGGGTGTTACAACCCCCACAAGTTATTTTTTGCAACGGAAACCTGTTAACAGTTACGATTGAACTAAGAAGTGTGTCCCCTGAAATTATATGTATTTTAGGCTCTGCGATAAGCTAATTCATCCTTAATACACTAGATGCGTTTAGCTTTTAAAACACCGATATTCATATATAACTAAATATATAGTCTGCCAATATAGAACATTGAATCTACTCCATCTCGTTCAGAGGTTTTTTTTTTTTTGGACACATTTTGTTGCGTATAATCACTTCTATCTAACTAATTTTCAATAGGTAATCGTATATTATGATGAACGAAGCGTGTTCACACATGAAATGTGTGAGAAAATATCAATAAAAATTAAATTAAATGCCAAAAATTATGTTTTATTTTTCTCTTCTACGCGATAAGCAACGACATTTACAGATTAGTAAAGAATGTATTGTATCGCTGGTTGTGCGATGCCATAAATACGAAAAAAAAAAAAAAAAAACATAAAAGTGCATATTGCTAATTAGATTGAAAATTAGATGGTAAATTCATAAAAAAAAGAAAACATTCAAAACGATTGAGGTAAAAAAGTAGTGGAAACCTTATAAGCGATTTGAGCGGTTAAGAATTGATTATATTAATATAATGTATATACTTATATATGTATATACTTAAATAAATATAATAATTATTCCGAATTTCTCGCGTTATATAATATAAAACGTTCATAATTACAATAACGGTTGAGGAAACAATAATAAAACATTATATTATTGGATTTCTGGGTTACCGTGGCAAAAATGAAAAGAATACGACACTATAGTAATAATACTCTGCTCAGCGCGTCGTTTTCCGATGGCAGTGGTTTATCGTCGCGTACACAAATAAATTAAATCGCTCTATACATCCTCCTTTTCGAATATCCTCCTAAAACAACGTGGCATGTCCATCAGCAGTGTCTTTTATTAAATATTTTTACACGAGTGTTATTATTATTTAATCTCTATAAAAACCGAAAATCAATTAAAAATTCAAGTTAGAAATTAAAAACTTTTTAAACGATCGCTATAAAATATATTTTCTTCTGATTTTTACAGATGATTCGTTGAGGGGTTTAAAAAAAAAAAATTTCTGTTTACGATGTTTGTCAAGTCTCTTTTTTTTTTTTAGAAAATATAATTATAAAACTTATACACCCAAGAATTTCGTCTACTGTATCTTATTTATGATCTGCGCATCTTAATCTAAAATCATACTATATAAAATCGCGTGGCATTATAAAATATTTGATATTTGTGTGTGTGTGTGTGTGTGTGTGTATTTGTGAGTTTATTATTATTTTTTTTTTCCAAATAATTTAAGTCAAGACAGTAGGGTTTTAAATCGAAATCTCCGAGATTATTTTACATAATAATATAAAGAAATTCCTCCACGACGAAGGAGAAAAAAAGTTTTTCTTTATAGCGATGCAATATAACAATATAATAATAACATAATAAACAAAATAATATTACATTTAATTTCTGAACTATACCGTTAAAAGCATATTAAAATTCCAATAACGAAACGGTAAATAAAAATCGATGTGATGCGATAAAATTGCACCATAGCGTAGACACGCATTTGGCACAACTATACCCAATATGAAAAAGAAACTGTTCGAATAGTTAAACGATTTAGCTAATATAATTCATCGATCATTATTCGTAACATTTAGAAATATTGTTCGATCGATAAACCATCAGCTGTCATCGGGACTATTCGTTCATCTTTCTGTCCGATAATATTGTAGGAAGGCCGTACTCGTCTTATTCGGAACACGGAACATTATGATATTATTATAAAACGCACCGGATGACACATGGGATCCTTATTTAAAAACCGATTAGGTTAGGTTAGGATATCGATCAGCATTTCGTCGTATAGCTTATTGAAAACGTTTTGAGGACGTCCGTACTCGCCGTCGAAGGTACAAAAAATCGTGTGTTACATTTTATTTTATTTTTTAAACAACTGTAAATAGTTTCAATAATTTGAGAATAAAAAAAAGACGAAATTGTCTTCGGAATTGTCTACACATTTTCCTAAACGGTCGTTTTATCTGCGAAACCGACCGGCTTTTCGTCGGTTTTAAGTGGACATCACGTATGTTTTACAATGTTGCCCGTTAATAACAGACGGCCAAGTACCGCTTGCGACGACCTCTTAATAATTGACGGTGTTTGTATACCAATTACTGTTCCCAACGGTTAATTTGCGTGTTAACTAATATGATATATTTATATCGTAGGCATCGAAAATTCACGGACCGGAAGGTTATAATCCGACATTTTATTACGAGTGCATTTGCGAGCTCGTAGTAAACGCAGAACCGATTGATTTTCACGCACAACCGCCGCGATAATGTTGTCATTATACAATTAAAAATATTGTTTAATTTGTATTGTCTTAGAATGTAGGGGGGGGGGGTTACAACACGTAAATACGAGAAGATATTTTGCTCTTCGCCGACTCTAGGGTCATGAACGGAAGCTAAAGCAAAGTTCCCCGGCTCGCCAAAAGTGTATAAATACAACTCTGGTTACGTTGGATTGTCTCGTATTTGAATCAAGCATCCCGGTGTCCCAACCAAATGTTTTTGTACACCACTTTTGATTCACACATTCCGTATATCCCTTAATTTCTCTTATTTTTTATGTCATATAATTCAAATCTGTTTTATCAATAATATCTATGGATGAGTTAAATTAATTTTAACGGAAAATTATATTTAGTTTAAATAAATTGCGTTTAATCGTTATAATTACTAATAATATTAGAACTTTAGTTTTTTTTACGTTTCTTTCTGTTAATTTTTCCAAATATTTTGACTAGAAGTTGGCACGCCTAAACTCTATATCAGTATTCAGGTGATATCATGAGTTCCGGTAATAAGTATCGCTGTAAACAAATTACATTTTTGAATTGTGTTAACGTGTTATTAATACGTTAGCTTGATATCTACATTAATTTGTATACGACAGTGTGCCTAAAATGTACTAATACATTGATCAATTTTATTGTATGACTTTTGAGTTACGGACTAGTTTTGATGGCTTGTTGCAACATATGTAGATTTTAATTACAATTTATAATTTCCCGTGTATACAATAAATAAATTTGGGACCCTCATTTTCAAAGGAATTTTCTTTTGTTTTACGTGAACCCATTTGTATTGTTATATTAACTGATAAAAACACGAAACGGTGAATGCCACTACGATGGGCTCTAAAGACGGTCTTAATCTAACTAACGGAACAATTACCAAAATTATGTTAGTTAGATCATCAATTTTGGCGTTTAGGTTCAAATTAAATATTAAACATAAATAAAGAGATTAAAAGAGGTGAATATTTTCAAGTACTGTGCGTAGCTTTTTCATAAAAATTCAACATATAAACACGATAGGTTTTGTTTTGTTTTTTATTAATAGATATGGGTACTCCTAATGCTCTTACTATTGCAATACAGACGGAAATAGCCTAAATATTTTGAAAAGGGCTTAAGACCTCATAATATTGACTATGTATACTAGGATAATTAATATTTGATAATTGATTTGGGAGGCTAAATCCCCACCAAGACGCCTCTATTTGCGCTGTTATAATATATATATATATATATATATATATGTATATCAGTGTATCAGTATCTACGAGTATCAGTGGCGTAGTGAGGGGGACGGGGGTTGGTGTTCAAACACCACCGTTTGACCGTATTTATACCGACATTTATATTTTATACCATAATATGCAGTAATGCATCAGATTTCTACAAGGTGCGTTGTGTTAGGCATAAATAATTATTAAGTATACGTAAAAGTCATTTAACATTTAAATGTTGCGCACAATAAAGTTACAATTAAGTTACATCTAAACACAAAATAAAAACATCCCCCTGAAAAAAAATCCTGGCCACGCCACTGACTACGAGTGTATGAACAATAATATATGCTGAACAACGTAGTTTAATGATAATAAAAGCATATAATATTACGTAAGGTGTAGAAAATGTAATTAATTATTAGTTTTCACTATAAAGAAATTAATAATAATAATAGTTATAGTAAAAAAACTGGTATTTAATTATTTTTTCGCATAACATTATTTTCACCGAAAAAAAACTAATTGGTTAACCTTCTTAGGATGGTTTTTTCGTATTTTGATTTTAGATTTGATACCAACTCTTAGTTTTTTTTTTTTTTTTTTTTTAACGAGATAGCTAATACCCGTGAAAGTTAGAAAGGTCGAGCACATATTATGTAGTAGGTGTAATCGATAAACGGTTTTTTTTTTTTTTTAATATATTTTTATATTTTTAGATTTTAAGCGTCTATAAGTACTACGTCGGTACAAACGCAAGATAATTTCTTTCTCGATTTCTTCGTAATGAAATGTCGAAGAAAAAGAAATCGACTACATATACCGGCTATACTTGTCGTTTTGACAAAAATGTGTAAAACATTGTGGGAATAACGTTTTATTGAAAATAAAACACTTTTTGAATCCAACTTAACGTTTCACACAACTGTAACGATGAAAATATACAAACAATTTTGAGTTTTTATATTATATTATATTGATGAAAAAAAAAAAAATTAAAAATAATGATACTTCGCGAGATTAGGCCATTGTGATTGATAGTGGGTAATTGGGAAAGTCGGATATATACGGGGTAATTTAGTTTATATTATGCTGTATCTACGATAAATCATTGCAAATCAGAAAACGATTGCAAGCGGAGTAAGTTTAACCGTGTTTTTCCTTTGTTGCGAATAAGGCAGCCCAGAAATCAACAAACATCGAACAACAATAAATGCTGTTTCAAATAGAGTAACTCAAGAGACGAATTGTATAGCGTCAAAAGCGCGTTTTCACTAATTGTAACAAATTTTTCCCCGACAGAACAAGCGAAACCAATTGTTGTTCTACGCACCGCTCGGAATCTAAAAATTACTTGAATTTTTTTGAACACAGAATTTTAACAAACAGTTCGCAAACGGGACCACGTGCACCGGACTATTTGTTATATGCGTACGTTAACGGGTATAACGTCGAAACCAATAGTAATATTCGAAAAAAAAAACGGACTGCCCGTACACAACACTTCTTCCACACCGCGCGCGCGCGAGAAAGTGGTTTCGACTGCATAAAAGGTTCATAACCTTATTATAGGTATAAGATAGGTATTATATTGTATCTAATGTGTATAATTATTGTAAAAAGTGCAACGGAACTGGCGGTGCACGTGGTGCAGTCCAACGGTGTACATGTATACACTTGTACCGCTACACGGTACGGTAGTGGACATACACTGCGGCCGCGGTACATACGGTTATATATACATATATAGGTACATTATATTAGACCAGAACCGCGGTAGTGGTATATAGAAGGTCAGCGTTGTTTTGTTGTGACCGGCACGCGACAGACGGCAGCTAAACTAACGGCGTTATGGTTACTGTCGTTTCGGTGGGTAACCGATTTTTACGATTACAGCGCGCGCGTAACCGCGACGTGAACACAAACCGCGGTCCACGTGCGCACCGTGTCTGGAACGCGTTCGAAATTTCTTCTACACGTCATGTACCTAGAATTATTATTATTATTTTTTATTTCATTTCGTTTCTCTCTCCTCGGGCCCACGCGCCCGTTATCGGTTATTGTTTTTTTTTTTTTTTTTTTTTTTTGCTTGTGTTAAAAATTGTATTCATTTATTATTATTATTATTATTTTTTTTTTTTATATACACCTCTCGATATTAGTGTACCTGCCTAAAATGTTCCACGACTTATATAGTATTACACGTAACACGCGCACACAATATTATTATATATCGTCCATCGAAATTCCTATGTTTTTATCGTAGATAGCCAAGATATTATTGGCGGCGGCGATTTGTAGGCCATTCGCGAGTATTTCGTACCTACGTGTATACTCGTATTCTTTATATTTTATTGTATATCCATGTAATGCGCACACGGCGACGAGGAAGCAGAATCGTTTTTTCCAAAACCGAAATTCGTATAACTAATAAATATATTGTTGTCGTTATACGATAATATTACCATAGTTATTTAGCTTTCATCCCTCTCTCGCTATAGATTCTGAGTTTAGTGAGGGATTACTATAGGTTTTACCATGATGGGCGTTCGTGTGTTTTTTTTTTTGTCTGCAGAAAAGAACTTTGCTAAAGGAAATCTTGCTCAAATCGAAAAATGTCAATTACTTTGTATTTAAGTAGGCCGTTTCAAGAGCTTTTCATAACAATTGAAAACAACCAGAAAAAGGATTTTAAAACGGACAAATTTACCGCTTACGATCATATTATTTCAAATTTGTATGAATCGAGTTTTCTTTCTGCCAAAAAACTTGTATATTTTTATTAGTTGAGCTATTAATATGTATTTTTTATTTGCTTGTTTTTCCGTTTTCCTTTTTTGTACTTTGTAGATATTCTGTGGATAAAAATGATTTAATTTAATGAAAATGTTTGAAAATTTGATTCAAGATTCGTTATATATTTAACTCAGTGGCCGAAAAATGTTGAACGTAATGTAGTAAAAAGAACAGGCTTGGAAGAGCAGAAAGGAATTCTGAAAGCAATTTTCGAGAGTAAGGAGGGCGAATCGATTTGCCCGTTACAGATAGTTTGACTAAAACGCCACGGTCGCCAAAGATCGGCCAATTTTTCCAACTCATGGAACTGAAGGATGGGTATATAACCATTCGGCGGGCATTAAATGTTAAAACCAACACGATTTGAAAATTTGTGCTGAGCACGATGCTTAAGCATGAGTGAGTTATCCGCGCGAGAGGGTCCCGAACGACAGATCCGCGCTCTAAAGTTAGCTCGGCAAGCGAACAATAAGAGGCCGATAATAAATCCAATATCCATATATCCATTTTGTTTTTTGTCTTGTTTAAGAATTTAAACAGATCGAGGAATGTATTAGTTTTACAATGATTATTATTTTTTTTTATTTTTTTTTTTCTGTGGACCAATTTTCTACCAGTAATTTTGCTCCGGTTTTCAATGATATCATTTTTTCTGAAAGGAAATCTGACTGGGGTGGTACTTTAGGGAAATCGTTTTTGGTTTTTCCCAGAAGTTTTCCCGATAAATGAGAAAACCCGAAAAAAAACACGTAGGAAAAACGAGAAATTAGGTATAATATCGAACGAATGTTATTAAAAAAAAATATATATATAATGCATATGTAAATATTTTACCATAATATTATATATATATATATATGTATATATTATATTCTTGGCAAAGCAACACTATTAACCGAACTCAGGTGTACAGATACGCATTAAATTCCCTCCTAACTTCCCAACTTCTCGCCTACAACAGTGGCCCACCCACGTTCGTCTTCTCGTTTTGTTTTTTTTTCGTTTTTTTTCCCCCTCTCCGTTATTTATCGTATACTGTCTAGAAAACGTCGTTCGATTCGCACGACCGCAGCCGCAAGTTCTTTTGCAGAGTTTCGGCGGTCGCGCGCCGCGAGGATGAGTAACTTTCTCCGTCAGCAGCACACGATGCTAATCCTTATATACGCACGCGCGACTCCTGTCTAGACCCGAAGGGTATTTATAATAATAATAATACGGACTAAACCGTAGCAACGGCAAGGCGGTTAGAAAGTAACACGTACCTCGACCGTGTATGCGATCGGCTAGCTGTTGTACGTGTGTGCACAATGTTACCTGCACGTGGCATTTCAAAATGATGGAACGCGCCGCGCAGCCGGGGGCGAGAGGTTTTTACTTTCGCTTCCCGATTCCCAGACTGCGGCACACGAATAAGTCACGACGGTACGCTGTACAACTGTATATACAGGGTGATCGCACGGTCCGGCGAATTTCTCGGAGGTTTATTTTTTTTAGCGAATTTGCATGTTTCTGTTTTTCGTCTTGTCAATCGTATAGAATCACTGAGCTCCGAATGCTGGTGCTCGCTTGCTTCTGACCCAAAGCGCCACGGTGTTTTTTCTCGTGGGTCACACGTGTAATAGTTTTGGAGACAAACAATCGTCAATGATCATCATTTGGAGTATCAAGAAATTGATAACGATAAAAGTGATTATTCCGGTGGTACCAAAACGAAGTGGCAAATTATTTGAATCTGACGAACAAATACTGTTAAACGGTACCCGTTATTAAGAATCACATTTTAAAATCCTTACCAAAAAAAATTGTGACTCCTAAACGTACAAAGTTATGCATTTTTTTTATTTTTTTTTTTTAATGTCGTTCAATATTGAGTTTCGTGGCAAAATAAAGTAACTATATCGAAAACCCTTGGTACTAAACTTGTTAAAAGATTTACATTTTAATACGTATTTTTAAACATTTAACCCACAACTTCTTTCTTTTCTTAAATGAGTGTTAAACACATACCTTGGATTTTCAAACAGCAATTTCACCCCACAAATTCGAATAGAGAATGTAGAACATTTTTTTCGAAAAATGTCAATGCCTACACATAACATCGTATAGCGTGCGTGTGTTCGAATATGACGTGCATATGTTATAACGGTTTAAAATTTAGACTGAAAGTGTGAAGGTTTTCATCGAAAATTGGATATGAACACTGTATTGGTTTATAATTTAATGGATTTTATTTCTTTATAAATTCATGGGACTTCTATTTACAAATCAGAAGTGTATAATTCTCTCGTTGCTTTCCTTAAAGGACAAAAGCGTAAGGGGAACAATATTTGAAAATCGATTTTAAATATGATCCCTGAACGGCTGATGAACAGAAATCGAATTCAATTAAAATCCCTCGAGAAAATGTCCGGATCACACGACGATGCACGGATCATCCTGTACAGGTATTATAGGTATACATTTTCATGAGCATCGCATTATACTATAGCGATAAAAGACGGACCGGCCGAAACGTCAAAATAACGGGCACAAAATACATTACGGCGATGCCCTTCGCGTTTCGATTATTCCAACAATAACAATAAGATGGTGCAAAGTTTATTTAAAAAAAAAAAAAAAAAAGCGAGTACCGTAGTTCTTTTACAAAATAGCGAACGTGTATTTATATAATAGTTATTATAATGGGATTATTATTCAACTGCAGACAATATATTTTAAACGTACCTACCTACCTATTAAATAAATTACACCGCGTATATTCGCACTATAATCATAGTTGTAATTGAATGCGCAATACGCAGTTCGTACTGTACGCGCAAAAGTCGTAATTAAAAAAAATATTTTTAAAAAAAGACTAAAGAAAAAAAAAATAACACAACGTAGTAAAACCAAAACGATACTATTGTACGGTTTTTATGGGACAGGGCTCAACTTTGGCCGTTTTCGGTTTGTATATTACATAAATTCCGTCTGGAACTCCAAGCCGTGCGGTTGAATATTTTGGCAGACACCGTCACTGACGTATACCACCATCATTACGCGTTTTGATATTAATAACTCTTATTTGACCAAGGGCTTTTGGCAAACAATTTACATAACTTATAACATTATTAACATCGATCCGAAACGAGAACGAAATAAATGTCCATACAAGGTGTCTTATACTCTTAAATATAGTTTTTGTTTCACCTGTAAACTAGTTGAATACCATTTAAAATCGCAAAAAAACAAATTGCTCAATTCCTTTCTCTGAAAAAAAAAACCGTTCGATTGTGCCTAACACAAAACAACGAATACAATTTTTTTTTTTTTAAATAGTGACACTGCTGATAGGTGTACAACTGTTTTAGAAGGGAAATTGGAAGGAAAATATATAATAGAATAGTTTTCATTTATTTTTTTATATATACACGCAACGATAAATTATTTTTAATGAAAAACGATTCTGATCAGTGTATAATAATGATTTGCAGTTTTCTCCATGTTGCAAGCCAACCCAGAATTTAATATAAATTTAATAAAAATCTGACATTTTTTACAAATTTATGAAGACAACTTTAAGGAAACTAAAAAACTGGCCTCCTCAATCCACCAACTAAACCAAAAATGTTTCAAGAAAGTTTCTATAAGGTTTTCGATTAGAACAAGATTTCTGGTAAAAATGTTGTTTACAGACACAAACAAAAACACGTCATAAAGAAATCAATATAATATTCAACGCTTCGCTTAGAATCTAAATGATTATATTAATGCCGCGTCATCACAATAATAATTTAAACTTGTAACACGAGAAATAACTCTCTGTAGTATTGTAAATCGTAAACTATAGTTGGTATGTAAAATCAATCACGCCAATAAGAATATCAACGAATTCAGTTTAAAAAGTAACATTGGTTCGTTATCGTAAAATCATAAATATTACGGCCTTTTAAAACGTGTATTATGTATAACCAAACTCCGCTGAGAATAGTTTTTCGTTAGCGGTGTTTAATTGTCGCGTAAAAACATACATTGAATTCCCCTGTGCATCTTATCTTCCGAACTTCTCACCGCCAACAACAGTGGCCCACCCATCGTGCGAAGTATGTCCGTCTTTTTTTTTTTCACATTTTAACTCGTATTTATACGAAATCAATTGCATTATTTATAATAATATTGAAAACGATGGTCGACGTATTTTTTTATTTATTATCGATATATTACGTGCGTGAGAGTGTGTGTCGCTTACAGACAGACCATATGACTTAGTTAACTAATATTTCGTCAGTTATCGTCGATATTATATAGATACACCATAATACTATACCAACTAAAACTGCAGCACACGTATATAGTACGCTCGTAGGTAGGTGATGGCGTGTATAGTATTTCGTGTGCAAACGGCGTATTGAAATTTTTTTTTTTTTTTATTAATATTTGTTATTCATGCGCGAGACGACGCGATTTTGTAAGTGTACCGGTTGTTCGTACACATAGTATATACATATACACAAGTATCTATATAAAGTGAAATGTCAGAGGCCACGGTGCACACTGTCGGTGTACGCACTGCCGAGGTGTACGCGTCTCATCCGATTGCAAAAATTCTAGGGGAATTTCGCAAGATGATATTATTATTATTATTATTATTATGGGTATATGGGGTACATCGACTTTGTATGCGTACAGCCGCAGCACTGCGTGGCCATTGTACACTATTGTTTGACTGAGATGTCGATGTGAACCGCATCGTTATGTTATATCGTTAATGTTACGGTTAATGTCGTTTTGTTTATAGTTTTTCGTACATAAACACCGACGTTGTGCTGTTATAGTTTTAATATTTTAGTGCGTTAGGCTCCATCAACAAGCTTACGGGTAAGGTCAGTTTTTGCGCGTCGGTTTTTTTCTCTCGATATTTTAATTTTCGAGCGAGTCACGAACGTGTGGAATTATACAGTTTAAAAATCATCGAATCCGGCTTAAGATTTTAAATATCTCAAAATAACTAACCAACGTACGATCACGGAGGGTATTCTTACCTTTACGTTTGATAATGGACCAATTCGCTCTAATATTAAACAGCAAAAAATAAGTTGAAGTATAAATATGGCGATATTAACCGTAAAATATATATGTACTCGTACATATGGATGCCGGGAAAGAGATGCCCGGGAATCATGTCGGCGACATTATAATATGGAAACGACAAAATTCAGGTCAAAAAAATAAAATCGATAAAAACTAATTATACGTATATTGATTTTAACGTTTTAAACAGCGCATCGAAAACCGCCGCGGTGACCGAATCGATTCGGTAGCATCGTTAAAACGCGCATATCGTTATTATTAGCCACTTTTTTCGAAATGTGTATGTATGTACAAATAAAAAAATCACTTTTTTCGTATTCGTCCGCGAAAATGGCTTAGTAGAAATATTGATAAACAATAACATTCTATGGCTCGTATTGAACTTAAATTAATGTTATAAATAAGTTACCTAGTAAAAAGAAGTTAAGTTAATAATTGATTATTTTTAAGACGTGTTATATAGTTTATGAAGAAAATATTGAAAAACGAAGGTCAATGCGAGCTATATGACGTCTTTATTTTTGAAATGACAAAATAATCATCGAAATCTGTCCATTCTATGGGAGTTTTTCCCGTAAAGCGTATTGAGCCAAAAAACTTCCTTAAGTCTTTCAGTCGTGTTTAACTATATTATTATTGCGCAATTACATACTTAAGAAGAGAAATTAGAGAGATATATCTCACCATTTAACCGTTTTTTTTTTTTTTATGTCATATAATATTCATAGCATCATAATTTTTATAATTCAAATGTCTTTAATTTTTATTCGGAAAAACCAAAAAAATGTGCTAGTGTTACCTAGTAATAAACCAGTAAGTATATCAAAACAAACGTAAACGTATTCATTTTCTTATTTAAAACGAAACCTATCGAAACCATAATACATGAAGGACTAAGGAGGTTAGATATTAGTACTAAAATAGTGAACCAACTAATAATTACTATTACCATAACACCGGAATTTTTGATTACGATGATAATATTGTAGGGCAGATTGAGTTATAAATTATACATAGAAAAATATATTATATAAAATAAAAATTGATATTTTTTATTAGGTATACATTATACAATATGACACAATTGATAAACGTGATATCTACCTGAACCTCTCCCACCTTGACCAAATCCTAAATACGATGACCGTTGTTTGGTAATTCAGCTGCAGTCGACGGAGGACGAAAACCTATATTACATTATAATATTATATTTCTTACCCCGAAATATCAAACAAAATAACGAATTGCGTACTCAAGCGAATTATTTATTTGGTACGCAGATACGGTGCGCGATTAGTATGCTAGTCGACGATGTGCGCGCACGAAAATAATAATATTAAAATAATCGAAAATAAAGACTATATAGATACCTTATATAGCGAACGTGTTATTATCAGGATTTTATTATCATTATTATAATTCTGGGGTTAGGCCTCTAATCATATAATAGCATACGAGTATTACGAACCGTATATAAAATATACAAATCGAAGGTTAACTTTTTGCTTTCAAATAAGTATCAAATACCTCTAGTAATATAAGCGTTGTTCACGAAACAAATTCTATGTTCGAACTTTGAATCTGCACACACCCGCATTACAATCAAGTATTTTCGAATAAATATTAAAATAGATTACTGGTCAAAAAGCAAGTTTACGAGGCATTAAAGGGTTGACCATGTATTACCCTTAGTCAAATTACCATATTGAGTTTTTTTTTTTTTTTTTTTTTTATTCCGGACAAACTTGTCTTATTTTTAAATTCTGAGAATAGCGAAGAATGTATTGGTTTTTCAAAGATGTTTATTGTTTTTATTTTTTTTTTATTTTTACTGTATACAAAAATTCTACAGAAATTTTGATCCAAAGTATCAAGTATAGCATTTTATCTGAAAGAGAATTTTCCTGGGGTGGTACTTTAGTTAGGTTTTTTTTGATTTTCCTTGGAGTTTTCGTAATAAATTGAAAAACATGGTAAAAATCGGAAAAAAAAAACGGGAAAATAGTTACTATAGTAAATAGGTATTATTAAAGAATAATTATATTATAATGCATATGTAGGTAATTATTTTACCACGATGTGACATATATTTTGTTGATAAATCAACACTATTAACCGGACTCTGCTCAGAATCGTTTTTTGTAAACAATGATCAATCGTTGCGTATACAGATATACATTGAATTTCCCCTTTTTTTCCCCAACTTTTATTTACTCTTTAACTCATGTTGTAAAATTATGAAACAACGAGTTGATTTTGAATAATTATTACAAGTCAATTGTAATTTCGTATAGTTTTAACACAATGTTAAATTAACAATCATTACATTTTTGGAATGAATATTTTTTTTCTTTTACCTACTCAATAATGTGTGTTGGAATACTAATCTAACCGCCGTTCATTGTGCGATCGGAGACGGTTACGTCGTATCCGCGATTAATAATATTGTTATTTGTCAATCCCGAACGAGATCTGGTCTAGACGGGACGTAATACGTATACTTCTCGAATCACACCGCTGTATAAATAATACTTTTGCGATCAAATATAAAACCTCCTGCGCGTGTCACTTGTATATATATAAAAATTTAAAAAATATTATTGACAGTTGACAATTTTTTCGCGTGTACCTGTGTTTTATTTTTGACGGAAACGAAGACGTTATATGTGTGAGCGGTCTGTTTATTATCGTTCTTCGCGCACGAGTGAAGATAAACCCGTCTAATTTGTAAAATATTGGGGAGGGGGGGGGGGTACAAAATTATTTCACATTATAATTTTTTCAATGACGTAACTATATAATGATGTGATTACTTTACGATAAGGTGGTGCAGCAGTTTACGATAATATTATAATTTGTAATATTGCTCTAGTACCTACTTTATAAATTTGTAAATTATAAATGCAGTGTAAAGAACTGAGCAGAACGGAACAATTTTATTATAAACAATCAAAACACATGTCAAAACAAAGTACCATATAAAACGGTACTGATAAAAATTTGATTACACGTGGAGATCATTGGAATCCGAAATTTACAAAATATCAGGGTGGGCAACGTTCGTTTATAAATTTAACAGAGGAGGTTGATAGGAGAGTACATTTTCCAGTTTATGCCTAAAATTATTCGCTTTTCTAATGCAATAGTTAGTAAAATTGTACGGTTTAAGTAGTGTTGTACTGAAAACTATCAAAATATTCATTTGAACCACAGTATTAAAATATTACAATAAAAATCAAAAATTTTCGGTAAAATTAATTGTATACATTTTATTGGATTTGTATTTATTTGTTTGTATACAGAAATACACTATATAGGGGTCCCACAATGTTATCTGAATGCTAATAACTTTCTCAATGTTCATTTTTTTTTGTTTCAAACAAATTTTTTCAATCGGGTTTTTATGTCAGAATGACACAAATTTAAAAAAAATTGAATTTTTATTTTTATCTCCCAATCACTAAAAAAACAACTTTATTTTTCACTTTTAAAATTTTCAAAATAGCCAATTTGTAAAATGTATTATTCTAAACGTTTTAATGTACCTACAAAATGTATAAAGCTGTAGGACACCCTGTACAACGTCAATTAAACATAAACAACCCAATAAATATTAGGCTTATAAATATTCTTTTAAAACACCTAATTATTATTAGGTATATAGGATTTAATAATAATTAAAATTACAATTTTAGATTCTGAATAAAACTAGGAATTTATTGGCTTTACTATATTATGATGTGTTTATTTTTCTTTCTTTTATTTAAGTGTATTCAACCGATACACTGATATACATTTTTTTGATTTTTCTTTCAGTTTATATAATAATTGGTAAAAACTGGAGAAAAACAGAAAAGTTTACGGCATTGACGGTTTAATTGTTTTCGATTTTGTTTTTTTGTTGTAAAATTATTTAGAGACCTGAAATATGTATATAATACTAACATCAACGTTTTCTAGAAGTGGTCAAATTTTCAGAACATTCTATCAATTGTTGAGCTATTTACAGAGCATAGTATCAACTAGGTGGGCTGTAGGAATAAGTCCTCTGCTTTTCTATTAACAATTTAATACTAAGTTGTACAAATTGTAAAAATTATGGAATTTTAAAACATGTTACGGATATAAATTAAATAACTTTACGTACCAATCCTACTTTGCCAACTTACCACTTACAAGAGTGGCACACCAGTCAATGGTATTTGATCTTTTTTTTTTTTTCAATTTTCAAATAAAAATGTAAAATTACGCGAAAGAAATAGTAAAATTAACATAACGATACGACCGAAAAATTTGAAATTATTATATCCAATTCAACGGAGCAAATTTAAAACGTAACACTAATATTATATTATAAGACAAGTATTATAGGCAAGATACCCACTGTTCAGAAATCAGTAGAGAAAACGCCGCAAACGAGGAAATATTTTAGCAATATTATGCCAGAGCTTCCCAAATTTTTTTCCCCTTAGACCACATGCAGATTTTTTCTGTATATCATAGATCTCTCCACCCTTGTATCATTTATTATTCTTACTTGCATCTCATGCAACTCCAATTTTTTTCGATGACATGGACCCCATATAGGTCAGAATTGACCCTTGGGGTCTATTCAGACTACTTTGGGAACCTCTACCTTATGTGAACAACTGAGGCAAAACGTTCAGGACGTGTCACGGTCCGTACAGTTCGATAGATACCCAGTAATCTTCTCGGCGTAGACGCGTACAGGAATAATAATTATACAACATTAGTGAAAAGTAATGAATACGATATTAGATAATCGTTTATCGTGTACACTCGTTTAATGAAAATAAAAAAAAAAATTAAAATTACAGCACCAAATAAGTACATTTAAACTAAAAATTAATCTATGCAAAAGTCTAGTTGTTCATGTTTCATTTCCAATAATAAGGGTGAAAAACACCGGTAATGTATCATTTGAAAACTATTTGGTTCTTAAATTGTCAAAAATGAATAAATAAAAAATACCGAAAAAAGGTAATCCTTTCTGAGATAATGAGTGTCTATTATTATCAAGGACTGTAGATTTTTGAAAATTGACCGTATCGCACAAATAATGTTTATGATTGGAAACGGTGTATACAAATAGATAATAATATGATAAGGCTTAACGAAAATACGAGATCATGGCCGAAAAATCAATAACAACATGAAATAAAAACTAAACTTAATATTTATGAACTATAATATGTCTATACATGTTATTATACATTGCAACTGCAGTTTTTGCCAATTTTTGAGTACATACAATTATTGTCGAGTATATAACATATTAAATCTTATTAGCAATTGTTAAAATAATATTATTTATTTTTTTTTATAAACGAATATTATAATATTCCCAACATGGCGTTCGTGAATATATTTAAAATATAATAAAAGGTACCTAATTGGTTGGAATTTAAGCGATTCGCAAAACAAAAGACTTTCCTTATTTCATATCTCGTCAATCCTAAGTTTTAAAGAGCCAGATAAAATATACTACGCAATATCGGTAAAACGCATGTTTTAAGTAAGTATTTCGGAAGGACGTAATGGATATGGGGTGATTATTCATGGTTTGTATACTTAAAAGCAACCATAAATTATTCGGAGCGTAGCTCGGTCAACTAGTAAAGTTATATATGCATACTAGCAATATATAAAAGTGTTTTTTCTCCTCAAAAGGTGATCAAGAAATAAGCAAAAGTAAAACCGATATGTTATCGTCATTATTGGTTGTTAGTTATTTTTACTTTTTTGAAAAAAAGTATCGATTATACCGAACAATTGTGCGAATAAAATACCATCACTGTGGGAAATCCGCATCACTACATAATGGATTCGTAACATTATACTGTGCGAATAAATGGGATCGTTTTTATTAACCGAAAGTGTAAAAAAAAAAAAAAAAACTGTCCTAGAATAATTGGGACGGGTGTAGCCACAGGTAATTTAATGTATATACCTAAGCAACGATTAACCATTGCTAACGAAAAAAGATTCTGAGCGGAATTAGGTTAATAGTATTGCTTTGTCAACAATATTTATATATATGTCATATTATGGTAAAATAATTACACTGCATTATATATTTTCTAAAATAATATTTGTTTAACAATGTAGGTACCGTTTTTCCCGGTTTTTCCAATGAATTGAGAAAATTCCTTAGAGAACTAAAAAATAACCACTTTAAAGCACCTACCCAGTCAAATTTCCTTTCAGAAAACGCGCTACCATTATAAATCTCTTGCTTCGCCGGTGGAAAAGTTGTTCACGGATAGAGAAAAAAAAAAACAAAAACATCATTGTAAAACCATAAGCGTGATCGCTCCACTCAGAATCTAAAAGAAACATGTCTTGTTCCCCGCACCCAGGAGAAATAATAATAATAATTTACAGCTATTATTGGAATATTATTTTGATACATCCATACTGCCCGTGTACATATTTTGTTAAGCGAACAATATAATCACTCCATCTCTCTCCGTTTCGTCTGTGACCGCTGCATTGTACCATATTGCATAGTAACCAGTGTAACTCATATTAATTATATAATGTTATTTAAACAATTAGTTTACCGTTATATAAGTTCTACAATGTACGGCTATATATATATATACAGGTAGGTTATATTTAACTACGGGGTTACTTAATACACAAAGATATTACAAAAGCGCGTTTACAGGCAACTGCGCGAGCATACACAGGTATAGCCGTACACCATAGTATATGAAATCCGTTGATCGTCAACAAATCTTATCGATCGAAACCGTTACATACCTAATTATCGTTGTTATTATTAGCAATAGTTCTATGTAAATATTATCGACGTTTAGCATTTTCGTTGCAAACAAATAATACCTGGGTAGAGGGTACCCATTGAAAATGTCAATAATAGATAGCGACAGTGACGTAACCGGGGAGACTGGGGGAGGGCTACGGGGACTTCAACCCCTTTCTTTTGGCCGCGTCAAATACAAAACAAAATTATTCACCGTTGAAAAATTATTTCCAACAAAATAATAATCACCGCGTATATACACTACTTATTCCGCCAAGTACAAATAGTTGTACTGCACAATAATGTACTTTGCGAAAAAATGTTTTTTTTTTTTTGTAAATCAATTATTTTAATTTAGCCCCTCCCCAGCAAATGTGAAAAACCGGGAAAAACATGGGAAACCAGGAATAACGCAGGAAAAACGGAAAAATCGGTACAATTATAAACAAATTTTATTAAAGAAAATATACAATGCATATATAATTATTTTACCATAATATGGCATATATATATATATATATTGTTGACAAAGCATTACTATAAACTGAACTCCGCTCAGAATAGTTTTTCGTAAGCAATGGTTTATCGTTGCTTACAGATGTGTACACTAAATTCCCTTCTGTCTTCTGTACCCTGTCTTTCCAACTTTCCACCTACAACAGTAGCTGAACCCTCGTGCGAAGTATGTCGAATTAGAAATTAATTATTAAAAATGTGTACATAACTACGAGCATGACCCTTAATACAATAATTATCGTAAAAACAAATAAATCTGTATTATTATTTATTATGACTACATAGTAAATAATTCGTAAAAACCGCATAGGCATATTATTTTACACTATTTCAAGGTTTTGAATTTCATTTCTTTACACTATAATTCAAAAATATTATAAGCAATTTTAAGTTGAATTTATATTTTTCGCTAAAATTGAATACGAAGGTTATTTTGCTTTACAATCTACATTAAATATAAGTGCATTGTATTTTTCAACGATTGGTTTAAATCTATACGCCGACTTAACAATATTATTATATTCTGTAAAATATTGTTTTGAAATATTTCTTTTACACGAGTGTACCTATCCGAGTAAAAAAAAAATTACACTGAAGACGTCCAACGTGTTTATAGTAAGTTATAATTTATAAATATAACCTGCTACGATAAAAGTAATTATTCAGAAACTTCGTATTCAAAAAAAAACTTGAAACATCATCATAAGGCATTAAGTAATTAGAAAAAATTAATTATTTAATTGGAAATCTGCATTATCATTTGTGCATATTAATAACCTCATTACGATTGTATTTCATTTAACTTATTTCATCAACTTAACTGTTTATTTTATAGGTACTATATAGGAAAACGCGCAGTCTTCGTTACTACAGTAATTACCTATAATTTTTTTTTTTTTTAAAATATGTTATACTTATTATATTCTCTTGAGGTTATTGTATATTATTGAAAAAAAGTTAAAAATTACTCACGTTTTTTGTTTTTTTAATAATGATTAAACCAATAAATATTATATACCGAAGGGTATACTCAATCTAGAAACTGACATTTAACTAATTATTATTTTAAGGGGCCTAGTCACTAATATTTGATTTCTCTGTCTGACTTGCGTGTAATTATAGCAACAACGGCATTCCACATTTCCACAACTGTGACTCACTGGTACCTATTATACATTATATAAATGAGATATTTTACAATGGATCTTGTTATTTATAGTTAAAATTAAAAGAAAATTTAAACACGCATATCTTGGTAAAAAAAAGAAAATATTAATAAAAAATAGGATCCATATAGAAAATACTCTTCTTTATAAAATATAAAATAGGTCTATTTACCTTATATTCAACTAAAGAGTCGCAATCGTAGAAATGCATTTATCAGCGCTTTAATATCGCTTTATAACGCGCGAGACATAGAAAACAAACGTCATTGACGATACCCATTAAATAGGTATAGATATAAAATATCATATGCATACATACTATGGTATATGATATTTATAACATTTTAAATAGAGGTTGCTATTTGAAAACCGAAATTCGATAGTCATTCCCAATAATAATTGTGGAAAAATGTAGAAAAAATTGTATTTAAAATCTTGAAAATAAACAAGTTTTGAAAATAGTCGATACTTTCTAAAATATCGAGTGTTTGACGATAAAAAAAAAATCAACCTTGTACACAACAAACACGGATATAACCACGGATTAATGATTTCAATGATCGACAAAATGTCTTGAAAATTTAACCATGTATAAACAAATTCAATAGGTAAACAAATTGCAACAAAATAACAAAATAATGAAACCGTTATTACCGTAAACTTTCCTGTTTTTCCCCATTAGAAAAAAACTGCTCAGAAAGCAAATTATAACCTCCTCGAAGTACTAGATCCACAATATTCTACAAAAAAACTCAATTGTCGTTTTTCAATTAGAGCAAGATTTCCGGTAGAAAATTCGTTCACTCACTTAATCGCATACATAGCTTATTTCAAACAAACAGACTCCCGATATTTTCGGTTTACCACTTCCTTAAAGGTTATAGCTTCAGATCCGTTACAGGTGAGATCTATATATTTTTACCTTACAAAATAATAAAATACCTTTTTTTTTCTTAGTTTAATCTACAGTAGTGGATTTAACATTATCTAATACTCCACTGCTGTTATCGTTCATAATTTTCTGTAACCGTAACAGTATTACAATAGCGCGCTCTATTCTCAATAATAAAATACCTAAATCAATAGGTACCTTTATTAATATAATAGTAATCGGTTTAACGAAAATCATTGAGTTATTAATACCAATTATAATAGAAAAACGAAACGCGTAATATTCTGTTTAAGTATAATGTAGTAAAACTAAATTATCCGCCGCCGCCGTCGCCGCATCGTCGTCGTTAATCAATATCATCGGACAGACAAATAACGCATGAAAGATAATACGTACAACAATGTTAAGTACATTATAAGTCTCTTAACTTTTCATTTATTATAATAATAAAAAAAAACAGATCTTTGTAATTGGAAAGCTCGTCGAATAATATAATAACGATAGTGGAAAAAATGTTTCCAATTTAAAAGTCACGACGTAACAAAGAAGCGAAAATAACCGTTCAGTTTACCGTGTTATCTCAATCTGACTCGTGTTCAAGCGATAATAACATAAACTAACCTAATACATTTTCGTCTAAACGTTTTTTTTTTTTCTATTTTTTGTTTTTTTTTTTTTTTTTTTTAATAATTTTACGCCTCCGGTAAATAAATTGCAGTTTGGTCTGATATAAACAAAAGAAATCGGTCAAGTACATCACTATTAGGTATACGATATAGCTATTGATTGCATTCGGCATGACGCTATTAAATATTTATAAGTTCGCCTATACTACGATACTGTCATACCTAATATTCGAGAGCATAACTCAATATCCGATTGTAACGGGGTAGTTGCATATTATTTTAATGATTCAAGGATCAATACATTCGAATATAAAATACGTATAACTGGTATATTACTAGTATATACCTGTAGTGTATATACCATTGCTGGTATGGCGTACTGTTCGCTATAGACGATTCCAAAAATTTCCATGTAGAGATTTAGAAATTATTTCTAGATTTATTTGTTTTGTAAACAATACGATATTTATAACAATACTAATAGATATCATATACTACTTAATACTTATATATATAGGTATAATACTTATATAGAAACTTACAGTGATACGTTTGACGGAACCGTTCGGTTTTATACGATGGATGAAAAATCGAAAAAAAATGTTATTTCAAAGCGGCTGATTATAATATCATGGTGTCCTTATAATGACAGGTAAAAAACGACTGTGAAACTCGCGTGTATAAAAACATTTTTTTTTTCCACGTCACATTTTTCATTCAATTTCAACCTCTATAATATAATATATTCGATTACAATGGTATCAATGCAGTCCACATTGAAGTGGTACCTTCATTCTTTTTTTTTTTTCTGTTTTGTATTCTCTGCTGGAGATAATTAAAGATATTCGGTAGCTACTTTCAATAATACTGTTCAAAATTATTGTTCATCGAAAGAATTCGGAAATGTTAAAACTAAGAGGCATATACAATTACAGCATTCCGGCACCGTATTTATTCGGTCAAAACTCGTAACTTTTGTCAATTGCACAAACATACAACGATATGAGCATATTATACCAGATTTTAGTATGGAAATAACGTAAGAATAAAATGATATTATTTCGAAGTTGAAAGTTCCGTTGAAATGTAATTATTAATTCTAAAATCAATTAATTTTCAAAAAGTCAAACGGTTTAATTAACTATAAAATTAATTTAGATCCGAGAGTTCAAACGTTTTAAACTACCCGTAAACCTACTTTACAATAATGTATACATAATACATATTATTATATTGCCATTGAAAACGATTGCGTTTGAGAGAGATCGCATCGATTAAAAATTAATAACAATTTTTAGTGATTGGCCGTCGTTTTCGTAACTGATGGTTGAAAAATAAATATTAAAACTTCGCAACGAAAAAAATGCCGTTTTTACGATTATTTTTTAAATAATATCAACAGACTAATTGGAAAATAACACGATAATATTAATTGTATATTCGTCCTGGTTTTATCAATGCTATTTGCAGCGTTGGTAAACAATCCGAAATGAATCGTTCTTAATGAATTTCGCTAGTCATTAGAATCGTATCAATGATTGCTAATATTATATTTTTATGTTATATCGTCACATTATTTTGTACGTTACCGAAGCCGATACAATTTGAACAATCGCAATTACACGTCAAGAACACATTCAATAGCACGTCTTGTGATATGAAATACCGCCATCACAATATCGTTTAAACGTTTAAACTGCAATCGCGAATAACTACGAAGCTGCCCGATATTTCTTTTGATTTTAATAAACTAGAATCGGGTAAAAAAATATATATATATGTATCTAACTAGACACTGAAGTACCTATACATTATATATCTCGATTTTTTTTTCTTTTTCTTTTTTTTAACAATCGGTTATTGTACTGCGGTACAGCAGATACTGACACAGAACAATTATTATCAGTATACAGTTCGATCAGCTATTATTAGTTCTCTATAGATCTCTGAAGTCTAGTTGAACACAATCACACCTGCGGTACCACTAACCGATATACGTGATGTCTCGGTGGTACCGTTACGCGTTGGACTGTTTGAAATAATGCGAAACCGTTTGTTATTACATTTGTTTTACTAAACGCACCTAAATAATGAAGACATACTTTTTTAGAATCCCAGCGGTTAAAATAGTACGGTTCTTTAGTAACGTTTCGGAGATATTAATTTTTTACAGGTTTTTTCGCGAATTTATACAGTTAAACTATTTGAATTTCAATAATATTATACAAAAAACATATAAGTTTTTCTATATTATATCGTATTGGATTCCCATGCCAACTTGGCCGGTTAAAAATATAAATTGTTTACAAAAATTTCGTACTTTTAACCAATAACCGACGAGGTATTGTAATTGTATAGAGAACCGAAATGTGCTTATAAACTGTAAGGGACAACGTTTACAGATTAAGGTTTTGGGAAAAAAGACGACAAACGCCGAAAAAAGGAATTGGAAAAAAAATTGATCTCTACTTTTCCGAACATTTTTTCAGCTACAACCTTATATGGACGTAAGTTTTTCAGGTCGGTTATATTTTTTAAAACTGTCGGATGAATACTTGCTCACCCCTGGGAGGGGTTTAAACAAATTTGTATAATCTCGTTGGTAACGTTTTAAATTATAATAGTTTATTTTATTAACTCGTATGAACAAAGTACAGGATATTTTAAATGTTTCGGAGTGGGGAAGTCGCCGCTGGAAACGTACACTTCCGAGATGTGTAATAATATGTAAGAAATGTATTTAAATAATTTCACCTGTTTAAATTTTATTTTTTTTTTTTTTTTTGCCCGGAGTACTGTTATATTTGTATAAAACGGCATTACGTATGGGCAACGAGTTTTTTCGGGAGGGGGGGGGTGGAGAGGGGCAAACGAATACAACAAATGCTAGATAATCGTACCGATAATCTCTTCGGTTTGGACGCCCTTGTAATACGAAAACAGCTGCGTTATATTTTACGCGCAGAGAAAGTAAATAAAAACAAATCCCGCGTCGCAAGTATGTTGAAGAACACGCGCAGGTATACGTCAACGATAAAGGGCAAATTACGAATCACGACGACGTTAATGAACTTCCGGAGTCAATCGACCTTCGACCACGGAATCGTTTTTGAAAGTGAAAACACGCCCCGTTACACACGCACAGGCAGGTGTATTATTTTATTTGTTTCAACGTTTTTTTCTCATCAATGAATATTAACATATTATTAATTCATTTCCGAATCCCGTAATATATTTTGTGATCTTGTATAAGAATGTTTTTGACGACTCTTGTCGTCACATAAATTTGTCGATTTTTTTTTTTTTTTTGTCTGTAAGTTAGTGCACGTTTACTCCAATATATTATACCGGTACCCCGCATGGATTGAAGTGGAGTATTATTTTTAATGCTCTTCAAAGTTCGAAAATTATAATTTTTTTTAAAAAAAGTTTTTACAATTTATAGCTAAACTCGTAAAAAGTTTTAAAACAAAAAAAAAATTCCCGTTGTGTAAAAGGTTCTTTGTTCTTCAAAAAATGTCTTGAGTTTTTGTCTTTCTTTGTGTACAATTTCATAATTCATTACGTTTCGCATTATACCAAGAAAAAATAATGTTTGACACACAATGATATTATACAATGGGTACGTATTAAAATTATCTCAAACTTATCCGTTATGAATGATATATGGAAACGCACATAAGGGCAATTTAAATTCACTTCAAAGTTGTTGATAAATGATGTCACATTATACATGTAATATTAATGCGGTTTGTGTTAATTATTTATTATACGAGCCAATGATTAACTAGATTTGAGTAGGTACACTTTGAGAGGGTCTCTTTCACTTTACACAATATAGTAATAAAGTAAATGTTATACTCGATTAAAAATACTCCGTCCGTGTATGCGTGTAGGTAAGCATTTAAAGTTACTAAACATCGTAAACATCACGGTAACGCATCGTATAAAACGATTATTTTAAATAAATTAAATGTCTGAAAAGTATATTCACGCTGCAGTACGATATTTTATATTTTTTATTAAAACACAAATTTCGTAATTTTCATTATTATAATGAGACGTACAAATATTATATAACCACGTATTTATGCATTTAACTAAACACATTTTCATTAGGTAAACACATTGCAGCAACAATATAACAAATAAGCAAATCTCGAATCGTATATAGGGGAGAAAAAAAATGTATAAGTAATGAATTCCCTCATCACATAAGTTTATGAAATATTCGTAAATTTACCAACAACTCGTTTGTGTATAGTTGTGTTAACATCAGTTATTCGTTTGTTTTTTTTTTTCTGAATTTTCTTAAAACAAGAACTTTTACAATGCGGTGTTTTTTTTTCAGATTATTTAGTATTCACGTGATACGCTATAGGTGGAACGCGGTACAATACAGAACATACATAAATATAATACTTTGGAACGGTGATTTTTTAAAGTATCTCAGTACTCTAAAAAAAAAACTTTCGAATCCATACACGATGAAGAAACGTTTAAAATAATATAATAAGCAATAATAAGAGTTTAAATTTACGACACACTCGGTTTTAGGTTTTAATGTCGGTACCTACGTTAACCTAAATGTTTTATAATAAACTAAACTCCACGTAAACAAATATTTCATAAAAAGTGTAAACATTAAGGTTTATGGGGATTGGTGACGGTGAATATTTTAGTCGATATTTAGAGCCGTTAAAAAGTTGTAGCGTTTGACGGATTTTAATTCTGAAAACGGATTATGATTTCAGGTACTTTACTAGGATAATGTTTGAAATAAAAATTCAATTATTTTACAATAAATTATAAACAAAATTTGACTGTATTTTTGAAAAAATCTTAATAATAATCAAGAAGTGTGCCTTTTATTTGAAGAATTTAGAATTAGAAAAAAAACCCAAAATTCTAATATGTCGTAGTAATAGAAACTAAAGATTGAAAATAAGTTTTCAAAATTTAAATCCGTCAAATGGAATTCCGACGTTTTGCCATAGCTTTTTGGTTTAAAATGTCATACTCGTTCGTGAAAACGTTCGTACCTCTTCTCTTTAAATATGAACATTGGACAGTACGCTATTGAAAAAGTCTATTCATTAAGTTTGTGATTGAGTTATAAAAAAAAAAAAATGTTTTAATTTTTCAAAAGTTTAGACAATTTTGAAAACCACGGTCAACGATTTTCTTAGAATAGCCGATGTTACACACAATTTTACAGGTATAGTTACTAAAATATTATAGTGACGAAAAATTTGTTTTTCCCTAAAAATGTCAATCGTTTCGAATATCCACGTTTATCTAAATATTTAAAATTGATTTTTATCCCCCCCCCCGTTCAATATTCCGGTTACCCATACAGGTGTTGCGAAGGAACCGTAAATTATTGTACACCCACGATAGTTTATTGTCATCGATTATTACTATTATTACTCATTATTTCCGTGAAAATGGATTATGAATGGGTTCGGTCAGCTGCAAACCGTTGCCGTTTGCGAACATTACTGAAGACCGAATTTTAGACCCGAACCCGTGACCCGTGTACCTAATGTCTACTCGCGAATACGCTTGTGCTAAAAAAAAAAAAAATGATAACAATAAAAATCGAATCGGTACGGTTATAACCCGTGCCGTTGCACGTAGAAAAAAAAAATTATGCACGATTTCCTGTCCGGATATAATTCGCCCAACGTAGCTACCTACAATTTGGTATTGGTTTTTTTTTTTTTTTGGTAAAATTATGTTGCGTAACAGCCATACAACACTATAATATACAACAACACCTGCTGCAGCCGGCCGACACTACGGGGCAGAGTGAGAGTAGGTATTAGACATAATTTTTCGTTTTGTCCGTGCGCGCAGGTAATTGAATTCGAAAGGGGTGACGGGAGGGGAACGGGAGGGGAAACACAATACGCGAAATAAAAGTTGTCGAGGATCAGTAACCAAATTTAGCGCGTTTAACTCGGGTGGTTTACGTCATGTTATATCGTATAATGTATAGTACATTGCTCGTCCTTCTTTTCTCCATGTACGACTAAAAAATTCCAAACGAGTCGTTTCGAAAAAAAAAAGTACAATAATTATTGTCTTTCTCGCGAATTGAGAAAATACGACAATTACCCCCTCCCCTCCCCCCCGACCACCATTTCCCCCTCAACATGTGTTTCTGCGAGTCTTTTCGCCCGCTCGATTGGTATAGTTTCGTCGGTAACGTGTCAGAACGTTTTTTTTTTTGTTTTTTTTGTTTTTGCGCCCAGAAATTTACTGAACTTACCACCAACGCCAACGCCGCGCCATACGAAAAAACCGGGACTGGTTTGTCGTTATTATTTCTAAGTCACCGGTCCTGTGGTTCTACGGTCCTGCACCTCCGAAGACATCCGAAGCCCACGACCCGTCAGCCGATTTCGGTCGGGACACAAGACTCGACAAAATTTAAAAAAACCGGTCTTCGTCACACCACTTGGTAGTTTTCCATACAACATTATATAGGTATAATTTTTGACAACGACCATGTGATATTATGCGCATGATTCGCTTGTGAATTTGAATATTATTACTGTATATAATATAGTTTAAACAGTATTACAATTTGCATTATAATTGCATACATGTTATACCGCAGTCGCGGAGCCCGCACGAAGGAGATTGTTTTAACCTTATACACAAATTATAGAACATTAAATACCAACTATTGAACCAGCAACTATCTATATTGAAATTATTTATCTAAACAATACGTTGGACTTTTGCTCGATCGCAGTTTATGTAAGAAGATGTCATTTTTTTTTTTTATACATATATAAACCTAACGTATCGGTGAAATTACAGAAAAGTTAAATATGCATTCGATACCATATTAACAGCATCCTGTATAGCCGGGCCCGTAGCCAGATCAGTTCTTCAGGGAGGTGGGAGGAGGCAAACATAGTTGTAAAAACAATATTATGACTCTTTAATCTTATATTTTTTTTTCCAATATAACGATTGCAAATGGTCGTCTTCCGATAAAAATGTTAGGAGGGCGGAAAACGAGTCTAGGGGAGACAATGCCCCCTATTGCCCCCCATAGATACAGGTCTGTATATAGCATAGGTCGATTGCATTCGATACAATAATGTATACGGCAAATGAGGAACGTTCGAACGAATAAATCGTGTACAGATCAATGATTTTAATGTTTGGGCTTGAATTTTTTCAAACAAATAACGGATATTGAGAAATTGTAAATTGTATACGTGTATCTATTAACATTGTTGAGATGTGTTTTCGTTTTACGCTATGAGATTTGCACTACACGTGGTACTTAAGAAAAATACGAACGCATTTCACGGCGTGTAGGGTCCTAAATTTACACCCCGAACTTATATTTTTTGAAATGCCACATGACATACTTCGTTTTGATGAATTATCGACGAAAAAAATTAATGCAAATTGTTTTTAAATTTAAAAATCGAATAGTAATACACGGACGTCTCGAGGCGCCGGTTCAGCTCGTAGCTTTTTAAAATATAAATATATGTACAATAATTACCAATAATCTTGAACTTTTAACAAATAGTTCAATCAGTTCGTTGACATTTTAGTTATTTGCAATTTATTACGACACAAGGCCAGTTCGAATAATGTTTAAAGTGAATTCAACACCAGTCGATATCATCATTTCGACTTTACACAAACGTAATACAAAACCGAACCGTTAAACAAATATTATTTAGAAACAAAAATTTGTACTTTTCAACGTCTCCAGTGAAATATTCCGTACTCATAACCCCATAATTATAATATTCGGCGATTTGATTCGCACTAGCTTCGTTTTAATAATGTACAAACATCGAACAATTCAGAAATTGACGGACAAATCGTTCGACGTTTCTACAATTCGTTTATTCGTTAATAATGTAATATTGTGTATTTACCTGGTATTGAGAGAGTCGAATTTCATAGTTTAAGCCAGTTTGAAATACTCGCTTTCTCGGTTCGTTATCCGCATCGTCGGAATACACTACCGTGATAAAATCCTCAGCAGCAGCAGCTGTTCATCGAGCATTATCTGTGTGTTTTTTTTTTTTTCGTTTTCGTTATTATTTTTCTTTTTCAATCAGACGCGGCGCGTTATTGAGTATATTGTATCGCGTTCGAATTATTATCGAATAACGGGCGTTATAGACATTAAAAAAAAAAAAAAAAAAAAAAAAAAAAAATCAAAAACAAACAACAATAATAATACAGAGATGGTATGATATTAATTCCAATTTTTTTATCGAAACGATAAAACTATCGCACGCGCATATATTCTATACGTAGTAAAAAATATGTATACGACGTATATTATAGTTTTATCGGTAGTACATTAAACACTGCGGATTAATATTACGACGACGAGCTATACTTATAATATTACTATAATGTTATTATTATTATTATCTAATTCGCTTTTGTCCATCAAACATTATGTCTGTTCGGATACTGAAGCGTCACGACGGAATCGCTTTCCATTTCGGCTGCCCCACTATATACTGTGTACGACTCTACGATATTATTCTCGTTCGGATTACGTCTGCGTGTGCAGGAGTACCGTGACTCGAATGCCGAGGACCGTGGTTGGGTTGGGTCAAGTGAACGTATAATAATAATAATAATAATAATATTGTGAGCCGGTCATCTGTATAATGTTTTTATTTATTTATTTATTTATTTTTTTTTTTATTCTCTTCTCACTCCCGGAAAAATAACGTATGCAAAACAATATTATAAACTATATACTACATATTATAAACAATATTATAACTGTACCTGCCGTAAGACACATTATAGTAAACCACTTACAATACTAGTTCGGTATGTGTTTTTAAACTTTAAACTATATTATTATATCGGTGATCGGCGTTCATCAATGATAATATTTTAAACCGTCAAGTAGAGGAAAAACAAATCGACGGAATACGGAAAAAAAGGACGATACGGCCGATGGGATGTGCCACTGTAGTCGGAAAGACAGGATTTCGAGCGAAATTCGGTTAAACGTGTTTTTAAATACCATAATATTGACTAAACAAATTTGAACTTATAATGCATATAAAAAATAAACTACTAAACATTATACTAAACTTTCTTTATTTTTTTTTTTTTACCACAAAGTAGTTTACTGAACCTCGTGTTAAAAATATCAAGCATTTCTATTCAGTCAACAATTTTATCCACATAAAACTTAAAGCTATTCTATAAATAACTGAAAAATCTGCATAATGTTTTGAAAAATTTGCCACGACTAGAAAAGGCTAAATAAGTATTCTGTGAAAATGTCATGTCTCTAAAAATATTTCTGAATTACAATAAAAAAAAACAAGATTTAAAATTAAACGCCATAAATACTCGTATTTGATCGTTTTTCTATACGTTAATTATTTTGAAAATTTCTTGGAAAATTAAGTAATGACTTTTCTACTACTCAGATCACAAAAATATAACAAAAATTATTCCTGCCAAGCTTTTTTATGCATCCAGCATAATTCAATACAAAAAAATTCCGAGAATACCAAATCGCAAAAAACAATTTATGTATTCATATTATTACTTGTCAATCTAGAATAAGTCTTGTCGATACCTGGACACCAACAGAGTTGATACGCAAGAAAATCTAGGTTTATCGAATGTGGTTATACATAAAAATGTCATGAAGAAATCGTATTACTAATCGGAGTGTTGGAAAGGATGGAGAAAGATTAAGTACTAATATCAATAACAATAAGAACTCGGTGGCTAGAATACATGGGGCACATCATGAGGACTAGCCAACGATACAAAATACACCAGCTCGTATTACAAGAAAAGATCAAAGGAAAACGAAGTGTGGAAAAAAGACAAATATTTTGGTTGAAGAATCTCCTGGTATAATAAAACATCAAACAATTTATTTCGGGCATCACTAGACAGGAACATTGCGAATATGATATCGAACTTCTGAAACGGATAGAAACACATTAAAAAAGAAGAATCTAGAAGAAGCTCTGGGCTCCAATGGCACACAAATGGTGAACCTTTTTACCCAAATAAACTTTATAAATGATTTTATACAATTCTGTAAATACCACCAGTCTTACATTATACGTTTTTCGTTTTGGATTGTAAAACTGTGAACGTGTTTCTTATTTGTTTTCTTATATGTTTCGTATTTCTTATAGGCTATATGGAATATATTATGCATAGCTATTGTTGAAACCTTAAACAAATAGAATATAATATTATCAAATTAACATTACAGTGTTATAACTTGTAAATAGATACCTTAATACATTATACTTACATTTGCATGGTAGAATGATTCACCAAAATGAACAAAATCAATACACACTCGCTGTAATATTATTATTCTACTATAGAAATATAATAATAATTGACGTTTCTAATTATAATTATTTTGATACCTATATTACAGTATATTATATCGTTTTATATTCGAATGCCATTGTCATAATATAGCCTATAGGTACTTTAATAATTAAACTATTCGTAATCTTTTTACCCATGCATACCCAAGAAATATCAATAATAATAGAGATATTACTTTTGTTTAGATTCTGAGTGGAGCGAAGAAGCCCATGATTTTACAAAAAAGGTTTTTTTTTTGTAGACAACTATTCTACCAGAGATCTTTTCCGATTTATAATGATAGCACATTTTCTGAAAGGAAATCTGACATGGAAGGTACTTTACGGAAGCCATTTTTCGATTGTCTCAAGAGTTTTCTCAACAAATATGAAAAACCGAAAAAAATAGAGGAAAAACAGGAAAATCGGTACATTAAACAAAAATTATTAAAGTAAATGTTTATTGTATTCGTAATTATTTTACCATAATATAACATATTTATTGTTGACAAAACGTTACTATAAACTGAACTCCGCTCAGAATTGTTTTTTCGTTAGCAATGGTTTATCGTTACTTACAGGTATACATTAAATTACTTATAACAGTGGCTACAACCGACCACATTATCTTAGGACGTCTTCTTTTATAGAACATTATAGAAACATTATCGTGTACCTAATATTTTAAATGAAAATGAATAACGAATAACAAAAAAAACTTAATAATGAAATGAGAATATCTAAGTATTTAATATTATATACACGTATGTATCTGCTATACACTATACGGAATATACACCAATCTGACTGTTGTATTCTCCTAAGAGAATTCTGAGCAAAACCTATTTTATTTTTCGGTTTTAGAGTTAGTCGAGATTTCAACTGTTTTTATTTGAAAAAAATGAATTCAACTACCAGGCACAATATCATCGAATTTAAAAATAAAAATATTTTCAATTGAATTACAACGTTGACGGTATGAATTCACAAAATTAGATTATTATTGTAATACTAAAGTATTGTTGAGAACGAAAATTATGTTTTATTTAAAATTAATCGAGCAAATCGAGCACTCAGCAATATTGGTTTTTGATACTCTTTAATTCGAGTACTCGACTTTTGAATTTGATTCGACCTGGGGCGGATTTAGATACGTGGTGGCCCGTAAGCGAAATATATCAGAGGGGCCCAAAATAAATAAACAGGTTAGTAACTTTGTTTATTTTCTGTTTTTATAATTTATTTAGTATTAAAATATAAACATTTAAATCGGGTAAGTCATGGTTCGGAGTTTATAAATATAAATTGCCTAAACATTAGTTTAATTCGTCGTTCTTCGGTTACTGTAGTGTTACCAATAATTTGGCGTATAATCCCAGATCGTTTGTGTGTATTTAAATAAACGTATTCAATAATATTGGAAAGATTGGTTGTGATTTCGGACATCACAAAAACCTTTATTGTCTCGATTTTAAAACACCACTCGTTTATTTGACTGCATATTACATACGTTAAATACAATAATAAATTAACTACCAAAAAAAAAAAAAAAAAACTATCACTTTCTTAATGAAAATTTAATTTGAAAAAGAAAGTTCAGTATTTTATATATTTTATAATTTAATATATATTTAATTGTTTGTATCGAAGCCCCCTTTAAGTCTATCTCTGGACTAGACTCCAAAACATGAATACTTGACTCGCGTCGACTCGAATTCAAAAAACCAAAACCCGCTCAACTCTAATTGTTTTCAATTTTTCATTTTTATAGTCATTGGCTAACACATTGAGTCTATTTTCTGATTTTACTAGACCACATACAACTCCTAGTTTTCATGCAGTATAGCAAACGTTTTTTCAGGAGTCGAATAAATAACTGCAGGAAACCTTACCAACATCTGAACTAACCTATATTATTTGCTGAATTATATTAAAAAAAAAAAAAACTCGATTATCTTTGATAAAATATAATTATAGAAATTTAATTACTGCTGCAAACCTCGAGTTGAATAAAAGTAATTGAATTTATAATAGTATCTACGCTTTGAAAGTTCTGAATATCAATCATGAAAACAATGATATTAATTTTGACCTATTTTAAAAATAATAATTTATACTTTCTTTGTCGAATACAAATATATTATTTTATAATTTGTCGACATTTTGTCTTCACACCTACAAGAATATAGTAGAAATCGGTTTTTTTTTTGTCTATACCACTTAATAAACGTTTTATTCAGTCGAGAACCAATATCCAGTATCAATGTTTTATTATTTACATCTAGTTGATACTCGTGACTTTGAAATAAAATATTAGTTTAGTTGTACTTTTTTCAATTTGGTGAACTATGACTGATAATTAAATGCCCATTAAGTAGGTATAGATATTAGATATCAAATGCAATACATATGTTATATGGCATTTATAATATTTTTGATAGAGGTTGCTATTTTAAAATCGAAATTTAAAAGTGTTTTTCATCCCAAATAATAAGTGTGAAAAAAATGTAGAAAAAATTGTATTTAAAATTTTCAAAATAAACAAATTTTAAAAATAGTCAATACTTTCTAAAACATTGAGTGTTTTACGATAAAAAAAAAAAAAATCAACACTGTACACAATGAATACGATTATAATCACAAATTAATGATTTCAATGATCGAGAGAATGTTTTGAAAATTTAACCAAGTATAAAAAAATTCAATAGGTAAACAAAATAACAAAATCGAAAATAATGAAACCGTTATTACCGTAAACTTTCCTGTTTTTCCCCATTATTGTAGAACAAAACTGCTCGGAAATCAAATTATAACCTCCTCAAAGTACTAGATCCACAATATTCTACAAAAAGCTCAATTGTCGTTTTTTAATTAGAGCAAGATTTCTGGTAGAAAATTTGTTCACTGACCTATCATAGTAAAACCATTTCATTATAAAAATAAATTAAGTGTATTAAATTTCACACACAAAATCAATTTTAAAGTTTATTTTCAGTTTATTTTTGATTTTCCTAGCAGTTTTTATAAAAAAAATTAGAAAAAACGGGAAAATAGGTATAATATCAAACAAATATTTTTCAGAAAATA